GCCTGTCTGATGTCAACAGGGAGGTCGTTCCACAGCCGGGGGGCCACCACCGAGAAGGCCCTTTCTCTCGTCCCCGCCAGACGTGCCTGTGAGGCAGGCGGGATCGAGAGAAGGGCCTCCCCTCGTGGGCTCATAGGCCGAGATGCGGTCCGATAGGTATTTTGGGCCGGAACCGTTTAGGGCTTTGTAGGATAACACCAGCACCTTAAATTGGGCCCGGTAGCAGATCGGCAGCCAGTGGAGCTGGGACAACAAGGGCGTTGTGTGCTCCCTGCGTCCCGCTCCCGTTAGTAACATGGCTGCCGCGCGCTGGACTAGCTGAAGCTTCCGGGCCGTCTTCAAGGGCAGCCCCACGTAGAGAGCGTTGCAGTAGTCAAGGCGGGATGTGACCAGAGCGTGTACCACCGCGGCCAAGTCAGACTTCCCAAGATACGGGCGCAGCTGGCGCACGAGCCTAAGCTGTGCAAATGCTCCCCTGGTCACCGCTGAAACCTGGGGATCCAGGCTCAACGATGAATCCAGGGTCACACCCAAGCTGCGAACCTGCGCCTTCAAGGGGAGTGCGACCCCGTCCAGCACAGGCTGTAACCCTATACCCTGTTCGGCCTTGCGACTGACCAGGAGTACCTCTGTCTGGTCTGGATTTAATTTCAGTTTGTTCGCCCTCATCCAGACCATTACAGCGGCCAGGCACCGGTTCAGGACCTCGACAGCCTCCTTAGTAGCAGGTGGAAGGAGTGACAGAGTTGGACATCATCTGCGTACAGATGACACCGCACCCCGAAACTCCGGATGATCTCACCCAGCGGCTTCATGTAGATATTAAACAGCATGGGGGACAGTATAGAACCCTGTGGAACCCCACAGGTCAAAGGCTGTGGTGTTGAACAAGAGTCCCCCAATAACACTTCTGGGTACGACCCTCCAGAAATGACTGGAGCCACTGCAGAGCAGTGCCCCCAAGACCCATTTCCGCAAGGCGCCCCAGAAGGATACCGTGGTCGACGGTATCGAAGGCCGCTGAGAGGTCCAGGAGCACCAACAGGGACACACTCCCCCTGTCTAGTTCCCGGCGCAGATCATCCACTAAGGCGACCAAGACCGTCTCGGTACCATGTCCCGGTCTGAAACCAGACTGTGCCGGATCCAGAATATCCGTGTCTCTCAAGAATACCTGGAGTTGTGAGGCCACCACGCTTTCCATGACTTTGCCCAAGAAGGGAAGATTGGAAACAGGCCGAAAGTTGTCCAAATTAGTGGGGTCTAGTGATGGTTTCTTCAACAGCGGCTTTATAATAGCCTGTTTTAGGCTCGCTGGAATCTTGCCTTCCCGGAGGGAGGCATTAACCACCACCGTTACCCACTCGGCCAATCCCCCTCTGGCCTCCTTCAGAAGCCAGGATGGGCAGGGGTCTAGGATGGACGTGGTAGGCCTCATTCCTCCAAGTATCTTGTCCACATCCTCGGGCTTCACCAATTGAAATGAATCCATCAAAATAGGACAAGCAGGTGCTCGTGTTACATCCTCAGAGACTGCATTTAACATGGTGTCCAGCTCAGAACGGATCAAAGCGACTTTGTCTGCAAAGAACCGAGCAAACGCTTCACAGCGCGTGACCGAATTGTCAGGGCTCCCGCCTGAGGTGGCGGGAGTTAAAAGACCTCTGACAATCCGAAACAACTCAGCCGGACGGTTTTTTGCAGACGCAATAGTGGCCGCAAAGAAAGTTTTCTTTGCGGCTTTTATTGCCGCGGCATATGCCCTTAAAAAGGACACAAACCGTGCTCGATTTGATTCGCTTGGGTCCGAACGCCACACGCTCTCTAGTCCCCTCTTCCTTCGCTTCATCACTGCCAGCTCCTCAGTAAACCAAGGGGCTGGTTTAGCTCGGCTACTTGAGAGGGGACGTTCCGGAGCGATCATGTCAATTGCCCTGGCCATCTCCCCATTCCAAAGAGCGACCAAGGCCTCGACATGGTCACCTACCGAGGTGGCGGGAAAATCCCCAAGAGCCGTCAGGAATCCATTCGGATCCATAAGCCTCCTGGGGCGGACCATCTTAATGGGTCCTCCACCTTTGCGGAGGTTAGGGGGCGCAGTGAGCCTAAATCTGATCAGGAAGTGGTCGGTCCATGGCAACGGAGAGATGGACAACTCCTCCACACCGCCACCCTGCTCCCATCCCTGGCAAGAAACTCTTGGCAATGGGGATGAATAGGGGGTTGTGTTAATACTGGCACGGGGAAGCCAAAAACAACAAAAAAAACTTCCTCCCTATCCTTCCTCCCCTCTGTACCTGAGATGCCCACTGAAAATGGATGTCCCCCTTGATCCTGAACTCCAGGGGCATTTTCCGAAACCCCAGCATCTGAATATCACAGTGGATTATCTTGCAGGAAGCAACAGAGCAGTCCTGAGAGGGAAGGAAAGATACCTTGATATCAAGCCAAAGAGAAAATCCACAAAACAGCTTGACTTTATGTATGCCTGCTTAGGAATATTGCCCTGTCAATATTGAGGCATACATGTATGGTAGATTAATGGAAAAGATGCTCCACCCCATCATCTACCTTCTCTAATTTGTTGTTGTATCCCTTCCAATAATTTCCAATTTGCAGTGATCTTAAAGCAAAAGTATTACTAATGCTCTTTATGCTTTCTTACAAGCAGGAAAAGCAGTAGACATGACCATGTATGGAACAACTATGTTTGTTTCTACTGCTGTTGCTATTGGTGCTTTTTGAGTGTGCATGCTTTTGCCTAGATCAGTAGTTCTCAACCTGTGGGTCCCCAGGTGTTTTGGCCTACAACTCCCAGAAATCCCAGCCAGTTTACCAGCTGTTAGGATTTCTGGGAGTTGAAGGCCAAAACATCTGGAGACCCACAGGTTGAGAACCACTGGCCTAGATTGTAATCCATCTCAGTAAGACCTAAGGAATCCACATCTGGTCTCTGAGGACAATTGTGGGAAGGAACACCCCTATGTTGTGCCAACTCACCAGAACAGGGTGATCCTCCCTGGATAGAAAATCCTGGAAGCCTGCAGTTTCATTCTCCAATGAACAGTTGGTGATCCGAGGCTGTGGAATGAATTGAGTATGTGGATGAAAAACTAGGTAAGCCTGACAGAAGGCAGGCAGTCACAGCTCAGGTATCTATAAGTACAGAGTACAGAGGGAACCACCTCTGTACTTAACACAGACTCCAGTCCAAGTGAAATAGCAAAGCAGTTGATTGAAGACACACACACACACACACTAGCCATCCCATGCCACGTGTTGCTGTGGCCCAGTCTGTGTATATGTGTTTTGTGTGTATATATGTGTATGTGTATATGTGTGTTTGCATATATATGTGGTTTTGTGCATGTATTATAATGTATTTTTATTTTTTGGCTTTTTAAGTCTCTTCCACTGTGTTTTTCAGTGTTTTATGAGTGATGGTCACTTGTTGGCCTGATATGTGTATTGTGTCCAAATTTGGTGTCAATTCGTCCAGTGGTTTTTGAATTATAAAATAGGAAAGCAGTTTATTGAAGAATATATATGAAAAGCAATTCAGCAAATGTATAAAAAACCAAAGTCCATATACCAAGAGTAATCCACAGAAATCATAGTATAAGAGTAGCATTAAATACCAGAAATACAAAAGCAGAATAAATCCAAAACTCGAGATTCAGGAACAGTCCTCAAAACTTGGAATCATGAGACATGAACAAAAGGATACATGGAACTTGGAACTAGAAATCCCTTCACTTGACAACAGATCTATACTCAAACACCAATGTTGCCTGGTCTGATAGGCCCATCTATTGGGCTAGCTAATATAGACAGAAAATCATGCTTTCTCCCTTGGGAAACCGATAAGCACTTCTTGGCTAATAGGCGTCTTGACCTTTTAAACACTCCTAAGAAGCTCTATGTTGATTGAACGTAAATCTTCTATTTAACTGTTCATTAGTCTGTCCACCTGGGCTTTCCTTTTCATCCTCTAAGATCAGATCTGTTCCTGACCTTGCTTCCCTAGGAAACTGCCTTTCAGAAATGTGGCCTTCAGACACAGACTGCTCATTTTCAGGACTTAAAATCTCTTGCTGGCTCTCCTGCTGACTTGCAGACCCAGAAGCCCCAGTGACATCAGAATGACTAACAGGCCCAGAATCCCCAGAGAGGTGTAGGCACAATCATAGGCTGAACTATAACATCCGGGAATGCTGTGATGAAGAAGGGATTGTTCTCTGTGAGAGGCCAGTTAGGGTTTGGATTTAACAGAGAACAGGAAAAGGTGGTACTGAGACAGGAAAGTGTTGAGTATGGCTTTAGAGGGCTGTGATTGATCGAGTAGTTCAAAAGTTAATATATTATTTAGTTGTGTCTTAATAAAATTCTACTGGTTTGTTTGCTTTAAAACTGTCTATGCCTGTCTCTCTCAAGTCTGATGAAGAGTCAAGTCACACCACAATGAGCCCACAAACCAGCATACCCACAAGGTCACACATAGAGGATAGCTGAGAGAATAAGCAGATAACTATACCTCAGAGGGGATAACTTGAGACACATCCCAGACTTGGATGCCTCTCCATTTTACCGGGATCTGAAATGTCACTGAGACAGGGATGCTTTGTTCCCAGAGGCTCCTCACCTGAAAAAGAAATGGATTCTTTCAAAACAGAAAGAACACATGAGGGCCCCAGATCTCAGTCTCTTTTTAATTCATTTTTAATTGGAAAAAAATGAAAATAAACACTAAACATTTCTAATTATAATAAGCAAAGCAATCCAGAATCTGCAAATATTATAATTTCAGAGTGGTGGATTTCACTTCATTGTACAGGGAGCCAGAGTGGAGGTCTCATTCTTGACCATCCTTTGTGTATTGATGATTTCTCCCTGTCACAAGTCACAAAACCACACTTCGCCCTTCACCTCATAGCGATGCTCCACACTCTTTCTTGAGCCTTCCTGACCAGTCGTAAAGTTGACATACTTAGTTGATTCCTCAGCGCTGGGGATATGAAAAAGAATAATGAATGTCAGTAATGAAAAGGAGTAACACTTTGAGACAGAGAAACAGACATTTCAGAGGCACTGCTTTTTGAATGTGAAAAAAGAGAGGCTCTTTTAGAGGAAACTGTACAATTCTCAAAAGTATTCAGTATTAACTTCACATTTTACAAGTCTTATGGTTTCAAAGCAGACCTCATTTCAGTGCAATATATGTTGAAACAGAACTAAAATTTGTTTTGTGTTGCTGGTCAGCTTGCAAAAGCAAACTGACCATGCAGCAACCTCAATTCACTGGAAGTGGGACTTATCAAATGAAAGAAAAGCTGGGGCATAAAATGGAGGTTTTCCTTTAAAATAAGTCTAGAATGGTAAGAAGTTCAATGAAATGACAATGTCAAAAAATAATTAATTCAAAATGGGAGATATGCCAGCACAATGAATTTTAAAACAGTTTTAAAAAATTACCCATCACTGGGACTCTTTGAAAGCCTAATTCACATAGACAATGGAGAGACAAAAAAGGAAAAGAAGAGATATAATGTGTTTCCTACCTTGAGAAAGTAAATGAGGTTTGTAGAGCATCTTGACATTTCCCATCACTGCCACAGTTCTTCTCAAAGGGGAGCTGCAAAAATGTGCATAACATTCAAATAGATCCAAAGACCATGGTTGGAAGGAGAATCATATGAACATGCCTAAATCTCAAGATCCTCAGGTGAGAGATTTCTATTAGTCCCTGTGACGATGTGTAAATTTTATTCCTTGGGTTATGTGTAATTTAAACAGTAGTTTATGGATGGTAAGTATGGAGGATTATGTTTTGTTGGAGATGGTGGCTTGGCATTAGCTGAGTTGCCATAGCAACAGGGGCGGAGCCAACTGCCTCTTCACGGGGCAGCTGTTTTGAAAGTCAGTCAGTAAGCCGGTGAGCTACTGGGAAGATGGAATCTCTGGGTGGAGATTCAGGGAATTAATTGGTGACCAAAGGGGTTACAGAAAAGGACCCGGTAGTGATAAAACTACAGGGGGTTATTGATTCTGAGTTAAGAATCAAGGTTTGGCTGGGAGCCAATTCTGTTAATAAGCCTTTTAGCTTATTTGTTTTATTAGGACAGTTGTCCAGAAGAGTTACATCTGCTTATAGAAACCTCTTGAAGTCTGTGCCTGAGATTACTCATGAAACCTTACTAATGTAACCAATCAAGATTTGTGCCTCTTGTGAAGAAACAGTTAAACATGTTATACTCCTGTTAAAATAAACTTGTTACTGTTTTCCTCAAGCCTTGCCTGATACAGTTTCTCTTAAGACAAACAGCCTGCATAAGAAGTAAAGTCAAGCCAGGGACAGTAAACGCTACGCTATCAAATGAATAAAGCCTTCTGTAATTAATAGTCCCTTTATAAAATAGCTCCTAAGCTGAAATTGATCGTTGACCGGCTTCCCTCACAGATTAGGTGGCAGTAAGTTTAACCACACTCCTTCACAGTCCCACCAACCCATCCAGTGGTTAATTGGTTAATTGGTTGCATGGAAAGACCTTTATAGGAGAATGAACTCTACCTTCAGTGTTATGTTATTAAACAATTTAATTTTTTTAAAAACCTAGTAGTGCTTTGCTTTATTGATTTATTTGTTGTGTCAGAAGCAAATTGAGAATGCAGTTATAATGCATACAAAAACCACAAACAAAGTTATAAGCTTGGCATTGTACTAAATTTCCTTTGACCAGAAGCTGGCCACTTAGAGTGCTTCTGGTGTCCAAAAGTGCCGGTGCCTCAACAAACTACAACTTTCAGGATTCTATAGTATTGGACCATGGCAATTTATTTATTTATCATGTCAGAAGGAAATTGTGGGTACAATTATAATGTATTTAAAAACACAAACAAGTTAAACTCGGCATTATACTAAATATCCTTTGACCAGAAACTGGCCACTTCGAGTACCTCTGCTGTCGCTGTGAGAAGGTCCTCCACTGTGCATGTGGCAGGGCTCAGGTTGCGTTGTAGTAAGTGGCCTGTGGTTTGCTCTTCTCCACACTCGCATGTTGTGGACTCCAATTTGTAGCCCTATTTCTTAAGGTTGGCTCTGCATCTCATGGTGCCAGAGCACAGTCTGTTCAGCACCTTCCAGGTAGCCTAATCTTCTGTGTGCCCAGGAAGGCGTTTCTCATCCAGTCTTGGCCACTGATTGAGATGCTGGATTTTAGTCTGTCACTTTTGGACAGGCTCTATTTCTTGATTTAAGGCGTTGAAGTGCTGGCTGATATCTGAACAGGGGATGGTCCGAGATGTCACTGCCTTGGTCCTTTCATTCCTGGCTGCTACTACCCAGTGGATGTCAGGTGGTGCAATACCAGCTAAACAGTATAATTTCTCCAGTGGTGTGGGGCGTAGACATCCTGTGATAATGCGGCATGTCTCATTAAGAGCCACATCCACTGTTTTAACATGGTGAGATGTATTCCACACTGGGCATGCACACAGAGTAGCAAAGTGCAAGGGCAGATGCCTTCACTGTGTCCAGTTGTGATCCCCAGGTTGTGCCAGTCAGCTTTCATGTGATATTATTTCTAGCACCCACTTTTGCTTGATATTCAAGCAGTATTTCTTGTAAGTCAGAGCACGGTCCAGAGTAACTCCCAAGTATTTTGATGTGCTGAAATGCTCCAGTAGGATTCCTTCTTAGGTAATCCTCAGAACTTGAGATACTTGTCTGTTCTTAAGATGAAAAAGCACACATCTGCATTTTAGATGGATTCGGAATCAGCTGGTTTTCTGTGTAATAGTCAGTAAGAGCACCTAAAGCTTCAAAGAGCTTCTGTTCAACAATTTCAAAGCTCCCTGATTGAGCGGTGATGACACGATCCTCAGCATAGATGTAACTCTCTGTCTCTTCTGGCAGTGGCTGATCATTTGTGTAAATGTTAAACATTGATGGAGCATGCATATTCCCCTGGGGCAGGCCATTCATTCTGTTTTCACCATCAGCTTTAATGCTAACTTGCTTAACTGTGGTTTAATTCTTTTTATCATCAGGTTTTTATCATTATTACTTTTGACCTTACTGTAAGTCATCTTGGGTCCCATGCTGGGAGGAAATGCACTGATTTTGTATCCACAGATTCAATCATGCATGGCTTGAAAATAATCCCCCCCCCCCCATTTCTAGAGCAGAAGTTCTCAACCTGTGGGTCCCCAGATGTTTTGGCCTACATCTCCCAGAAATCCCAGCCAGTTTACCAGCTGTTAGGATTTCTGGGAGTTGAAGGTCAAAACATTTGGGGACCCACAGGTTGAGAACCACTATGCTATAGCATAGGTAGACATGTAATGAGATTTGAACATCCATGACTTTTGGTATCTGTAGGGGATACGCAAGTGCTGGACCCAAACTCAGCCGATACCAAAAGCCCATTGTACAAGTAAAGCAAAATCAAATCAAATAAATAATAAAATAAATCTCTATGAGAGGACTGTTTCTCAAAGGACAATCTATGAAGTATATTGGACCCAACAAAACCTTTTCTCTCCTTCCCCTCTCTTTTGCTCTGTCCTCACAATCACCATCTCCTCCTGTCTGTCTGTCTGTCTACCTATGGACACTAAGATCGTCTAGGACACTAAGATCGTCTGGGGAGGCCCTGCTCTCGGTCCTGCCTGCATCGCAGAGACAGGGCCTTCTCAGTGGTGGCCCCTCGGCTATGGAATGCCCTACCTGCAGACATCAGATCGGCCCACTCGCTGTTGGTGTTTCGAAGGAAGGTGAAGACCTGGCTATTCAAACAAGCGTTTGACTAAACAGTGAAATTGAACATAGGAATACGGAACAATGGATAATGAGAGTGGATTCTGATTTTATTGTTGAGGTTATGATTGTTATACTGTTGTTAATTGTTGATGTTATAATCTGTTTTAATTGCATTATACTGTTTTGTGATATTTTGCATTGTTGTGTAAACCGCTTTGAGTTGCCTAAGGGCTGAGAAAGGTGGTATAGAAATAAAGTAAATAAATAAATAAACATGTTAGGAGAAGTGTCAGCATCAACCAGGATGAATGTGCATATAAGGAAGAGGGGTGGTGGCTCCAGAAAAGGGAAGCCTCTCAAGGAAGAATCCTGCTGTATTGCTACTGGTTCTCCTATTGCTCTGGTGGGACCTAGGAGGGCACTCACCTGGGCAGTGTAGATCTGCTGGGACTCTTGGCTCAGGATCGGCTGGAGTCTCTGGGCTTGATCAATGGGGTTCCCCACAAGGCTATAATTGAGCCTCAAGGTGATGGGAGTCAGGGTATCTTCAATGCAGCTCTGAGAAATGAAACAAGAAGGGAAGCACTCTAAAAGGGATATTAGTACTTCTGAGTTTCTTTTGAGCCTGCATGTCATCAGGGAACATATCTTTTGTACATTATTTCTGAGCCCAAAGTGGGGAGCTAGTATTGTAATGAATAATATAAATATTTGCAAACCCATTGTGTATATACCTCCAAGTCACATGTCAACTTAGAATTATAGAATCATAGCATCATAGAATCATAGAGTTGGAAGAGACCTCATGGGCCATCCAGTCCAACCCCCTGCCAAGAAGCAGGAAAATCACATTCAAAGCACCCCTGACAAATGGCCATCCAGCCTCTGCTTAAAAGCCTCCAAAGAAGGAGCTTCCATGACAGCAACTATACATTTCATAGTGTTTTTATAAGCCCCTTCCACACAGCTGTATAAAATCCCCATGGAACTGAATTATATGGCAGTGTGGACTCAGATAATCCTGTTCAAACCAGATATTGCAGATTATCTGCCTTGATATTATAGGTTATATGTGTGCTGACACAGCTGTGTCAGAAGCTCAAACTTCCTTTTTATGTATGGATAGTTTGCATGTGTTTCTGTTAATCATGCATTTTGCAGCAAGGCAGCTCCCCCCAGGCTGCAGCCATAGGGCTAGCAGCCTGCCTATCATTGTTAAGTTCTTTAGCTCCGCCCCCTCTCCCCAGGTCCAGGAAGGAAAGGGAACCATTTTAGTTCAGTCTTACAGTGGAAGCTCAGTTACAGGACATGAGATTTTTCCCACCTGTAGAGAAGCTTCATTTCTTACAAGTGGGGAAGACAGTTCTCAAAGCTCTGGCTGGGGAACTTACAGCCTCACAGCTCTACAAGCCTCTGGGGAAGACAGCCCTAAAGCTTCTGAAGAAAACAGTTTTACAGATCCAAAGGTCTCCAGCTGGAAAATCTCTAAAGTTTTGGCCAGTAAGGTTTACTCGGGTACCCAAAAAGCAAATTGGAACCGGGAGTAAGGCCCCACGCCAGCCAGCCTAAAGACAGATTGCCCAGGGAGGGATCAGAGGGTTTTCCTTTTTAAAAGAAAGAAACAGTTCACGAAGCAAGCAGCTTGTGGGTAAGTTAAGAAGCATTTGTTTGACTTGTTGAAGATCTAAGAAGTATTTGATTGTTTGTTGAAGATCTAAGCAATAATAAAGAACTTAGTTAAACTTTCCAAGTTTCTAAAGACTTTGTATAGGAAAATCCATAGGGCCTCTCAGCTGAGGCACCCCAGCGTCCCACTGGACACAAACAGAAGTTGAGGAAGCAAGAAGCCATTTTGTTCCTTTCTGCTTCAGGTAAGCCTTGTCTTAGAGGGCACTAGGAATCTGAGTGAGTGTTTAAAATTAGCTGCTGAGTGTTTGCTTTGTTTGAGAGGCGGGGCGAGGCTCATTGTTCTCAGAGTGAGTCAGAGTGAGTCGTTGCTGCTTCCTGTTTACCCTATATAAGCCAGGGCCTGAACTCAAGTGGCAGTTGTGCTCCCACAGAAGTTGAGGAAGCAAGAAGCCATTTTGTTCCTTTCTGCTTCAGGTAAGCCTTGTCTTAGAGGGCACTAGGAATCTGAGTGAGTGTTTAAAATTAGCTGCTGAGTGTTTGCTTTGTTTGAGAGGCGGGGTGAGACTCATTGTTCTCAGAGTGAATCGTTGCTGCTTCCTGTTTACCCTATATAAGCCAGTGTCAACATAAAACACACACCAAGAGGAGGAACTCACACACTCACTAACCTACACTTTTCCCCCTGCATACAGACAACAACATAAAACACACACCAAGAGGAGGTCATTAGCACCCTGCAGATGGAACAAACACAAAAACTTCCTGTCCCATGCACAAGTTGTGGCTTGTTGTTGTTCATTCGTTCAGTCGTCTCCGACTCTTCGTGACCTCATGGACCAGCTCACGCCAGAGCTCCCTGTCGGCCGTCACCACCCCCAGCTCCTTCAAGGTCAGTCCAGTCACTTCAAGGATGCCATCCATCCATCTTGCCCTTGGTCGGCCCCTCTTCCTTTTTCCTTCCATTTTCCCCAGCATAATTGTCTTCTCTAGGCTTTCTTCTCATGATGTGGCCAAAGTACTTCATCTTTGCCTCTAATAACCTTCCCTCCAATGAGCAGTCGGGCTTTATTTCCTGGAGTATGGACTGGTTGGATCTTCTCGAGTCCAAGGCACTCTCAGAACTTTCCTCCAACACCACAGTTCAAAAGCATCTATCTTCCTTTGCTCAGCCTTCCCTAAGGTCCAGCTTCTCACATCCGTAGGTTACTACAGGGAATACCATGGCTTTGACTATGCGGATCTTTGTTGCCAGTGTGATGTCTCTACTCTTCACTATTTTATCGAGATTGGTCATTGCTCTCCTCCCAAGAAGTAAGCGTCTTCTGATTTCCTGGCCACAGTCTGCATCTGCAGTAATCTTTGCACCTAGAAATACAAAGTCTGTCACGGCCTCCACATTTTCTCCCTCTATTTTCCAGCTGTCAATCATTCTTGTTGCCATAATCTTGGTTTTTTTGATGTTTAGCTGCAACCCAGCTTTTGCGCTTTCTTCTTTCACCTTGATTAGAAGGCTCCTCAGCGCCTCCTCGCTTTCGGCCATCAGAGTGGTGTCATCTGCATATCTGAGGTTGTTAATGTTTCTTCCAGCAATTTTCACCCCAGCTTTGCATTCATCAAGCCCCGCACATCGCATGATGTGTTCTGCATACAAGTTAAAAGGTTGGGTGAGAGTATGCAGCCTTGCTGTACGCCTTTCCCAATCTTGAACCAGTCTGTTGTTCCGTGGTCAGTTCTTACTGTTGCGACTTGGTCCTTGTACAGATTCCTCAGGAGAGAGACAAGGTGGCTTGGTATGCCCATCCCACCAAGAACTTGCCACAATTTATTATGATCCACACAGTGAAAGGCTTTAACAGGATACGACAACTCGAGAACCGTATTAAGACCCTTAAGGACATTCAGGAACTTGAGCTGTTCTTAGACACCACACAGCATGCTGTCCTAGACACGCAGCCCATATCACACCAACATTATGGGGAGGCTCAAGAGGAGATCACCTCAGATGTGGACAACCCTCAGGCTTGGAGGCATGTCACCCTTAGAAAGAGACATAGGACCAGGAAGCCTCCTCAGAATACTTCTGCTCAGCTGCAGTTACACAATAGATTCCAAATTCTCACATAACTATCACTTGACCAAGAAACACAACATATTGGGGAAGGCCAGAATGGCTTAGATACTAATCAGTGGCTCATCCTTGATCAGTGTGCGGGGGATAGCCCTGACTGGGACAACACTTTACAACATTCACACTTACACAATCATGCAGGTGTACCATCCCCAGCCATAGACCAGGTGCAACAGGAACACATACAGGAGAACGATAGGCTCTTGGACGAATCTCAATGGATTGTCCTTGACGAATGCACCGGGGATGTTGAGGAGGAGAACAACACTTTACACCTACACAATTCACATCAACAGGATCACTTTTCTGGGGACCTACACACTACATTGCACAAAAGGGACCCTGTCAATCCTGAAAGTAAACAGGTCTTGGTAGTAGGCGACTCCCTCCTTAGAGGAACGGAAGCCGTCATTTCCAGACCAGATGGGATGGCTCGAGAAATATGCTGCCTACCGGGGGCAAAAATACACCATATCACTCAGAGGCTCACCAGGCTCCTCAAGCCCCATCACCATCCTCCCCTCATGTTGATTCATGTAGGAACCAATGATACTGCTAGGCATACTTTTCAAAAGATCATAAATGATTTTCGAGCTCTAGGAACAAAGCTAAAACAATGTAATGTACAGGTGGTCTTTTCATCCCTCCTCCCAGTTGTAAGACACGGTCCTACAAGGGCCAGAAAAATAGTACAGGTCAATGACTGGCTTAGAAAATGGTGTCAGGAGGAACGCTTTGGCTTCCTCGACCATGGCCTGCTTTTCCAGGAGGATGGCCTACTGGCAAGGGATGGGGTGCATCTCACACAAGTAGGAAAACACCTTTTTGCTCACAGACTCGCAAACCTCATTAGGCACTTTAAACTAGGTCCACCGGGGGAGGGGGACAACAGCCTTGTGAACACTACTTTACCCACAATGTCAGGGAACCGCCAGAAGGCTAAATGGAGGGCTGCACAAACACAACAAGGACCAAGTACCAAAAGCACAATAATCCCAATTAAACAGCTCAAGGGAAAAAGATGAACTCCAACTTTTAACACACCATACTTACAATGTCATAGGCATCACTGAAACCTGGTGGGATGAATCCTATCACTGGAATGTAGACATCGAGGGGTATAACTTTACGGCCAGGGTCCATCGTACCTTAGGGACCGCCTCTCCTTCTCCCATCATCGGAGGTTGCAACGACCAGCCCAACGCGACTTACTCTATATACCGGGTCCTAGAGAAGTGCACTTGGAAAGGACCAGACGCAGGGCTTTTTCTATTTCTGCCCCTGCCTTATGGAATTCCTTGCTGCCCTATATGAGAGCCATGTGTGACTTAGGGTCTTTTACTCTAGCACTTAAGACCTGGCTTTTTACTAGAGCATTCGATCTCTGTTAATTTTTAAATTCTGTATGTATGTATTTTATCTTTTACAATTTAGCTGTAAATCGCCTAGAGCATTCTCGAATGGAGGGTGATTAATAAGTAATTAAATGATGATGATGATGATGATAACCTCTTTCACAGTAACCGAACAAAGGGGAGAAGAGGCCATCTGTCAGGGGTGATTTGAATGCAATATTCCTGCTTCTTGGCAGGGGGTTGGACTGGATGGCCCATGAGGTCTCTTCCAACTCTTTGATTCTAGGCGCAGTAGCTTATATGTCAAAAACTGTTATGCTGCAGAAGAGATGCAAGACAGCAATCCAGGAAACCAGCTTGAAAGCATCTGGATAAGAATCAAGGGAACTGGGACTCAAAAAGATCTCGTTGTAGGCGTCTACTACAGACCTCCAAGCCAGGAGGAAGAACTTGATGAAGTCTTCTGCCAACAGTTGACCAAACAGGCACAGAGAAGAGATGTAGTAGTCATGGGCGATTTCAACTATCCCGATATTTGCTGGAAAACAAACTCGGCCAAGAGTACAAGGTCCAACAAATTCCTCGCTTGCCTTGCAGACAATTTCATGGTCCAGAAGGTAGAAGAGGCAACAAGGGGGTCAGCTACTCTTGATCTCATCCTAACAAATGCAGAGGACCTGATCGATGCGGTTGAAGTGGTAGGATCCTTAGGGGCAAGTGGCCATGTGCTCCTGCAATTTGAGGTACAAAGGAAGGCCGAAACTAAGACAAGTCAAACCCGCATTTTGGACTTTAGGAGAGCTGACTTCCAAAAAATGAAGGAAACACTGAGCAGCATTCCGTGGACACAGATACTAAAAGACAAGGGAGTTACGGATGGATGGGAATTTCTCAAGAGTGAAATACTCAAGGCGCAATTGCAAACTGTGCCAAAAAAGAGAAAAAATAGGACAAGTGCAAAGAAGCCAGAATGGATGTCCAAAGAACTTCTAACTGTGCTAAAACACAAAAGAGACATGCACAAGAAGTGGAAAAAGGGAGAAATCACCAAAGAAGAATTCAAACAAATAGCCAACACCTGTAGGGAAAAGGTCCGAAAGGCTAAAGCACAAAACGAGCTCAGGCTTGCCAGGGACATTAAAAACAATAAAAAGGGATTCTTTTCTTATGTCAGTAGAAAAAGGAAAAACAAGGAGGCGATAGGGCCTCTTCGAGGAGAAGATGGGGCAATGCTGACAGGGGATAGGGAAAAGGCAGAACTACTTAAGTCATCTTCAACCTCAGCAAGATGGAGTGGATGAGGGATTTGAGGACATCCAACTCCAAATTGGGAAACAAGTCGTCCAGGAATACCTGGCCGCTCTAAATGAGTTCAAGTCCCCAGGGCCAGATCAGCTACACCCAAGAGTATTGAAGGAACTAGCGGAAGTCATTTCGGAACATTGGCAATCATCTTTGAGAGTTCTTGGAGAACGGGAGAAGTTCCAGCAGATTGGAGGAGGGCCAATGTGGTCCCAATCTTCAAGAAGGGAAAAAAGGATGACCCAAATAATTACCGTCCGGTCAGCCTCATGTCAATACCAGGCAAGATTCTGGAAAAGATTGTTAAGGAAGTGGTCTGCAAACACTTAGAAACAAATGTGGTCATCGCTAATAGTCAACATGGATTTATCAAAAACAAGTCATGCCAGACTAATCTGATCTCTTTTTTTGATAGAGTTACAAGCTGGATAGATGCGGGGAATGCCGTGGATGTAGCGTACCTGGATTTCAGTAAGGCCTTCGACAAGGTCCCCCATGACCTTCTGGCAAACAAATTAGTCCAATGTGGGCTAGGCAAACTACGGTGAGGTGGATCAGTAATTGGTTAAATGGACGAACCCAGAGGGTGCTCACCAATGCTTCCTCTTCATCCTGGAAAGAAGTGACAAGTGGAGTGCCGCAGGGTTCCGTCCTGGGCCTGGTCCTGTTCAACATCTTTATTAATGACTTAGATGAAGGGCTAGAAGGCAGGATCATCAAGTTTGCAGACGACACCAAATTGGGAGGGATAGCCAATACTCCAGAGGACAGGAGCAGGATTCAAAACGATCTTGACAAATTAGAGAGATGGGCCAAAACTAACAAAATGAAGTTCAACAGTGACAAATGCAAGATACTCCACTTTGGCAGGAAAAACTAAATGCAAAGATACAGAATGGGGGATGCCTGGCTCGAGAGCAGTACGTGTGAAAAAGATCTTGGAGTCCTCGTGGACAACAAGTTAAACATGAGCCAACAATGTGATGTGGCGGCAAAACAAGCCAATGGGATTTTGGCCTGCATCAATAGGAGCATAGTGTCTAGATCTAAGGACGTAATGCTACCCCTCTATTCCGCTTTGGTTAGACCACACCTGGAATATTGTGTCCAATTCTGGGCACCACAATTCAAGAGAGATATTGACAAGCTGGAATGTGTCCAGAGGAGGGCGACTAAAATGATCAGGGGTCTGGAGAACAAGCCCTATGAGGAGCGGCTTAAGGAGCTGGGCATGTTTAGCCTGAAGAAGAGAAGGCTGAGAGGAGATATGATAGCCATGTATAAATATGTGAGAGGAAGCCACAGGGAGGAGGGAGCAAGCTTGTTTTCTGCTTCCAGGGAGATTAGGACAAGGAACAATGGCTTCAAACTACAAGAAAGGAGATTCCATCTGAACATGAGGAAGAACTTCCTGACTGTGAGAGCCATTCAGCAGTGAAACTCTCTGCCCTGGAGTGTGGTGGAGGCTCCTTCTTTGGAAGCTTTTAAACAGAGGCTGGATGGCCATCTGTCAGGGGTGATTTGAATGCAATATTCCTGCTTCTTGGCAGGGGGTTGGACTGGATGGCCATGAGGTCTCTTCCAACTCTTTGATTCTATGATATCTATAGGCCCAGCGCGTGTCAGCACAATATGGCTGTGTGGAAGGCCCCTAAGTCAAGGAATACTCAGTCTATTTTGTCTCTGAAATGTAGCCTACAGGCAGTCTCCTGTCTAAGTATAAATCCAAATTGACCCTGCTTAGCTTCCAAGATCATATGGGATCTGATTTATTTGGGTATTATTTAGCCATTATATAAATTCAGAACTTTCACAAAATATACAAGAGAAGTTCTATAGGACGTGATGACAACTCACAGGTAAATTGATGGCATGATCCTTGCATTTTTGTTCAAGCCCAATCTTGAAACCTGAATTCCAAACAGGAGATTTAGAGCTGAAGGAGGCAAGAATCTTTGTCTTCTCAGAATCCAGGGCCAGGCTGTATTGAAGGTCACTAAAAATAACACCTGGATTGGGAAAGAGAGAGAGAAAAGAGGAAGAGATTATGAATAGTACCGCAGAATACTTGAGGAAGCCGTCTGCAACAGCACATGGAAAAAAGTAAGAGGGACATAAGTCCTTCCTCTTTGGCATTCTCCTTTCCATACTTCAGGAAGCCTATTCTGCTTTTTGTATTTGTGTTATATAACCTCTTGTATGGAGCCCCCAGTGGCGCAGTGGGTTAAACCATTGTAAAGGCAGGATTGCTGACCAAAGGGTCAGCAGTTGGAATCCAGGGATCAGGGTGAGCTCCTGTCTGTCAGCTCCAACTTCTTATGCGATGACATGAGAGAAGATATTTGTTTCAACAGGTTTTTGACCTTTGATATGTTGTTTTAATTTGTGTTAGATTCCAGTTTGTTTTTGTAAGCTGCTCTGAGCCCTAGGGGAGTGGCGGCATATAAGTTAGAATAATAAATAAATAAATAAATAAATAAATAAGATTCCCAAAGGATGCTAAAACATCTGGGCATCCCCTGGGCAATGTCCTTGCAGATGGTCAATTCTCACACACGAGAAGCACCTTGCAATTTCTCAAGTCACTTCTGACATGAAAAAAAAAACCCTCTTGTATTATCATGCTTGTTGATTTGAATGGCTCTCTAAAAGCATTTCAATATCCACTGTCCTATCCATTCCAATATACATTGTCATATTATTTTCCTCTTCTGCACAAGCCCATACTTGGGAATTGATCGTAGACTCACCTAATTTATCCTTTGTAGCTTTGGAAACAGTGAAGCACACTCTTGCCACACTGGCCATCTTTTCCACAAGTTCTTGGCTCTGACACCTGAAGATGGAGGTGGGAATCAAAGGGGGCTGGAACTCAATAGAGACTCTCAGATCCAGAACAGGACGGGACCTAGAAGGAAAAAGCAAAGGGCAATGCAGTCACATCCAGTGGCCAAGGCTTACAAATTGGCAGCCCTCCCAAGAAACCAAAGTCAATATCTGGAGGACTGCGGAATTTGTGGTCAGTTTTTTAAAAGTCAGAGAGAAAAGGAATGATGGTAAAGGACAAAGAAAGTCAGGGCAGGGCTGGCTCTTTGTTTGAGGTTTTGACAAGTAGAATTCCTACATCATTGAGTCTCTCAGGCCTTTTCTACACTGCTTTATAATTCAGATTATCAAAGCAGATAATCCACATTGTCTGCTTTGAACTGGATTATATGGCAGTGTAGACTCATATAATCCAGTTCAAAGCAGATAATCTAGGCTTTATATGACAGTGTAGAAGGGGCCTCATACATCATTGTAAATATGTTTTAAAGTTTGATAGAGCAGATATTAAAAATGTTCATCCCACACAGGTTCACCTTTGTAAGTGATCCTCAGACCAAAAGGTGAATTTGTTTGGATCACCTGGACCTTAACTACTACACAAAGTTGTTGGCTTCAGATATCCAGGGCTATGGATCACTTCTGGTATTACATGAAAACTTGAAGTCCATGAAATGCAAAGATTCAGAATGGGGGACGCATAGCTCGAGAGCAGTATGTGTGAAAAAGATATTTGGGTCCTTGTGGACAACAAGTTAAACATGAGCCAACAATGTGATGAGGCAGCAAAAAAAGGCAATGGGACTTTGGCCTGCATATATAGGAGTCTAGTGTCTAGATCTAGGGAAGTAATTCTACCCTTCTATTCTACATCTGAAATATTGTGTCCAATTCTGGGCACCACAATTCAAGAGAGATATTGACAAGCTGGAATGTGTCCAGAGGAGGGCGACTAAAATGATCAAGGGTCTCGAGAACAAGCCCTATGAGGAGCGGCTTAAGGAGCTGGGCATGTTTAGCCTGAAGAAGAGAAGGCTGAGAGGAGATATGAGGGCCATGGGGGGGGGGGGGGGGGGGGGGGGGGGGGGGGGGGGGGGGGGGTGGGGGGGCGGGGGGGGGGGGGGGGGGGGGGGGGGGGGGGGGGGGGGGGGGGGGGGGGGGGGGGGGGGGGGGGGGGGGGGGGTGGGGGGGGGGGGGGGGGAGGGGGGGGGGTGGGGGGGGGGGGGGGGGGGCAATGTATAAATTTGTGAGGGAAAGTCAGAGGGAGGAGGGAGCAAGCTTGTTTTCTGCTGCCCTGGAGACTAGGACATGAAACAGTGGTTTCAAACTACAGGAAAGGAGATTCCACCTGAAAATGAGGAAGAACTTCCTGACTGTGAGAGCCGTTCAGCAGTGGAACTCTCTGCCTCGGAGTGTGGTGGAGGCTCCTTCTTTGGAAGCTTTTAAACAGAGGCTGGATGGCCATCTGGGGTGCTTTGAATGCAATTTTCCTGCTTCTTGGCAGGGGGTTGGACTGGATGGCCCATGAAGTCTCTTCCAACTCTTTGATTCTATGAAATCCCATTCCCCACATACAAATTATGTCCAGCTACATAGAGTGATGATATGTATAGGTTGCTTACCTGTAACCGTATTTCTTTGAGTGGTAATCTGTGAACTGCACACATATGGCTTTCCATTGCACATGTGCAAAGGAAACTCATATGTGTATATTTTACAGACTCCACAGAGAAGAATTCTATGTGTGTTAGACATAAAGCTAAGAAAAATGTCGATGATGTCAAAAACAACAGGGTTGCATGGTTAGGTCTTGTTTAAAGGGAACAAAGAGAAAACCAAGAGAAAATGGGAATCCTCACCTGAGTAATAGGACCCGTCCCTGTTGTCCCACAGCTATGTCCTTCAGCCCATCCCCTGTAAGGTCTGTCCCTCCACTGACAGCTTGGCCAAAGTACAAGAGCCCTCCAGTAAAACGTAGCCCTCCAATGCGCTGCAAAAAGAAAAAAGAAAGAGAGAAGAAAAAATTGAAGAAGGTGTTATCAGAAATAGACTATGGGCCCTTCCTGACAGGCCCTATATCCCAGGATCTGATCCCAGGCTTGCTGCTTCAAACAGGATTATATGAGTCTTCACTGCCAGATAAGCTGGGATCAGATCCTGGGATATAGGGCCTGTCTGGAAGGGCCCCACGACTAACAAGGAAAGGTTAATACTATATGAGAAAACCTGTGTTCATATTATACAAGTGTACCTCAGTTAAGTAATTACTGAATTAATGTAACTGCCCTATGAGGAGCGGCTTAAAGAGCTTGGCATGTTTAGCCTGCAGAAGAGAAGGTTGAGAGGAGACATGATTGCATGTTCAAATATTTGAAAGGATGTCATAATGATGTCTGCCCAGGCGGCAGAATCTCCCGCCTTCAAGTTGGTTTGAACCGCGGCAGGGAGTTCCGCAGTTCCGGAGAGCCAAGTTGGGTCCGACTGATGAAATGTGCCCCAGCCAGCAGCTCAAAGCAAAAGACTGCATGAAGCCTTTCTTTCACTTTCCCCTCTCCCTCTCTTTGTAACAAAGCCCCTAATAAAACACTTAAGATTTGAAACTTTAAATCCTTTCCGCTTGATACTTTGTGTCCTTTACTGACTGAAACTTTTCTAACATAAAATAAACCTTTTTCTGAGCTCCGGGGAACCGTGAGCTCACCGGGGATGCCTTCCCGGCCTCCCCGGGCCCCCGAATCTGCGTTAGTTAAAACCGTGGATACGGAGGTTTTCCTAATGGGCCCCCTTATCCGCCAAAACAACAACATGGCAGATCGGCCCCGTTCAAATTTTGTATTTTTCTGCATTAAATTCTAAAACTAACTGCCATCTTGGTTTTCTCATTTTGGACTCCTGCACTCGTGAAATAATTGTTTTTGTTTAAATATTAAATTTGGCCAAGTAACAGCTGATTGTCAAATTTTCGCTGCCGCTCGCTCCTGCATGGCCCCCGCCACCGGGGACCTACCGCCGTTGCCCAAGGGGAAGCCTTGGAAGTGGGGGATCGGGCAGGGAGGCTCGATCCTCGGTTGGGAGCGCTAGTTCCACCAAGGACAGGACAGTGGAACCGAGCTCCCCCCCTTCAGCTCCAGCTCCTGTTTTATGAAATGAACTGATCTTCTGATGGCCAGCCTGAGCCATGGGCTGGCCCTTGCCTCCAAACCTCTCCATTTGGACTTTGGGACTTCTAGTTTTTCCTCTTTCTTTTTATGAAATAAATAAAATACTTTCTTATTACAATGGATTGGGGTTGTGGGTTGTAAAAATATGAAATGCCTGTAAATTAGTGATGCCTATGCCTTATGATTATGATATATGTAACCCTTATGAATTCCTCTGTATCCTCACCCCCTTGACTCTCGCCCCACAAAACCGGCGTGACCAGGAACTGCCTGAGGAAAGAGCCCCAGCCTCTTCCTCAATCACCCATTGATTGACTCATCAGCATGGACAATGCTGCTGATCCCCAACCCTAGCCATCGGAGCAAGGCCAGCGAGGGAAGGGGGTCAGCAGAGCCCCGGAAAAAAAGACTGATTAATTCACCAAGATATCGTTGATCCCCCGGGTGGTCCGATATCGATCTAGCTCCATTCATTTCGCCCCAAAACCCATCAAGGACTGGAAAGCTCTTTGTTTGTCCAAGATCACCCTTTTCCCCCTCAGACAAAAGCCGCATTCCAGCTGGCAGGAAATTCAAATCCCATCATTTTTCCCCTTTGTCCGCGGCCGTCCCGCCTCCTCGCTCCTGATTGGTCCAAACTCAGAAGCGAGCGGAGGGCGCCCATTGGCCCTCCCAAGGCGAGAAAACGTCCTGATTGGTTGGAAGTTGAGGCGGGCCGCCAAGCCTCCTCCCAGCTGTTCCAGCCTCAGCCAATCAGCGTGAAGCTGGCCGGCAAGGGGCGGCGGGAGTTTCAAACTGCTTTCTTTTGTCTTGTACTGTATAAAAATGCCTGAAATCTTTGAATCAGCATGCTTGTAGAGGAACTATCCCTACAGTTGCATCCTATTCAGCTGAATCGCAAATAAACTTCGATCGCTGGACTTCTTCCACCTCTGGTGAGCTTATTATATTTTTAAATATTCCTGCGCTCTTGGATTGGCTTCCAGAAATCTCACCAAGGTATCCAGGACTCTCTTTGGTGCAGTCCTAGGGCTCTCCTCCCTGGAGGGACCCCCCAAAAGAGCTCGATATCAATAAGGAAGAGGGCACAGGATTGTTTTCTGTTCCCCTGGAGACTAAGACTCAGAGCAATGGGTTCAAATGGCAGGAAGGAGATTAATGATTCCTGACTGTAAGAAGAGCCATTCAACAGTGGAGCCTCCTTCCTTGGATGTTTTTAAACAGAGGCTGGATGGCTATGACCTTTTTCTGCATGGCATGGGGTTGGACTGGATGGTCAGCATGGTCTCTTCCAAATGTATGATTCTATGAATGTCCTTTCCTAGGCATAAAAACAGTGCTCAGCTCACCTGGATGTATTTGGGGTTGAGTGACGTCTGCTTCCCTGCAAAGATATACAGAGCTCCAGCGTTTTCATCTTCCAGGGGCGCCCCAATTGCCACATCCATCCATCCATCCCCAGTTATGTCACCTGCTTCTGCCATGCTGGCCCCAAAGCGACCAAAAATGTGTCCGGCCTGCCCTTTCAAAGTTGTGCTACAATGAAGTGACTGCCCCTGACATGGAGACAGAGAAAAACATAGGAATGAAAGAGGACAGAAAGCAACTAAAAACTGTATTGTCGTTTTCTCCTGAGCCAAGGCTGAAAGAGTACGAAAAGATTATGCATCGCATCTGAAATTCTATGGCTGCCTCCTGCTGAATTCTGGGACTTGTAGTTCAGTAGAGGAGTCTTTACAAAGCTAAGGCAGCTAAGGCAGGTCATGGGTATCACTAAACTACAAGTTCCAGAATTCTGCAGGAGGCAGCTACGGGATTTCAGATAGGATGCATACTCTTTGCCTACTGTATTGTTGAAAACTTTCATGGATGGAATCGTTGGGGTGTTGTGTGGTTTCTGGGTTGTATGGCTGTGTTCTAGCAGCATTTTTTTCCTGATGTTTCACCTGCATCTGTGGCTGGCATCGTCAGGGGATCTGATGGTAGTCAAGCAAGTGGAATACATATCCCTGTGGAATGCCCAGGGTGGGAGGAAAGACCATTGTCTGTTATCCTGATGTAAAGGGTCCAATTAGCCAACTAGATTTTTTATGTGTTGAGTGGGATCACATGCTGTACTCCACTTGCTTGACTACCATCAGATCCTCTGAAGATGTCAGCCACAGTTGCAGGCAAAATGACAGGAGAAAATGCTGCTAGAACACGGCCATACAGCCCAGAAACCACACAACACCCCTCTTTGCCTACTCTTTCAGCTCTTGAAAACATTTTTCCCAGTGAGGAAAATTAGATCCCATACATTTGGAAGACACCACAATCTAATTACCAACATGCAACGATACCAAGGATTTGTTCTGAAAATGTAGTACTTTGCGCTCTAAATCATAAAACCACGCAATTTGAAATGCTATAAAAATAGTGCCATGCTTGCTCTAGGAAACTTCTTTCAGTTCCAAGGTTCCAGCTTTTTCAAATAGTTAGGTATAATAACAAAGAGAGCCCTTCTTCTAAACCAGTGGTTCTCAACCTTCCTAATGTCGCAACCCTTTCATACAATTCCTCATGTTGGTGGACCCCCAACCATAAAATTATTTTTGTTGCTACTTCATAACTGTAATTTTGCTACTGTTATGAATCGTAATGTAAATATCAGATATGCAGGATGTATTTTCATTCACTGGACCAAATTTGGCACAAATACCAGATAAACCCAAATTTGAATACTGGTGGTGTTTGCAGGTGGAAATTGATTTTGTCATTTGGGAGTTTTAGTTGCTGTGATTTTTAGTTAAACTACAATTAAAGAGCATTCTGAATTCCACCAACGATGGAATTGAACCAAACTTGGCACACAGAACTCCAATGACCAACAGAAAATACTGGAAGGGTTTGGTGGGCAGTGACCTTGAGTTATAGTTCACCTACATCCAGAGAGCACTGTGGACTCAAACAATGATGGATCTGGACCAATTCTGGCGAATACTCAGTATGCTAAATGTGAACACTGATGGAGTTTGGGGAAAATAGACCTTGACATTTGGGAATTGTAGTTGCTGGGATTTATAGTTCACTTACAATCAAAAGCATTCTGAACCCCACCAATGATAGAATTGGGCCAAGCTTCCCACACAGAACCCCCCCTGACCAACAGAAAATACTGTTTTTTCTGATGGTCTTTGGTAATCCCTCTGTCACCCCCTCGTGGCCCCCTCAGGGGTCCTGAACCCCAGGTTGAGAAACATATGTGTTTTATTTCTCAACTTCTGAATAACAAAACAAGCCAAAACTATGCTAAGTGAAAGTATATGGCTCAGAGACACATTTAAGACCAATATCGCTAATTCTTTGTTCCCATAAAACCCTCAAGCAATATCTTATTACATTTGAATGATAGATCTGTCATCCTGTAACCACCCATCACTTCCTTTCTCTCTCAGTTTCGGAGAGAACAGGGAAGAGGCTTGGAAGCATTAGTAGTAGAAGTAAAATGCCAATGATAAAACATTACAGAAAGAAATAATGTTGATATAAAAAAGCAATAAAATTAATTAATTAGTCAAATTGATACATTTAGAAATCTTTTAAAATTTACTAGAAATCAGGGATGGATTAAAGCAGGGGTCCTCAAACTAAGGCCCAGGGCCCGGATACAGCCCTCCAAGGTCATTTACCCAGCCCTCGCTCAGGGTCAACCTAAATCTGAAACTACTTGAAAGCACACAACAACAACGCTATCTCATCAGCCAAATGCAGGCCCACACTTCCCATTGAAATACTAATACGTTTATATTTGTTAAAATTGTTCTTCATTTTAATTATTGCATTGTTTTTATGTGTTTTTTGCACTACAAATAAGATACATGCAGTGTGCACAAGAATTCATGTTTTTTTCAAATTATAATCTGGCCCTCCAACAGTTTGAGGGACTATCACCTGGCCCTCTTTTCAAAAAGTTTGAGGATCCCTGGATTAAAGTAATCAAAACATTAATTGTTATATCATAGGCATTTAACAGTTAAAGCCACACATTTATTGAATAGCTTTCCATAATTATAACAAATAGTGTGGGTTAAAGTTATCAACAGTTAATTTGTAAATGTGTGAATAGTACCTGAAGCGATTACTGTTTTAGTCTGTTTGAACATTAAAAGACAAAGAAATTCAGCATCACCTTTGAGGTTAACTGGGAAATAGATATTTCTAATAGAAGCTTTTTTAGACTCTTGTACTAGAAGTTTCTTCTTCCTAGCTACTGAATTCCTTTCTGTGTTTTCATCTTGAATGCACTATTTCCAAAGTCTGCACACATGTGCACATATATACATAGGGGAGTGTGCACACACACGACAAACACAAAGTTACCTTTGTCCCCTTTGCCATAAATTCACAGATGTAGACCCTTCCTCCAGTGACAGTGTCATTGTACATGGGGGCTCCAACCAAAACCAGATCTGTGTTTGCATCTTGATCCAAGTCCACTGAGCACAGAGTTGCTCCAAAATATGAACCAACCTATGGCATGAGAGAAAATACTTTTTATATTTTGTCTTCCTCCATTCATGTTAACTTTCATTCAGGTTCAAGTCTCTGTGTGTTATGTTTGTGAAGAAAAATCAACATTTGGAACAAAGGTTTTTTTTCATTGTTATTCCTTGTATTAGAAATTGGATGAAATAGAAATACTACAACATGGTGCCCTATTCCCAGAATGATATTGGAGTCAATGGGCTACTGGAAGCAACCGAAATAACCAAAAACTTAACAGTGTCATTTCCCCGCTCTCCTTCTTCAAAACAGGTCATCTAACAGGACAACCAAAGAGCTTTAGTCCCAAGCCCAGGCCAAAGGATTAGGAAATATTTAATAGACGCCCCAGAAAAAAATTATTTGACAGCCTTATAACAACAACAACAACAACAACAATAATGTGTTGTCGAAGGCTTTCATGTCTGGAATCACTGGGTTGCTGTGAGTTTTCTGGGTTGTATGGCCATGTTCCAGAAGCATTCTCTCCTGACGTTTCACCCACATCTATGGCAGGCATCCTCAGAGGTTGTGAGGATGCCTGCCATAGATGTGGGTGAAATGTCAGGAGAGAATGCTTCTGGAAAATGGCCATACAGCCCGGAAACTCACATACCCAATAATAATAATAATATACGTTAATAATAATACTGATTCCAGCCATGAAAGCATTTGACAATACATAATATAATTTATTTATATTCTGCCTTTCTCCCCTAGGGGGCTCAGAGTAGATTACAGTATTTACAAACATAGGCAAACATTCAATGCCTTTACAATCATATGCAATGAGACACACAACACAAACAAAGGCAGAGGCTTCTTCTTTCATTTCCAGCTTCTGGAGGTTATGCTCATCTCTGGCTGTGTGGAGGTGCTTTTCTCCATTTTCAAGTTGTCACCTCCTGGTCGTGTGGACGGCAAGATTGTTTGGAGCCTCTCTTTGCCTTTTCCCGTCTAAGTAGTACCTATTTATCAACTCACATTTGTATGTTTTCTAACTGCTAGGTTGGCAGGAGCTGGAGCTGACTGACAGGAGCTCACCCTGTCCCATGAATTCAAACTGCCTACCTTCAGGTCAGCAATTCAGCAGCACAAGAGTTTAACCCATTGTGTCCACCATGGTTCCTTAGTATGAATTCACCAAACAATATTAGGAGAATGTTCTCAACTGGTGAAAAGGAAAAATCTCTTATGTCTGTGAGTTGATCCACAAATTACTGTGGACTTCACACCTTCTGTCCACATTTAGAAGTTTTCCAGCAAGTATCTCACCTTCATCTGCATTTCCCTCAATGCAACCCATACCTCCAGTGGCGCAGTGCGTTAAACCCGTGTCAGCAGGACTGAAGACTGACAGGTTGCAGGTTCAAATCCGGGGAGTGGCAGATGAGCTCCGTCTATCAGCTTCAGCTCCTCATGCGGGACATGAAAAAAGCCTCACACAAGGATGATAAAAACATCAATTCATTCGGGCATCCCGTGGGCAATGTTCTTGCAGACGGCCGATTCTCTCACACCAAAAGCGACTTGCAGTTTCTCAAGTTGCTTCTGACACGACCAAAAAAATTCCCTCAATGCAACCCATACCTGTTCTCCAACAGCTTCTGCTTTCAGTTGCCATTCTCCACGCCTGGGATGTTTCTCAAACAGAACCACTTTGCCAACGTAGTCATAGCGGGGAGCTCCCACCACAAAACTAATTTTACCATTGTGCTGGACAGGCTGAGAGGAATAGCCTAAAGGGAAACAGATATTGATGATCATTTAGGGGTGCAATTCTAGTTGGGACGGATTTACCTTGAAGATGGTAGTCAAGAGAATATATCTGAAAGCCATTCTTAAAAACCCCTGGTCTCAAAGTAAAGGTTTGCAACAATTTCATGACTAGCCTTTTTCCAGAGTTGTCAGATCTGTTTTCCCTTCATCTCGCCCCCACAATAACCCCTTGAGGTAAGCTCAACTGAAAAGACTGCTTGAAATCCAGGTTCCAGGTCAGTCAAAAAAAGATCTGTGTAAGCCATGGGTGGATGATTAACTGCCCGCCTCAAATGCTGCTAGTCAAAATAGACCAAATTGAAATATGAAGAGTTTGATCTGCCTGAAGACTGTGTCCTGTGTTTGAGAAGCAGGAAAAGAGGCACAAGATGAGGAAATATGGCCAATTTTTGGTAAATTCCTTATCGGTTATAGAGCAAGGTTTGCTCCAGATGCCTCTGAAGTAAAAATAAATAGTGGCTGTACAAAAAATGGAAGACTAAAATGATCAAGGGTCTGGAAAACAAGCCCTATGAAGAGCAGCTTAAAGAGCTGGCTATGTTTAGCTTGAAGAAGAGAAATTCAGCATGTTGTTGTTGTTCATTCGTTCAGTCGTCTCCGACTCTTCGTGACCGCATGGACCAGCCCACGCCAGAGCTCCCTGTCGGCCGTTACCACCCCCAGCTCCCTCAAGGTCAGGGAGACATGATAGCCATGCATAAATATGTGAGAGGAAGTTAAAGGGAGGAGGGAACAGGCTTGTTTTCTGCTTCCTTGGAGACTAGGACGCGAAACAATGGCTTCAAACTACAAGAGAGGAGATTCCATCTGAACATGAGGAAGAACTTCCTGACTATGAGAGCTGTTCAGCAGTGGAACTTTCTGCTCCGGAGTGTGGTGGAGGCTCCTTCTTTGGAAGCTTTTAAACAGAGGCTGGATGGCCATCTGTCAGGGGTGATTTGAATGCAATATTCCTGCTTCTTGGCAGGGGTTGGACTGGATGGCCCATGAGGTCTCTTCCAATTCTTTGATTCTATGATATGATTCTATAGGCCCAGCGCGTGTCAGCACAGTATGGCTGTATGGAAGGTCTCTAAGTCATAGAATTCATAGAATCATAGAATCAAAGAGTTGGAAGAGACCTCATGGGCCATCCAGTCCAACCCCCTGCCAAGAAGCAGGAAAATTGCATTCAAAGCACACCTAACAGATGGCCATCCAGCCTCTGTTTAAAAGCCTCCAAAGAAGGAGCCTCCACCACACTCCGGGGCAGAGAGTTCCACTGCTGAACGGCTCTCACAGTCAGGAAGTTCTTCCTCATGTTCAGATGTAATCTCCTCTCTTGTAGTTTGAAGCCATTGATTCCGCGTCCTAGTCTCCAAGGAAGCAGAAAACAAGCTTGCTCCCTCCTCCCTGTGACTTCTATGGTTCTAGATTAGGCAAGAAATAGCAGAGATTGGGTTTTCACACTTACCAAGGTACACATTGTCCATTCTCTTAGCAGCACTAGAAATATTAACAAAACTTGGGTTTCTATTGCTGTTCTGGTATGACTCAATCACGGTACATCTGATGATGCAGGATCTCAGTCAATGTTTACTACTATTGTTGCCAAGGAGGGTGGGGAAGCTGGTCTTTTCACTGTGCGGTAAAAGTCTCACGACACTTGATCATTGTTTCCAACTTGACAAGACTTTCTCCTCGAGGCTGAGGAAACTTGTTCACCTACCCCAAACCCAAACCCATTACATGCCCAAAGGAGGACATGTTTGTGAGGTGGCTTTGCTCAGAGCCCTTATGGTACCTTCAATGACAAAGATCTTATCCTGCAGCTGGTCCTGGATGCCTTTGAGAGCATTGAAATTGTACACCGTGAAGACATGCTCTGCCTTTGGCTCAGAGGCAATGTCGTCCAGTTCCTGCCTGGCATTGGATCTCGAAAAAGCATCACCCACCTTTCACAGGGAAAAAAGAGAGAAGACCATCACAGATTCAGGTATGTCTAGCATTGATAAGAAAGGCAAAGCTCGGGAGCATATAGAAAAATGTGAGCACCGTGTATTCCCCCCCCCCCCAATATAATTTGCTCAGTTTTATATGGATTAGGTCCAGGTTATTTGAAGGACAGTATGCCTCTCTATGAACTTGTTAGGAATTTATGATCATTTGAGGAGGACCCTCTCTCTGTCCCACCGCCTGCTCAATTATGTTTGGCTGGAACTCTCTCCCAAGAGAAACCAGGATTTCTGCAAGCAGGTAAAGACATCTTTTTTTTTGCCATTAGGCATTTGGGAGAGGATGAGGGACAGACTGCTAGGGAGGTTGTGAGTGGGATTTTGGGGGGATGGTGAATTTTTTATGTAATTTTAAATTGTATTTATTGTATTTTGTTGGTATTTTAACTTTGTATCTGTGTGCGCGCGTGTGTGTGTGTGTGTATGCATGATTGTGTGGTGTTGAGTCCCTATAGGGAGAAAAGCAGGATATAAATAATGATGATGGTGATGATGGTTATAATAATAATAGGTTTTAAGGGGTTTCATAGTAGAAGACAGACTTTGACTCGCAGAGAAAACGACACATCTGAACATGTACATACAAACATGTACACATAACCAAGCAAATGGTCATTCTCAAATAAAATTAGTGGGTTTATATGTTTGTTGTTTATTTGTTCAGCCACTTCCGACTCTTTGTGACTTCATGGTCTAGCCCACGCCAGAGCTCCCTGATGGCTGTCACCACCCACAGCTCCTTCGAAGTCAAGCCAGTCACTTCAAGGATATCATCCATCCATCTTGCCCTTGGTTGGTCCCTCTTCCTTTTTCCTTCCATTTTCTCCAGCATCATTATGGACTTGTTTGATCTTCTTGCGGTCCAAGGCACTTTTCCTCCAACACCACAGTTCAAAAGCATATATCTTCCTTCGGTCAACCTTCCTTATGGTCCAGCTCTCACATCCATAGGTTATTTATTTGTCGTGTCAGGCCAACCAGTCAATTATATTACATTTGTAACAGAACAAAGCAAACAAACAGACAAAATACAAAATTTGTGAGTTTGGTAGTTGATTAAATGTCCTTTGACCAGTATCTGGCCACTTGGAGTGCTTCTGGTGTTGCTGCAAGAAGGTCCTCCATTGTGCATGTGGCAGGGCTCAGGTTGCATTGCAACAGGTGGTCAGTGGTTTGCTCCTCTCTACACTCGCATGTCGTGCTGGTCACTTCTGTGGCGAGAGAATCAGCTGTCAACGAAGACGTTGCCCAGGGGATGTCTGGACGTCTTGCAATCCATAGGTTACTATGGGGAACATCACTGCTTTAACTATGTGGAGCTTCATTGCCAGTGTGATGTCTCTATTCTTCACTATTTTATCGAGTGGTCACTGTGTCTGCAGTCATCTTTGCACCAAGAAATACAAAGTCTGTCACTGCCTCCATCTTTTCTCCCTCTATTTGCCAATTATCAATTAGTCCGGTTGCCATAATCTTGGTTTTTTGTTTATATGTGAAGCTGCTCAAATCAAAATCCTGCGAATGCTCACCCTTGCTAAATCCTCACCCCAATAGCATAGCGGATGATCCCTGCTTGCTCAGCCTCCGGAATCACTTGCCAGTACTGAAGGTTGTCAGTCTTCACCCCGTCTGTTATCACAATAAGAATCCTGGTGGCTCCTTTCCGAGCTCCCTTCTCTGAGGTGAACAGTTCCCGCCTTGTAAAGAGAGAGGGAAAGAAAGAAAAATGATGATTCAATTGATTGTACAAAGGAGAAGACAAGAGACAGAAGGAAAGAAGAGAGGAGTAAGATGATATGGCTAAGAGAGACCTACACAACTCTTCGGATGGCTGTAGCTGTTCGGGTCCATCCACTGACCTGATAAATATCCAGAACAAGTTGCTCTGGGTCTTTGCTGTTGAAATTAAAGTGTTCCAGGTATTTGTCTGAGAACTGTATGAGGGCAAACTGTCACAAGGAGGAAGAAAAAAAGGTTAGTAGTTACGGCCAATTGCTGCTTCTTAGTGGATTTAGTGGATTCAGAACAATCACTTGTCAGGCACTAATATCCCTGCTGGCTAGGGGGTTTCTGCGGGAGAGGGGGGAAACACTTCCACATTCTGGCTTTATCATTAAACTGCAACCTTTTCCCCATTACTATGCAAATGCATCACTTTCCTGTAAAAGATTGGTGTTTGCAGGGTGCTAGAAATATATGAACTACTTGTCTCACTCATAGTTCAAGTGTTACAACTGGAAGGGACTGTTTAGATGTCACCAATAGAATCATAGAATCATATAATAATCGAATTGGAAGAGGCCACATGGGACATCTAATCCAACCCTACATGGGTTATCTACTCAAATAATAATAATAATAATAATAATAATAATAATAATAATAATAATAATAATTGGCCAGGCTTTAGCACAACAGGTTAACTGCCAGCTGCAGAAAATCTTGCCAATCGAAAGGTTAACAGTTCAAGCCCAGCTCAAGGTGAGCTTCCCGCTGTCAGTCCAGCTTCTGCCCACCTGGCAGATTGAAAACTGCAATGTGATTAGATAAATAATTACCGCTTGAAGTGGTGAGGTAATAAAAGGCACCCACAAGGACATGCTGACGATTTGATCTGGAGGTCGTCTATGGCAGTGGTTCTCAACCTGTGAGTACCCCAGTGTTTTGGCTTACAACTCCCAGAAATCCCAGCCAGTTTACCAGCTGTTAGGATTTCTGGGAGTTGAAGACCAAAACACCTGGGGACCCACAGGTTGAAAACCACTCGTCTACAGACAACAAAAAGCTCATCACCATGAAAGATAGAGCGAGAGCACCCCTGTGGCCAGAGTTGAGCACAGCCTCCAGATTCTGGAGATGGACAAACATGGGAAAAATCTATAGCCCTGTTTATGTACTGTCTGTCCTTGTCAATTGTATTATAGCACTGAATGTTTGCCATATATGTGTTCTGTAATCTGTCCTGAGTCCCCTCGGGGAGATAGAGCAGAATATAAATACAGTAAATAAAGTATATATTGTCAAAGGCTTTCATGGCCAGAATCACTGGGTTGTTGTAGGTTTTTCAGGCTATATGGCCATGTTCTAGAAGCATTCTCTCCTGACATTTTGCCTGCATCTATGGCAGGCATCCTCAGAGGTTGTGAGGTCTGTTGGAAACTAGGAAAATTGGGTTTATATATCTGTGGAAAGTCCAGAGTGGAGAAAGAACTCTCCCACAGATATATAAACATTCCACAGATATAGAAACCCAATTTTCCAATTTTTACAACAACCCAAAGTATATTATTATTATTATTATTATTATTATTATTATTATTATTACATTTATTTATACCCCACTTTATCTCTCTAAAGGGGACTCAAAGCTATACAATTTAAAATATTCAGATATGCATGTATTCAAACAAAATGTAGATGCAAGGGCTTTGTGGGGTCACCCTGCTAAGGGACAGAGTTAGGATTCCACAGGAAAATTGAATACAGAGTTAGGGTTCTATAGGGGGGAAAATCTTGGTTGGATGATCAAAAAGTTTGGGAGACACCGCCTTAGTATTGCAGCAGAACCTAATACATTCAATAGTTTAGGCAAGGGGTCCTCAAAATTTTAAACAGAGGGCCAGGTCACAGTCCCTCAAACTGTTGGAGGGCCGGATTATAATTTGAAAAAAACATGAATGAATTCCTATGCACACTGCACATACCTTATTTGTAGTGCAAAAAACACTTTAAAACAATACAATAATTAAAATGAAGAACAATTTTAACAAATATAAACTTATTAGTATTTGTATGGGAATTGTGGGCCTGCTTTTGACCCTGATCGAGGGCCGGGTAAATGACCTTGGAGGGCCGTATTAGGCCCCTGGGCCTTAGTTTGAGGACCCCTGATCTACATAATGGGCTCCACCAGATATGAGGTTGTACAGCCGAAGAAGTTGGAATCCCAGGGGAAATCAGGCCCAAGGAGCCCAACTTATTATTCATTGAATCACATTTTCTTTAAAAAAATCCCAGAATAAGTATGAGTTGCAGATCCATACCTTTTTTTCATGTCAGGAACAACTTGAGAAACTGCAAGTTGCTTCTGGTATGATAGAACTGGCCGTCTGCAAGGACGTTGCCCAGGGGACACCCTAAAGGTGTTTGATGTTCTGCTATCCTTGTGGGAGGCTTCTCTCGTGTCCCTGCATGGGGGGCTGGAGCTGACAGAGGGAACTCAATCTGCTCTCCCCAGATTCAAACTGCTGACCTGCCAGCACAAGGGCTTAACCTATTGTGCCACTGGGGGCTCCATCCACGCCTTAAGAAGTTATGCTCTATGTCATCCAACTTTCATATCAGAACAGCACACGAACTAACCCACCACAAAACTGGGAAATGCTGACTCATAGCATGGCACTCCCTAGGTGCCCATTACCCGCGTGTCTCTGCCAGAGAGTCTCTTGATGGTCTGAGAAACAAACTGCTTCATCCGTTCAAAGTCTGCCCCGTCAATGCTACCCGAGCCATCAATCAAGAACACAATGTCTGTTGGGTGAGTTGTACATTCTGAAAATGAATACAAAGAGATACAAGTGAATGCCATTTTTAGGATGCCGCCTTTTATATCTACCCATAGACCACTGACAACCCAACATCACTCAAATTTATACGAAGAAAATTTTACACCATTTGGGAGCAAACAAGGATGAACAGATCATTTGGTTTCATGTGCTATTTTTTGGGAAAGGATAGGAAGAAAAGGGAATTGTTAAAGTAAGCTTTACACTGGAAGGAGAATGATGAGAAACAGGCATTTTGAAAGTCACCAGATAAGTTATTTACTATGAAATAAGCAAGGAGGAGGGGTTTTATAAGGACTGATAAATTCTAGTTCCAAGTCAAGAGGAACTTCAGATAAGAGTTTTATCATTTCATCATTCTGCCTCAGTTTATTGTTGTTGTGGTGGTTTTCATTATTTGAATTAGTTTACAAAAGTACAATTACTATACATATTAACATATGTAAGAGATAACAGTATGAATATATAGACCAGGGATAAAGTTCAATGTGAAGTCTTGGTTCTGCCGTCTCTCCTCTGCTTCAATTCCACCTGTTCATAGGTTTTCCCAATAGCGTAGCTAGCTACCTTCCTTTGTATTAATTTTTGGATGGAGCATAAAAACACCCCTCTGAGGCCAATGTTAGTTGGTCTTTTTCATTTCCCTGTACAGAGCTCCTTGCTGGACTCCGCCTTTTTTCTCCATAAGCACTACAGTGAACAAAGTTACAGATTGTCTGGTATCCTAAGCCCAAGTATAAAGATTTTAAAAATATCATCCCGCAGCTGCCTCCAATTATAAAGATTTGCTATTATAAATCACTATACTATTATAAATCACGCCGCTGATCACCAATTATAAAGGATCCGTTTGTATGATCCCAGTGCTAATCACCAGTATACAGGAATGTATGTAATTCACACCACTGGACTCTAGTATGGTAGCGAGATGGTGTTATATATCATATGTAATGGTAGAGTGTGTAGTACTTGTCTTCTCTTTATATGCTGCCACCAACCCAAGCTGTCTTAGGATTTTTAAAATGCCACTCTGAGGTAACCTTTCCCCTCTTCTGCCACCACTACCCTCCCTTTAACTCCAAAGCAAATGATTGTCAGGGTTAGAGTTCTTTCTGTGATATCATGATGTCGAACTGACTAGACATTTTACCCTAGGATTACTGATAGAATAAGTAACGATAGAGGCTTCTTAAAAGTCAAACAGAGAAAAGATTTATTTATAAGAAAACAGACAACTGATTTCTTCTTTTGAGCGGCACAAACACTTGACTTGTTACTATAGCACAATCTCTTAATGGTTGCTTAAAAAAAGAGTTTCTTGACTTGGTTACAAACAGAGCTAATCTCACAGATATAGCTAGTGGTTACAAAAAATCCCTCACTCTACTTCAGCGAAATAGCAATGAGTTCTTGACTAACCTATCCCAGGCTGTCTTCTGAGTAATCAGTTAACTCTCCTCAGAGTCCTTATTATTATTATTATTATTATTATTATTATTATTATTATTATTAAACTTTATTTGTACCCCACTAGCATCTCCCGAAGGACTCGATGCAGCTTACAAAGGCCAAGGCCCCAACACACAATATAACAGTACAAAAAACCAAAGCAAATTAAAAATAGTTAAAGCAGTAAACAACAAGCAATAAACAAAACACTAAGACACAATAAAACTGGGCTGGGCCAGAGTAATGGGTACAAGATTAAAAGTGCTGATGTGCTTACAGCTAACTTACTCAAACTAGAGAGCAAATCCCTTGTGCTGTCTCCCACCTTTCTTGTCAGCTATTCAGCCCTGCCTAACACAAATGTTCTCTCTCAGAAAAACCCAGTCTCAAAACCACTTCTTCTCCCTTCAGTTCCCAAATCTCCTCTCTCTCAGAAGCTGAAATCTTTTTCCCTCCCAAGACTTGGCTCCTCCTCCTCTGCTCTAGCCAATCCCAGGAGACCTCCAACTCCTCTTCTATCTATCCTCCCTCAAGATGGCTGCTTTACTGGCAGACACTCTCAAAATGGAGGTTTGCCCTACTGTCTTCCTAGGCTTCTATTCTGGCCTATTAGGTAAGAATCATTACACCAAGCAATCCAAAACAGGCACTCTTAGTATCTGCATTCAGCAGTATTTTTATACCATCGATCCAAAGGACAACAGAAGCTTTTGGCCAACTTAAGTTTCACAGGAAAGAAGATTGAGACAGTTTATAACAATTGCTTTGCACCAGAGGGAAGAGAGACTTTCAAAGACCCCAGAAAGATGACTGCAACCAGCAAGTTCTCCCTTTGTGATGTATTGTTTTACGTTATCCTATGATAGTCCCGGGTGGAGTAAACGCTTTATTCATCTTGTCTGCAGTAAACTCATTTGGTTATCTTTTCAACTTCCCTAAAGTTCCTTTGTCTGCTAAGGGTCTTACTCTTAACAGAAGGTATCAGATAGCACCCGAGTAAAGCTGGACAATATAGTTTTCTCAAAGGGCTCAGGTGTGCCATCATAATCAAGAAAAGACAGGTAATAAAATTTCTATTCCACTAGGAACAGAAAAGTGATTTACCTGGAGACCTAGCTTGGGGCCCTTCCACAGAGCCATATAATCCAGGGCCCTTCCAGACAGGCCCTACATCCCAGGATTTGATCCTAGGTTTTCTGCTTTAAACTGGATTACATGAGCATGCACTGCTAAATAATCAGGGATAAACAGAAAACCTTGGATCAGATCCTGGGATATAGGGCCTGTCTGGAAGGGCCCCCAGAATATCAAGGCAGATAATCCACAATATCTGCTTTGAACTGAATTATCTGAGCCCACACTGCCATATAATCCAGTTCAATGTGGATTTTATACGTCTGTGTGGAAGGGGCCTTGGTCTCAAGGGAAAAGAACAAGCTGGGTCTTAAGGGAAGTCACTTTTCCATTGCTGATGGAAGTTGAAGTTTTATTACCTGTCTTTTATGGGCCTTTTCCCCTAGTCCCCACATTACCAACAAGGGAAGGTCCTTGCCTGCTTCCCGATCCCTCCAGAACAACTGAACTACACCAAAAACAACATCTTAGAATTGAAGATTTATGGTATATGACCTTGCAGGAGTCAACGCCTTAGTTCGATAGTTTCTTGCAAACCCTGCAGCCACATTGGCTCTGTCTATCCGTTGGACCCTATTCTGTGGGCATGAGGTCTCACCTGGCAACGTCTCTGGGAAGCGTTGGAGCTGTTGGAGATTCTGGTCCAGAAGGAAACAGTAGCCATTCACATACATATTCTCCCCACAGGTTCGGTGAACTGTAGGCCCGCAAACCTTAGAAGGGAGCAGAGAGGTGCTTCTGATGGTAACATTCACCAAATCATACTTCTCAGCATCTCAAGACAGTCTCAGTCTTCACAGGAGCAGAATGTGTCCAGAGGAGGGCAACTAAAATACTCAAGGGTCTGAAGAACAAGCACTATGAGGAGCGGCTTAGAGAGCTGGGCACGTTTAGCTTGCAGAAGAGAAGGCTGAGCAGAGACATGATGGCCATGTATCAATATGTGAGGGGAAATCATAGGGAGGAGGGAGCAAGCTTGTTTTCTGCTGCCCTGGAGACTAGTGTTGCACATCAGGGCTGGGAAGGCACTTCTGAACCAATCTCACACTCCAGAGTTCAGTAAATAAGCAAAGCAGTTTATTAAAGATTAAATGTAGCTTCAGCAAAAGAATAAAAGCATTAAAAGGTAATACAAAATATAGTCCATGTAAAAACAGTCACTTAAAAACTTGGAAGCAATAATCCAAAAGACCAAGGTACAAGCAAGGCCTTTAAACTGAAGATTTAGCACACAAAACAATCCAGAGGATTAAAGGTATATGATAGGCATAGCACAGATCCAAAAAGTCCATGATACCACTTGATTCCAGGTGCAATACAAAAAACCACAAAGAACACTTGAAACCATGAAAAACCACATAGGAAAATCCAAGGCCCATGAAGCTTGAAACAAGAGAGGGGTATATTACCTATACTAGACACTGATTCCTCTGAAGAATCTATCCAAATAAACCCTCATTTAGACGTAAGAAACTATGCCTTTTTCCTTGAGAACTCTGGGGAGGGCCTTTCTTAGATAACAAGCTCGGAGAGCGATGCCTCCCTTTGGTCATCTGTCTCTGTTGACTAACTCAGGGGAGTCAGACTGCTCTACATCTCCAATTAACACATTCCGATCAAATTCTGACCTTGGGAAAGCTAACTCTGGCCTATCAGCCTCTGAATCTGTCTCTAACTGAACATCCACTGTTGACCTGACAATCCCAGAATCCTCAGCCGCATCAGGAGCAACACCAGACTCCTGTTCAAAATTTCCAGCCTCAGACTCCTGAGGGTTTGCAAAAGTTTGTTCACTGGTCTCTGAAACATCAGGCAATGAAACAATCACATGCTGAACCACAACAACTAGGACGAGGAACAATGGCTTTAAACTAACAGGAAAGGTAATTCTACCTGGACATCAGGAAGAGCTTCCTAACTGTTCAGCTGTGGAACTCTCTGTCCCGGAGTGTGGTGAAGGCTCCTTCTTGGGAGGCTTTTAAACAATCTATTGGGAATGCTTTGAATGGGATTTTTTTGCTTCTGGGCAGAAGGTTGGACTTCCAACTCTATGATTCTATGATTCTGGGCTGAAAATGCCTTCCAGCTCCATCGTTGACAGATGGTATTGGCTGAACCCTGATTTCACTTTTGCCTTCATGGCTTGAAGTCAGGGTCTGAAATAACATTTTATTATACACACACACACACATGTTGTAACAACATATAGTCAGTGAACTAGTTCAGTCTCCACTTTGACTGCCACTTAATACCAGGTGCTGCAGGCTGAATTACAGAGGAAGGAACTGACAAAACTTTATTCCTTGCCGAACAAAACCCTGAAATTAACAAGTCACCCTACATCAGCAGACAACTTGAAGGCATGCACACAATAACCTGAAGGTATCCCATCTTGTCTTAAGCAAACTAAGCAGGATCAAGTCTGGTCAGTGATGAGATAGGAAACCCCCACTAATACTAGAGATCTCCAGCTAGGACTGAATCCTATCTGAAACTCTCGAGAAACGTTAAAAGTTGACTGCGCTGAGCTTTCTGCAAAGAGCTATCTTACTCTTGCTCTCCATACAGGTAATACAGGTGATACACTGTGGGTAAAAATGCCCCAATATAAGCTAGATGCATTTTGGAAGTTGGAGTCCAAAACAGTAATGTTTTCAAATGTTTATTACTATTGTTATTGTTATTAGAACTTGAAGCCACTTACAAAATAACTAGTGTGAACCTGGATACACTTACCAAGACCTGAGAATCATGGGCAGCCAATGACAAACCAAGTGACATATTGACAGCATCGACTGGTCCTGAAATTTAAATAAGAATATGGATAACTCTTTACACAGGAAAAGGAAAAAGAAAAACCTTAACCACAAAGAGATTACAATCTTCAAAAAATACAGGCATTCTGGCTCCTAAAAATCTCTGGTGGACAATCTTTAGCCCTCAGACAGGTTTGAATGCTGGGCAACTGGGGGACCAGAGTTCAAATTCCCACATGGAAACCCATTGGGGGCCCTTTCACACACCTGTATAAATCCACATTGAACTGGATTATATGGCAGTGCAGACTCAGATAACCCAGTGCAAAGCAGATATTGTGGATTATCTGCATTGATATTCTGGGTTATCTGGCTTTGTGGAAGGGCCCTGGGTGATCTTAGGCAAGTCACACACTCTCAGCCTCAGAGAAAGGCAATGGTAAAGACTCTCTGAGCAAATCTTGCCAAGAAAACTCCATGTCAGGATTCCCTTCAAGCTGAAATGATTTCAGAGAAGCCAGAAGTGTTCACAGAGCGAAGATTCAGCAACATAAGTGTGTGAGGGCCCTTCCGCACAGCCATATAATCCAGAATATCAAGGCAGATAATCCACAATATCTGCTTTGAACTGGATTATCTGAGTCCACAGTGCCACATAATCCAGTTCAATGTGACAGTTGTGTGGAAGGGGTTTGAGGGACAAAGTTTAAGGAGGAAAGTATACCAAGGAATTAGAAAACTAAAAGTAAACTTTGTTGTTGGAACTCCAGACCAGAAAGATGAGCCTACATCTTGACAGAGGCCCGAAAGGGTTAAAAAAATAACACCAAAATGGACTTTGTGAGACAAGCCATTTTAAAAAGAATTTTGAGTCACATGCAAATTATGAAGTCTATGAGAGAAACTGTAAAGATGAAACAAAAAATAAGAGTTTTAGCTTTGCATGCAAAACACTCCAAAGCAGTATTTCTCAACTTTCCTAATGCTGTGATCCCTTAATACAGTTCCTCATGTTGTGGTGACCTCCAACCATAAAATTATTTTTGTTGCTACTTCAAAACTGACATTCTGCTACTGTTATGAATCATAATGTAAATATCTAATATGCAGGATGTATTTTCATTCACTGGACCAAATTTGGCATAAATATCTGATATGCCCAAATTTGAATACTGGTGGGGTTGAGGGGGATTGATTTTGTCATTTGGGAGTTGTACTTGCTGGGATTTATAGTTCACAGACAATCAAAGAGCATTCTGAACTCCACCAAAGATGGCATTGAACCAAACTTGGCAAACAGAACTCCCATGACCAACAGAAAATACTGGAAGGGTTTGGTGGCTATTGACCTTGAGTTTTGGAGATGTAGTTCACCTGCATTCAGAGAGCACTGTGGACTCAAAAAAAGAATGGATCTGGACCAAACTTGGCAAGAATACTCAATATGCCCAAATGTGAATACAGGTGGAGTTTGGGAAAAATAGACCTTGGCATTTGGGAGATGTAGTTGCTAGGATTTATAGTTCACCTACAATCAAAGAGCCCCACCACACCACCAACGATATGAAACTGCATTATATGGGAGTTCTGGTAAAATGAAAGGCCTTGCTGTAACCTGGATCCCTCACCTCAGCCCCTTACACTGGTCTTCCTAACCACGTTGTGTTTCTCGCTTCCTACAGGATCTCAATTCTTTCTCACGCATGCGAAACATCTGGCTTTTCAAATATCACATTTCATAAAACCACATTCTCACCCAAAAGCCCCGAGGAACCCTCCATTTATGGCACATTTCTTCTGTCCTTATGGAAGGTGTGTGTTTCTATGTGTGTGGGAACCAAATTACCACAGCTCCTCTATTCACACTTACGTTGAATATTAATTTTTTCACAACTTCCTGTGTGAGCGTCACACCGGTAAATTCTACCCACTTCATTCATGTCTCCTTTTTCGAGTGGAGCCCCAACAAACACTCTGAAGATACATGTGAAGAGAGAGATCATTAATATTTCTAAAGCATGCAAAGCATTCTCTGTTGTATAGGTAAAGGTAAAGGTTTCCCCTTGACAGTAAGTCTAGTCGTGTCCAACTTTGGGGGGTGATGCTCATCTCCATTTCCAAACCAAAGAGTCGGCATTGTCTGCAGACACCTCCAAGGTCATGTGGCCAGCATGACTGCATGGAGGCCATTACCTTCCCACCGAAGTAGCTCCTGTTGATCTACACACATTTGCATGTTTTTGAATTGCTAGATTAGCAGAAGCAGGGGCTAACAGTGGGAGCTCACCCTGCTCTGTGGATTTGAACCACCAACCTTTCAGTCAGCAAGTTCAGCAGCTTAGCAGTTTAACCTGCTGCGCCGCTGGGGGCTCCTCTCTGCATTGTATACTAAGGAAAAAAGGAAAAAAAGAACAAGAGAAATGCCTGCCAAATTTTTTTTATCGACAACAAAGGAAACCGAAAGAAAGGAGAGGCCAAGGAAACAAAGAATTAATGGGACCAACTGCAGTAATTATTGTTGTTTCAGGTTCACTGAAGCTCAAGAGGAGACGCAAAGAATTCAACCAAAGGTTTTTTTTAGAAAATGTGGGCAAAGAAAATGTGTGACTCCACATACATTTTCCACACATACAGATTTCCATAGGAAGAAGACAGGAAAGCTTGGAGAAGAGAATGATACTGGGGAAAATGGAAGGAAAAAGGAAGAAGGACCGACAAGGGCAAGATGGATGGATGGTATCCTTGAAATGACTGACTTGACCTTGAAGGAGCTGAAGATGGCTATGACTGACAGGGAGCTCTTGCGTGGTCTGGTCCATGAGGTCACAAAGTCGGAAGCAACTGAACGAATAAACAACAACAACATAGCTCAGGCATGGGAAAACTTTGTCCTTCATGGTGTTTTGGATTTTAACTCCCACAATTCCTAATAGCCTACCAGCTACCGGGTATAGATGCACCCCTAGTTTTTGTGTACTTCCTTCTTGATAATCTTGGCCATCTTGATCGTATATTCATGTTGCTTGTCTGCATTTGTTTTGGTTTCCACCTGTGAAATCTTGGAGGAGTCACTTTAGGTCTTTGACATTATAAAAGGGGCCAGAAGAGTGGCATAAAAGTAATATAGAAACTGAAAGACATCAGATGTGGCTTCTGCTGTGATAGTATCACTTGTTTTCAACAGGATACAAGGAGAACAATCAAGGGCCTTGCTATCTAACTTTATATCTTTACGTTGCGGTCTTTGTCCCTTACTTCCAGTCTTTGCCCCAGAAACCAATTCCAACAACCTTAGTCTCAAATCAGTTTCCTCTTACGCGTTTCTTGTTTGTGCCACGCTTGCTCCAAAGCTCTGAGTTTGCACTGGGAAGATGGTTGGTGTGTCCACATCCACACTGAATCCACAGCCCCGTGGCACCAGCACTGTAGGAAAAACATTACAATAATTACATGCTTATATATGAATGTGCATACATGCACATATGCACACTGCTCGCACAGAAGGATTCCACTGTAATTAATTCAGAATTATTACTGTTACTACTCAAGAATTTAATTTGAGCTTAAGCTCAAATGTAGCTATTGTTCATTCAAAAACACTGAGATCTGAAAAATTGAACATTTCAGATATACAATCAACTCTCTGTTAACTGGCACCTATGGAAATCTTTAGATGAGTACTTTTGGAGAAATAGGGCAGTTTACAAATAAAGTTTTATTATTATTTATTATAAGCATCATTTTTGATTGCTTGAGAATTACTATTAAAAATTAGAATTTTGTGCGGATCTGTTTCCCTTAGTTACATCCATTCTTTCGTTATTTTCATTACCTTTAGGAACACATAACGGGAAGTCCCTTCCCAGTACAAAAATCAGTTCGACACAAAAGCAAGTGGGAGCCGATTGCTTTCGTGAGCACGTGGTGCTCCATGCCTCCTTGTCTTGGAAAGAGAGCTGGGCCTGCATGCTTGCTTGCAGCCGAGCGCATCCACTAGAGTAAGAAAGAACTTGCCTCTTTGACTTGGAAAGAGTGTGTATGTGTGTGTGGCGTGCAGGCCCAGAAAGTATGTGTGTCTTCCTGCAGCCGAGTACCTCTCTTCTAGAGTAGAAACAGGTAAGAAATCTCCTTAAAGCGTGGGCCTGCCTGCAGCTGAGTGCCTCTTCTCTAGAGTAAAACAGCTTAAATACCTAAAACGATGGGAAGGGGAGCCTGGAAGCCCCCCCCCTCCATAATGGGCCAATAGAAAAGGGATCTTTTGGCACCCCAGAGAGAAAACAGATATCTGCCCTCCTGATTTTGGGAGGTTTCTAAAAAACGGATCGGGGCCCCCACCAAAAGCCGGGACACAAAACGGCTCAAGGTTTACCCTGAAAGCACAAGTCTATTAAAAATAGATCCAACTAATACTATACCATACCGTAAACTCTGTATTAACTTGATACTAACATTGAAATGCAATCATTAAAAGCAAATGAAGATAAGCTTAACTTAATATAACATAGTTTTACTGTATTATAAAAATAACTTTGTGAGTGCAGAAGGCAATAAAATATTTTCTGTTTTTTTTCCAGTTGCTTGAGTGTTCCAGTTGCTTGAGTTCCTGTTAACTGAGAATCTACTGCATATGCATTTTGTGTATTTTTAAGTGTGTGTGTCTGTGTACATACATACATACATACATACATACATACATACATACATACATACATTGGTATATATCCAGGGTGCTTTGGAACCTATGCAAAATCCCATTTTTTTTACATTTTCTGCAGAACTTTTGTTTTTGTGGAATCCAGAAGAAATTATTCTCATGGCAAAAAATTAAAATTAAAAAACGATTTGTAGAAACATAAGTGAAGTGATCCAACTGAGCTCTTATATTATTGATCACTTCCAATACTAAAATCTATCAATGGACTTCTGTGTAAATCAGCAACTAATATACAGAGACATGTTGTCCAAATTGGTTTCCACTGTTAGGCTCATCTTCCATTTATTTGTCTAAACCACTTTTTAAATTCTCTCTAAATTGTTGGCCATCACTACACCTTACAGTAGAAAATTCTACACTTTAACTATAGGTTTTCTGAAAGAGAAATATTTGTCTCCATTCACTTACTTCAACCCAACTTTATGGATCTTTAACACTCACTTTTTGCACCCCTAAAATGATACAAATATTGGAAGCTTTTCTTGACTGATACTCATCACCTTGCCGTTTCCCATGGATGCCTGACATAGATGCAGGCGAAACATCAGGAGAGAATGCTTCTAGAACATGGCCATATAGCCCAAAAAACCTACAACAACCCAGTGATTCCAGCCATGAAAGCATTCGACAATACACTTACACCAGTGTTTCTCAACCTTCCTAATGCCATGATCCCTTAATACAGTTCCTCATGTAACCATAAAATTATTTTTGTTCCTACTTCATATCTATAATTTTGCTACTGTTATTAATTGCAATGTAAATATCGGATATGCAGGATGTATTTTCATTCACTGGACCAAATTTGGCACAAATACCCAATATGCCCGAATTTGAATACTGGTAGGGTTGGGAGGGCATTGATGTTGTCATTTGGGAGTTGTAGTTGCTGTGATTTATACTCACCTACAATCAAAGACAATTTCAACAATGGAGTTGAACCAAACCTGATACACAGAACTCCCATGGCCAACAGAAAATACTGGAAAGGTTTGAGGGACATTGACCTTGAGTTTTGGAGTTGTAGTTCACCTACAACCAGTGAGCACTTCAACAATAATGGCTCTGGACCAAACTTGGCATGAATACTCAATATTCCCAAATGTGAACACTGGTGGTGTTTGGGGAAAATAGACCTTGACATTTGGGAGTTGTAGTTGCTGGGATTTATAGTTCACCTACAATCAAAGAGCATTCTGAACCCCACAAGGATAGAATTGGGCCAAATTTCCCACACAGAACCCCCATGACCAACAGAAAATACTGTGTTTTCTGATGGTCTTTGGCAACCTCTCTGACACCCCCTCACAAACCCCCCCCCCCCCCCGGGGTCTCAACCCCCAGATTAAGAAACATTGACTTATACCCTTTGGCAGAGGGAGCTAAAAACTATAACTCTCATTATTCCATAGCACTGACATATGGCAGTTAAAGTGGGGTCAAGCTGTATTTATTTGACAGTGTAGATGCGCTCTAATTAAGGCTACGTCTACACTGCCCCTATATCCCAGGATCTGATCCCAGATTATCTGTTTATCCCAAATTATCTAGCAGTGTACACTCATATAAACCAGTTCAAAGCAGATAATCTGGGATCAGATCCTGGGATACAGGGCAGTGTAAACCCAGCCTAAGGGGAAAAAACATTGATTACTGTATATACACTTTCATAGACTTGAGTCTCTTCCCTTATGAAAAGAGACTGGAAAATCCCAGTTCATACCCAAGGTTTCCATGGCTGTTGACACTCACCTGTGTACAGGTAAAAAAGCAAAGGGAGAAGATCCATGACAGGTGAGGATCCAGATGTGAAGCAGTAAGCAGGATAGATGTCCCAGGGCAGGAAAAAAAAGAACAGGAAAGTGAGCAGCAAACTGCCTTAAGGGGAATTTGCAACAATGCAGCTGAGTATATAAATCTTTGAAAAGCCCTGCCCTCAAGGTAAAAGAGGCGGGCAAACAGGAGCCGAGCAGGCCGATCAGAACTGAGTGACTCAGTTTGGCTGCTACACGCGATGAATAAATAAATGAAGAGTTCTCCAAAAAGTTAGTTGCAAGGTTAGCAAGAACGGAGGCAAAAAGGAAAAGAGCACTGAGCTCTTTAGCAATTCTGTAGATAAGAGTTTCTTTCTCACTTCTTTTGATGCCTCCTGAAATTATCTTTTTCTATGTGGTCAGTGGAGAAGGAGCCCTACGCCCTGTCTTGCAAAATCGTCTTGAGTGACCTCAGTTTGCAGCTCAGAAACCTAAACGGACAGCTAGCAATTGTAGCATTGCCCACATTAGCCACAGAGCTGTTACTAGTATCCCAGAAGCTAAGTAGGCCATACTATAGAATTAATGCAGTTTGACAACACTTTCCACCTCTTCACACAAGGCATTTTTTGCCTTGGCTTGATGTTATCGCAGCACGAGAGTTGTGCTTTGGTGAGGCACCAGCACTTTTTGGCAGAGAAGGATAAAGATCTTATATACCGTATATACTCAAGTATAAGCCAGCCCAAATATAAGCCAAAGCACCTAATTTTTCCACAAAAAAACCTGGGAAAACGGATTAACTCGAGTATAAGCCAAGGGTGGGAAATGCAGCAGCTACTGGTAAAGTTCAAAATAAAAATAGGTACCAATAAAATCACATTAATTGAGCCATCCAGAGGTTAAAGGTTTTTGAATATTTACATAAAACTGTAATTTAAGATAAGACTGCCCAATTATGATTAAAACATTATTGTAACCTTCTTCAGTGTATTATGTGCCTTTCCAATAATAATAAAGAGAGTAAAATGATTAATGAAATAATAAAAATATTAGAGAGAAATAATGGAAATGTAATAATAACAGTAATAATAGTGTAAAATGATAAATGCATCATAACAATAATATAGTAAAATAATAAATGTAATCATAATAGTAATAATAGAGTAAAATAATGGAAATGTAATAATAACAGTAATAATAGTGTAAAATAATAAATGTAACCATAACAATAATAATAAAGTAAAATAATAAATGTAATAATAATAATAATAATAATAATAATAATAATAATAATCGTGTTAAAAAACAAAGTATGGATTGTCAATGTCGCAATCCCAGGTGACAGCAGGATTGCAGGGAAACAACCGGAAAAGCTGACACAATATGAGGATTTAAAAATTGAACTGCAAATACTCTGGCACAAACCAGTCAAGGTGGTCCCATTGATGATCAGCACACTGGGTGCAGTGCCTAAAGACCTTGGCCTGCACTTAAACTCAATTGGTGCTGACAAAATTACCTTCTGCCAGCTGCAGAAGGCCACCTTACTGGGATCTGCACGCATTATTCGCCAATACATCACACAGTCCTAGGCAGTTGGGAAGTGTCCGATGTGTGATCCACTATAACAGCCAGCAGAGTGTCCCCTGTGGACTCATCTTGTTGTGTTTCAAATAATAATAATTATGACAATAGAGTAAAATAATAAATGCAAGAAAAAAAGAATAACAACAGAGTAAAATTATAAATAATCTTGAATCGAGTATAAGCCGAGGGGGACTTTTTCAGCCTAAAAAAGGACTGTAAAACTAAGCTTATAGTCGAGTATATACAATAATTCCAAGTTCACTAATGCCACAACATTGAGCCATTGAGTCAATGTGGTGCCAAACTGCAGTAATTCTGCAGTGGAGTTACATCCATAGTTAAGGATACATAACAGTTCTTCCTCACAACACTAATATAGCACTATGATTCCACTTTAACTGCCCTGGCAACATTGTAAAGGAACTGTAAAATTTGCAATTTAGGAAGAGGCATTTAGAATTTGCAGTGAGAGTTCCTGAACGTCACTGAATACAAATCCCAAAATTCCAGAGCATGTTGCCATGGCAGCTAAAGTGCAATAATAGCATTATAACAGTGTAGTGGTGATTGGGGCCTCCGGTGGCGCAGTGGGTTAAACCCCTGTGCCGGCAGGACTGAAGACCGACAGGTCGCAGGTTCGAATCCGGGGAGAGTTCGGATGAGCTCCCTCTATCAGCTCCAGCTCCTCATGCGGGGACATGAGAGAAGCTTCCCACAATGATGGTAAAACATCAAAACATCCGGGCGTACCCTGGGCAACATCCTTGCAGATGGCCAATTCTCTCACACCAGAATCAACTTGCAGTTTCTTGCTGCTTGGCCATGAAAACCCATTGGTTTGTGACGAAATGAAAATCATATGTAGTTTACGTTTGACCAGTCTATCCACTGTCTTGCCAGAGAAAAGATATACCACTCAGATGATCAACAAAGAACATGAAGTTTACTCTTTGTAATTCAGAGCAACATATGTACAGTCATTTGAACAGTTCCATTGATTCACACAATGTCTTTTTAGAGAGATGCAAAATGGTCCTTTCTGTGTCCATATGAGAGACCTTCTTTCGGCAGCTCAGAAACAAATCAATTTCTCTCTGTATGCTCCAGCACAGCTAGCAACTTGAATATGTTGCCAAAAGTCCCAGGCTCAGCTAGCTCATTGGGCATGGCCCAACCAAACAGCTCCATGTGTTTCATTTTCAGTTAACACGCACACATCAACTGATTTTCACATGCTCCAACATGGTTGACCTTGGGCAAGCCATACTCTCTTTGGACAGGAGTCAATTAGAAGGTACATAAGAGCAATAACAATAATATCTGAGCATGACCTATATATTGTGGAGAGTTACATGAGAAACCTTTTAAAAAGTTTTCTCACACCTAAATTTTTAAAATATTTCTATAATATCAGAAGACTCTTGTGTAGGATTTGCTGTTGTCCCTAAAAAGAAATGTTTGAAGAATGGAAGAAGTCTGAATTTTAGAATTGTGTGAGAAATGTTTAGAAGGATTTCATATTATTTCTCACCATCTTCACACTTCAGCAAGTCCTGTTCCTTAAAAGTACTTTGAGCAAAACTCTTGGTCTCAAAGGAAGGCAACAGCCAAATGCTTTAGAAGAAACCTTGCCAAGAAAGTCCCATGACAGGCTGGCCTTAGGGCACAGATGCCAGGTTTTCAAAATAACAACAAGGCTAGACAAAATCCATGACACATAGCGTCGGCAGGAAGTAGCTATTAATAAGACTGTGGTCTGCCTAAATACCAAATAAAAGTGCTAATTTCAGTGAAACTTCATCATGCATTGCTTGGTAATGTTAATATACTGTCTACATTTTGCAAACAGAAGTTACATTATGTTGCACTTAATGAATGGCCTTGTTTGAATTGTATGAAAAAATGCACAATGGCCATGATACAAATTCAAGGTATCCTGAAACTCAAATTTGGTTAGATATTATTATTATTATTATTATTATTATTATTATTAATAATAATAATATTGGGTTGTTGTAGGTTTTTTCAGGCATTCTCTCCTGACATTTCGACTGCATCTATGGCAAGCATCCTCTGAGGATGATTGTCATAGATGCAGTCGAAACGTCAGGAGAAAATGCTTCTAGAACATGGCCATATAGCTACAACAACCCAGTGATTCCAGCCATGAAAGCCTTTGACAATATTATTATTATTATTATTATTATTATTATTGCAACTGTTTCAATACATTGCAATGTTTTGGTGCTAAATTCTAAATAAATTAATTACTACATAACTTTACCATGCATTGATTTGCTTTTTCTGTCGATTTTTTGTAAAACATGAGGTTTCGGTGCTGAATTTGTAAAAAAATATATATGTAATTTGACGTGTAATAGGCTTTTCCTTAATTCCTCCTTATTATCCAACATTTTCGCTTATCTAACATTCTGCTGGCCCGTTTATGTTGAATAAGCGAGATTCTACTGTAAGGTAAAGGTAAAGGTAGTCCCCTGACATTAAGTCTAGTCATGTCTGACTCTGGGGTGTGGTGCTCATCTCCATTTCTAAGCCGAAGAGCCAGCGTTGTCCGTAGACACCTCCAAGGTCATGTGGCCGGCATGACTGCATGGAGCTGATTAATTACCAGATTCTACTGTACTGGTAATTAATCTTGGTAATATCTTTTATCATTATTTCTTTCCACCTGATGCCTTACTTCTGAAGCTTAAGTTTTGTTAAACCACTGGGCTGCTGAACTTGCTTACCGAAAGGTTGCGGGTTCGAATCCGGGGAGCGGCATGAGCTCCCGCTATTAGTCCCAGCTTCTATATTTTAAACTTTGGATAGCTCAGGGGGGAGCCCCGGTGGCACAGTGGGTTAAAACACTGAGCTGCTGAACTTGCTTACCGGAAGGTTGGCAGTTTGAATTTGGGGAGCGGGGTGAGCTTCTGCTGTTAGGCCCAGCTTCTGCCAACCTAGCAGTTCGAAATCATGCAAATATGAGTAGATCAATAGGTACTGCTCAGGCGGGAAGGTAACAGAGCTCCATGCAGTAATGTTGGCCATGACCTTGGAGGTGTCTATAGACAATGCTGGCTCTTTGACTTAGAAATTGAGATGAGCGCCACCCCCCAGAGTCAGACATGACTGGACTTAATGTCAGGGGAAAACCTTCACCTTTACTTAAAAACATAACCTGTTGCTAAGATGTTTTATATATGTGTATCTTAAAGCACTCCATGCAGTTATGCTGACCACATGACTTTGCAGGTGTCTATGGACAACGCTGCCTCTTCAACTTAGAAATGGAGATGAGCACCAACCCCCCAGAGTTGGATACGACTGGATTTAATGTCAGGGAAAACATTTACTTTTATGTATCTTAAAGCTATACCACCAGCCATTATATGGAAGAAGAAACACTGATTTTTTTCTCTCTCTGCTCCTTCCCACCCCAGTTAACTATACTGTAGAATCAATTATATGTTTTGTTAAGTTTGTGTGTACAGAATGCTACATTATTTATTTATTTATTCATTTACTATATCTGTACACCACCCATCTCGACCCTGAGGAGGAGTCAGAGCAACTTCACATAATGATAGAATTCGATGCCTTAAAAACATACGAAAAACACATTAAAATCAGAGAATTAAAACAAATAAAAACAGTTACATCAATTATTAAATCACGTCATCCAAAGTCATAGTCCAGGTCCATTCCAAAATTGTCATGGCACAAATTCATGGTTCATTTATTGCACTGCAGTTATTCTCCAAAAGCTTGGTAGCCATGTTTTGCTTTTCCCCCCTGAAGCTTAACAGGGAAGGAGCTGATTGAATATCACTGGGGAGGGAGTTCCATAGCCAAGGGGCTACCCCTGAGAAGGCCTTGTCTCTTGTCCCCACCAACCATGCCTGCGAGAGAGGTGAGACCGAGAGCAGGGCCTCCCCAAAAGATCTTAATCTCCGTGATGGTTCATAACATATCATGTTACTTAACATGAAGGTTCATCCTGAGTTGGTAGGGAGGAAGAATCCACATATTGCTGCAAGGGGTACTTACCATTGTCAGTAGGGAGTTGATAGGTGGAAAACAAGTTTGTCTGGCTTACTCCGCTCACCAGAAAATCGTGACCATAATTTGTTTTCTGATCTGCATCTGTTTCTGAAAAGTCCATATCTGGGGTTTTGCATCATTACAGTGTGAACCTAATGAATTTCCAGCTCATCCCTTGTTTATGTTCTGCAACCCCTTTCCTCTTTGCAACACAGCACGGACATGGAAGATCCTGTCCTTTGTGGTGGCGCTTCCTGGAGTAGCTGTATGTATGCTGAATGTTTGGCTGCAACAGTCAAACCACCCCCATGAACGCCCCGAATTCATTCCCTATAACCACCTACGCATACGAACAAAGGTAATTATTAAACACGGGAGATTTCTCCTGGATGAGGAGGTCGATAGTCTGCCTGATTGAGCTGGCAAGGCTGTATAGCTTTGGAACACAAGTATCTGAAGGACTTCCTTCCCCTTCTTACACTTCCAGCTACTCACTAGATGCCTCAATCCTAGAAGGGTGACTATAAAGCAGTGTTTCTCAAGCTGGGGGTATCAGAGGGGTCGCCAAAGACCATCAGAAAACACTCTTTTGGTCATGGGGGTTCTGTGTGGGAAGTTTGGCCCAATTCTATCGTTGGTGGGGTTCAGAATGCTCTTTGATTGTAGGTGAACTATAAATCCCAACTACAACTCCCAAATTACAAAATCTATTCCCCCCAAACTCTACTGGTGTTCACAATTGGGCATATTGAGTATTTGTGCCAGGAACCGTATTAAGGGGTTCACCTACAATCAAAGAGCATTCTGAACCCACCAATGATAGAATTGAGCCAAACTTCCCACACAGAACCCCATGACCAAGAGAAAATACTGTGTTTTCTGTTCGTCTTTGGCAACCCCTCCGATGGTCTTTCTCAACTCCCCAGGTTGAGAAACTCTGCCTTAAGAGTTTCTTGGGGATGGGAAGGATAATTTTAAGAAATCAGCTAATTTTATTCTTTCTGTGTTGTTCTACATCTTGCCATCTTACGTGGGGTTTTAAAAAGCACAGTTCCCCTCTACATTTAAGGATTTTATTTTTTTCAGATTTGTTTATTCGGTTTTGATTAAAAGGTTCTCCAAGGACCTCATCACATGAAGTTCCCCAGTGCAGGCAACAGTGGAGGGATTTGCTAGGCAGCATAGCCAATCTAGTGGGCAGCGGGGGCATCCATCACCCCATGTCCTGCATAGGCCACAGCGATGCCTTCCCCATCACATGGGGGAAAGCATTGCTGCCCCATTGCTAGCAACAAGAACATGGGAAGCCTCCCGTATTCTGCTAGCCTCTTCTTAGGATGTATTCAGCACAGTTTGGGGGTAGAATATGATGGGATATGGCTCCGTGGCTGAACTGTGCTAGATGCATCCTAGAACGGGAAAAATCCTCAATGTGATGAGGTCTTAAGAATATCTACGTTATCCAGTGCAGTTCTATGGCAAACATCTGCCAGAAGTTGATCACAGAGTTAGGCTGAAGGATCTAGATTAGGGGTATCCAACTTATTTTCAGTGAGGGCCACATCAGCCTTATGGCTGCCTTCAAAGGGCTGGTTGTAATTGGAACACTGTATAAATGCAACTATGTTTAGCTGGCATTGAAAGACTCGGTGGCCACATAAAATGACATTGTGCGCCAGATTTGGCCCATGGGCTTACTGTTTGGCACATGTGATCTAGAGCATCCTAGAGAGAATCTTTCTCTATGAATCTTTATGTTCTCAATTACTCCTTCTCTAGGAATCCCTAGGTCCTCCTGTGGAAGTTGATCATTGGGTCATGTTGGAGAACTTAGATATTCCTAGAGAAGAATCCTCTCAGATTAAAAATTAGCAATTTATTCATTTTTGCTGGAGTTCTTTCTCTGCCCCGAACTCCAGGGAGTATAGAGGGCTAACTTTATTGTCTTCACTATTAAGCCAACTCAAATGTAACTGTTGATTATAGGAGGCACATAATTTTAAAATAAAAACAAATAGTGCCTGAAAAGGGGGGGGGGGGGGTTTAAAAGTGAATATATGCATAGCCAGATCTGTTTATCAAGTTCATGCACTCTTTTGTCTCTCTTTTCTTCAGCCTTTTCCCTGGGGGGATGGAAACCACACTTTATTCCATAACCCGCACACCAATGCATTGCCCACAGGTTATGAAGATGGAGGCAGCCACCACTGAACCATTGCCGAAATCTCTCCCTTTGGAATTGGAAGGCGCAAAGGCAAAGGCCCTGGCAAAACATCATACTTTTCCCTACATGTGGACAATAAAAATAAATGTAAATGAATGCAATACTGTCTTCATATTTTAAATTGAATTATACTGGAAATGCTTTGGAGTAAACAAAGAAGTGCCAGCTTTTAAATAACTTCTCAGCAACATCAAAGCAATTCAAAGATAGTGGGGGATGAATGGATTAGAGCAGTCATTCCCAACCTTTTTTTGACCAGCAACCATTTGACCAGGGACCACTCTCCAACATTAGTACCAAAAGGGTTATGAATGAGTTTTTGGTCAACTTTAGATTTGGTTTGGTTATTTGGGGTGCTGATTCAGAAAATTGCATTGGATAGTCCTCTTCAGCTCTAGTTTTTGCTACAGAACATATTCCATTCAGTGTTCGCCATCAGCTTGCCCACGGAAAAATATATTTAATCATCTAGAACTGAAGTGGTCTATCCAATTCAGTTTTCTGAAATGGATAGACCCCCAAATAACCCCGGGAATAGGCCTAAAACCGAAGACATCGAGGCTTCCATGCGCCACATGGAACAGCTTTGTTCAGGAGGAGGGAGGAGGAGGAGAAGCAGCAGTCAGGTGATTGCTCACCTTTTGTGGGTAGTCAGCCTCTCCCCTCCCAACATCCCAGTTGCCTCTGCACTACAAGAGGGTTTCGTGAGACCAATCGCTCTTGTTGCAATGGTGTAGTAACGGTGACCCCACATACCATATTTTAGTTCTTGGGAACCACTGGTCTATGGACCACAGGTTGGGAACCACTGGATTAGAGTATAGAATATGAGCAATTAACTTCGATGTGTACAAAATTTCAATAATTTCTCTAAGAAAAATACAAAAATATCTTTTTTTTATCAAATTCCTGATAGTCTTGTTTTTACAGTTGTATTCTCCATTTTCATAGCTGCTAATGTCCTCACATTTTAATAGAGACAAACACACCAATATATATCACTGAAACTTGCAGCATACAATTAAAAAACCTTGAATTATATATTTCTGTTTGTTTATTTTAAATACAGTTGTTCCCCTCGATTTTGCCGATTTTATTATTTGTGGACGAACATTTTCTCTCTAGGACTATCTCGGCCCTACATGTTATTCCATGTTAACTTATGGCAAAAACTGACCATAAAGTTTTGCTGGAGAACTTAGTGATTGATTGTTCCTTCAGGGAAAAAAAGTTGTTTTGTTCAAGTTTTTATAATTTTCAGGCCCCTAATCCAGGCCTGGGCAAACTTCCTAACTTGGGTGCCACATGCTAGCACTCCCTGCTAGGAGGACTGGCTGCCCAGTGATGGAAAGAAGGAAGAAGGAAGGAAAGAAAGAAAGAGAGAAGGAAGAAAGGGTGGAAGGGAGAAAGGGAAGGATGGAAGGAGAAAGAGAAGGAAGAAAGAGATGAAGAGAATGATGGAAGGAAAGGAAGGATAAAGGAAAGCAAAGGAAAGAAAGACAAAGGCGAATAAAAGAAGGAGAAAGGGAAGGATGAAAGGGTGGAAGAGAAGGATGGAAGGAAAAGGAGGGAGGGAAGGGAGGGAGATGAGGAAGGAAAGAGAAGGAGGGAAAGACAAAAGGGAGGGAAGAGGGAAGAACAAAAAGATGGAAGGAAAGGATGGATGGAATGAAGGAAAGAGAGAAAGAAGGAAAGACGAAAGGGTATAAGGGAAGGAGAAAGAGGGAGGCAAGGAGGAAGGAAAGAGAGAAAGAAGGAAGAATAGGATGGTGAGAGAGGGGGGCCTGAGAAAAGAGCCCAAAGGGTCCCATCTGGACCCCGGGCCCATACCTGCCCTAACCCCAGCAAATGTGGAGGGCCAATTTCTCTATCACCCCTCATCCTACAAAATTTCCCAAGGTGATGGAGAAATAACACGTACTAACAATACAAATATTTTTTAAAATTAAAACGCACATTAAAATGTTATTTTTAAATTCCTTGAAACAGTCTAAAAACTGTTGCTTGAAGAAACTTCAAAACAAAATCTAAATGATGGTTCCAATATTAGATTCCTTGTGAATGCAGGCAACATGTAAGCAGAATGCAAACATATCCTCATCTGTTCGGATGCTGGATACAAACATCTTCTCTTAGTAACCTTTTTTTTCAATACATGATTAGACTTCGAGTGTTGAAGAATTAAGGAGATTGGAATTCATGCCTCCTTCCTTGTTGTAATAATCACGATTGGTCTATTTATTTTATGCAAAGGAAACATTTCTGTATAAGAAATAATCTATCGGTTGTGTGATCGTCCTACATGCATGTACTGGGAATTGGGCATAACTTCTCAGCATGCATTCAGGCAGTGATCACAAGTAAACTTGTGTGTTTTGTAGGGGCTCTTTCTGGGTAAGGAAAAGGAATGGTATAAAGCAAAGTTCAACTCCAACCCGGATCGTCTCTTCTCTTGTTCAGCGTTCCTAGAGGAAACATGGCTTATGGAAGTTTGTTATCCTTTAGTAGCAGCAGGAGTAGGGTCTTGTGAAGGCCCAGCTGCCTCATTGCCCCCATCGCCTGCCTCATCCATCATTGCTTTATACTGTCGCTTGAAGAATCCAAGCTGGAGGAAAAGAGAAAAAAAGGTTACATGAGAATCCCATTCATTCTGGGATGTAAGACAGAGCCTTGACCACCCTACATGCTTGGTTGTCATAGCTTCCCTGAGCCTCAGTAGAAAGAGCTGACCTTCAAAGTTGACCACCAATGACTGAAATCCATTATTTAATGGAAATTCCATAACCTATTGGAAATAAGTGCACCATAACCTTATTGAAAAGGTAAAAATGATGTCACATCCTTTTGGCAAATGTGAATCTCCATGAACATGTGGAGAACACCTTTTGAAAATCACTAGTCAAGAAAAGCATAACCATGTTAGAAGTCAACTCTTTGAACAAGTGATATTAATAAACATTCATGTAATGGCACACAGGTAACTCAGCTATTAAACTGAAGAACCATGTCTTTAAACTGCCAAGGATAAAGACATGCCACTACAAAAAAAACATTTGGTTAGCAAATGATGGTTGTTTCTTTGAAGTAGAATTTTCAGTTGTAATTGCCCAAAATATATATACTCCTTTGAAACCTCTTAGTTAAAATATGCACTCGAGAGAAAACAAAGTAGTCTTCTTTAAAAATAACATCTCAGGTTTACTAACAAAGTTCTTTTATACATTCAGCATAATCATCCATAGTCCAATGTCTTTAAGTATATAGATATAGTCCAAACTGGATAACTACTCACTGAAGTCTAAAAGGAGACACACTGCATCCACCTCCACTGAGGTCTAAAAGCATACTAAACACAAAAATGGAGTCCTGTGCCTGAAGCCCCTCTCACACCAAAGAGGTGCAGTCAAACTGGCAAACCAAAATGTACATACAATATTGTAAATTGTACACATTTACAAACAGTGGAGGCTTGGAAAGTTGCCATTTCCAAAAATTATTGCTTTCACACTCCCTATATCACCCACTGAACAACGAAAATTGGGATCTGAGCGCGACTGCTGCTTTCAAAGCACACCCACTAGACTGCTCCTTACCCAAAATCGAAGTAAAAGTGCAACTGGAGTATTTTGCACAATAAATGATTGTATGGCATATGTGGGAAAGGAAAAAGAATCACTTTTTAAACCATCTCCCATATGGAGGCAGCAATGTCATTGGGTAAGTATTAACCAAAGTGTCTGTTATTTGGCTGCACTTTAACTTTACATAAGGCTCTTAATCCCAGTGGAAATGGAGAGGCGGTGTTACAACACTATGATACTATAATGCCATAATACCATGGTGTCTTATATTTCAGGAAGGACAAAGAGGCAAAGGACCTAGAGCTTCTCCTTTGCTGGCCAGCCTTTCCCCTTTCTGTCTGACCTTCCGTGGGCCGCAGGAAAGTGCTTTGTAGGCCACATCTGGCCCACGGACCTTATGTTGTGCAAGCTTGGATTACAGCATCAACTACAAACTAAGAACTGCCCTGCTTAGAGTGGTGCCATTCCCCCTTCAACCTTGGTCGGCTGTCTTCTGTTCAACACTGATTTATTTGATTGAGGAGTAAGTTCCAACTGTGTATCTTGCGACATGAAGTTGTCCTTGCAGGTATTTCTCTCAGTCCTCACCTTGTAGAGACCAGCAATAATTAGAGCAAGGAGAACAAGTCCCCCAATGCTGCTGCCAATGATGATGGGCAGGTAGTTATAGGGCACCAAATGCTCCACCACAGTGTTTGCCTGGAGAGTAGGAAGGATGGAATTGTGAAAAAAACAAGCCAGAGATCTCATTCAGTACTTTTAACTCTCACCTGTTTGCAGGGATCATTTAGTAGTGGCGTGCATTCAGGTAAATGCTTGTCCCATTTCATTTCTGGGCTTTCATTGTGGGGCCCAATCTGTTTTCAATAAGCCTCCCGAAATTTGGAGAGTTGTTTTTGGTGTTTTCGTTTTGGGGCCTGAAAATCTGCCCTTAATTTGGGGGGGGGAGGGGGGGAGGAGGAGCTTCCCACCCACTGGCTCCCCTTCCTGAGGCAATTGGATGCCCGGCACTCACTGGCAGGCATGTGTGTGTGTGGGCACTGCTTCTTTTCTTCTCTTCCTCCTCCTACTTTCCCTCGCACCTGCAATGTCCCGCATTCACTTACAGGAGTCATGGCTGGGCAGCCCCACATCCAAACCTCAGCAAGCAAGTTTTATCAGGGTGGAAGGAACCACTACCACTCCCTCCTTTCCACTCAGAGAGTGTGGCGGGTGGTGGAGCATGTGTGTGTGGTGAGGTGTGTGACTGTGCAGGCCCTCGGCTGCAGATAGGCACTAACAGGTGCATGCAAACTTTCCAGGCCTGCATGCATGCTCCACGCCACACACACACACTCTTTGGAAAGAGAGTTTGTGTCGTGGGGTGTGGGCATGCCTAGAAAATGCGCTCGAGCTTGTCAGCTCCTGCACACTCCATGCCACACACACACTCTCCCTGGAAGGAGAGTGTGTGTGGCAGGGTGCAGGAAAATGCACTCAAGCCTGTCAGTGCCTGCACACACCACGCTACACACACATTCTCCCTGGAAAGAGTGTGTATGGTGGGGTACAGGCAGGCCTGGAAAATGCGCTCAAGCCTGTCAGTGCCTGCACACCCCATGCCAAACACACACTTTCCTTGGAAAAAGAGTGTGTGTGTGGCAGGGCACAGGCAAGCCTGGAAAGTGTGTGCACACCTTCAGTGTCTGCCTGCAGCCAAGTGCCTGCACAATCACACACCCCACCACATACAAATATCTGGAAAGGGGGAAGGGGCAATGGTTCCTTCCCCCTGATGCTGAGGTCCAGATGTGAAGCACACACTTTCCTTGGCTGCGACTCCCATGAATGAATGCAGGGCATTGAGGGTACGAGGGAGGGAGGAGGAGAAAGAGAAGAAGTGCGCACACAAGGAATTTCAGCTCCACACAAAAGCAGGCTTTCGTGTCAAGCTGAGTTTCGTGTGGGATGGGGGCTTCCTATTTCATGCTTTCGAATAAATGGAAGACACGAAAGAAATGGAATAAACTGTTATAACGAATTTCTTGCGCATATCTATCATTTAGGTCTTTCAGAGTTGCATTATGTTACAAAAAATCTGCACCAAATGAAGTTAACAAGTTTTCAAAACATTATCACTTGAACAGATGAAGTGTTGCAGCAAATACATGTTGTGATTGTCAGTCGGGTGACTCCTCTCAGGGAAAACAAAACTACCTTGACAGGGCATTATTCAGTAGAACCCACACCTTACCCAGATCTACACAAAGTAATTATCATCCCCATGGCTCAGTGCTTCAAGCTACAGTAAGGGGAGGCTTTTTTGTATGTACTCATTACCTGACTCTGTACAAATTCTTTCTTTGTGGTATATTTGTTCTCATCGTAGAAAATCTGTGCCGAGCTCACCAGGGTCACTTTCTTCTGTTGGGTCTGGAAAACAGATATTAACTCTTTTAGAAGTGTGAAAGTTGGCTGCCTCAGTGTTCATATTCAGGATCCATGTAGACATCAGTACACATGCAAAAATCCTTTATTTGTATAGCAATGAAGTTGACTGTGCCAGTAATATATAATACCTTCCTGTCTGTCTAAATATGTTCTATGTCTAAATGGCCTCGAATGTTTGACATGTATGTGCATTGTAATCCACCCTGAGTCCCCTACGAGGTGAGAAGGACGGAATATAAATACTGTAAATAAAAAATAAATAAATAGCGTGATGAAGTCTTATCAAAATATCTCCAAAGTATCCTGGGATGGTAATGTGGTGTAGGCACTGATAATTCTGTTACACTTGTCTTCACAGAAGAACAGTTTCCAGGGTTCCTAGAGCAGACTTGTCTTGAGACGCAAGTGGCTCCAGGATAGACTAGAGTCCTGTAAACACTTTGAGAAGGAAAGCTTTGCATCTCTCTTGCCCCTTAGCCCAACCCAACCAAAGCAGTTGTTTTCATACCTGAGAGAGCCACTTGAACCCAGTGTCCCCCTTGATTTTGAACTGTAGCTGATTTTCCAGAGAAGGGATGTGACAGTGGACTGTTTTACAGGTCGCTACAGAACAGTCCTGGATGGAGGTAAAAAGATATCCTGGGGTTAGATGATTGTAATGCTGGACTGGAGTATGGATGCCTCCTGGCCTAGAAGCAACCACCTAAAGTAGCTGGTATTAAAACGAAGCTGCTGACATTGCAATTGAGTATACTCACCAGAACAGGGCGCTCAGATAGTTTTTTCACAAAATCCTTGGAACCTGCAGTCTGTTTTCCTGGGACACAATTAACCAGGTGGGACAACTAAGGAAATGGAATGAGAACATCACATTCATAAATTGTTATATGTCACACGTATCCTACAGTAAGTTAGTAAAAAAAAAGTCTATTTTGAGGTTTGAAGACTAGTAATGGGTGTTTTATTGCTGCAATTCCACCACTTGGCTATAAAAGGTAAAGGTTTCCCCTTGACATTAAATCTAGTCGTGTCCGACTCTGGGGAGTGGTGCTCATCTCCATTTCTATGATGAAGAACTGGAGTTCTCTGTAGACACCTCCTAGGTCATGTGGCCAGAATGACTGCATGGAGTGCCATTCCCTTTCCACCGGAGTGGTACCTATTGATGTACTCACATTTTTTCAAACTGCTAGGTTGGCAGGAGCTGGGCTAACAACAGGAGCTCACCTTGCTCCCCGGATTCAAACTACCAACCTTTCAGTCAGCAAGTTTAGCAGCTCAGCAGTTTAACCTGCTGTTCCACCTGGGGGTCTCATCACCAGGATGTTTTTAGACTCAGGGTGCATACAGAGCATCATGTAATACTTGTTAACTGTACTGGGAATGAAATGAAGGGGGCTAAAGAGTACTAGAGACATCTTTGGCATCTTTCATATTTATGCATAGAGTGCAGCTCACAAGCACTTTTTGTGCCCTTATTTTTTTTTAATCCGAATGCATATACAAAAGGCAGCATAGTTTGTTGTCAAAATGTTTGTGACAAACTTCTAGATGCAGTAACACAGTGCACTTGATAAATCTATATTGTGAATTACTTCTCTAAATGTGCCCCATATAGTGTAATTAACTAATGAGGTCAATTACCTTCCTAAACGTAAACCTTGCAAAGATTTCAAAGCATTTCCCCAGTCAAACACACGAGGAAGCACTTAATTTGATGCTTCTGTGCCACTGCTGCTCTGTGCTATTCTGTCATAATACATTTGTTCAAAGTGTATAGTTACCCAACTTGATTTAAAACTAAAACACATTACATAATTAAATAAAGTCATTAGGTTGGACCAGGCTGTGGCACACTTAGTTAATAGCCAGCTGCATTAAATCACTACTGACAGAGAGGTCATAAGTTCTAAACCAGCCCGGGTTGGAGTAAGCTCCCAACCATTAATAATCTAGCTTGCTGTTGACCTATGCAGCCCGAAAGACAGTTGCATCTGCCAAGTAGGAAATTTAGGTACTGCCTTATACGGGGAGGCTAATTTAACTAATTTATGATGCCATAAAACCTTCCAGCAGCTTGCAGAAGATTGAGGAAGGACTTCATTAACGGACCCGGTGTCACAAGTGGATGGTGAAACAGCAGCTCCCCCTGTGGCCAGAACTAAGCATACCCTCATGAAACTGGAAAAAGCTGGAATGTTAAATTGCCTCTGTGTCTGTCTATATATGTTGTATGTCTAAATGGCACTGTAATCCGCCCTGAGTTCCCGGGGGGGGGGGGGGGGGGGGGGAATATAAATACTTTAAATAAATAAATAAATAAATTTTATTTATTTTGTACTGTATTTTCTTGTTAATTGTAAGCAACACAGTAGTATTAAATAAATTAATCTTTCCAAATAACATGCTAAAACACCATGTTTCTGAACAGTCTGGAAGGGAATCGGATTGGGCATCTTTCACACAAAGGGACACAGTGTCCATAGCCTAAATAAGCTACAGTGTATGATAGCAAGTATGTAGTTTTATCAAGAAGTGTTTTCTTTTAGCTATCTTGGAATTCCTGGAAATTAATTTCATCATGCGATCTGAATGTTAATACATGTGTTGAGAAATATTGAAGAAACTATTTCAGGCATAGGCAGACTTCAGCCCTCAAGGTGTTTTGGACTTCAACTCCCACAATTCCTAACAGCTAGTAGGCTGTTAGAAATTGTGGGAGTTGAAGTCAAAGCACCTCGAGGGCCGAAGTTTGCTCATGCCTTCTTCATATACTCTCCTGACACTATAATAACACTTTATTTATATTCTGCCCTATCTCCCCAAGGGGACTCAGGGCAAACCACAGTACACATACATGGAAAACATTCAATGCAGTTTGGGCAGACAAGGACAGAATAGACAAAAAGGAGGTATGTTGTGTAGACGTCCAGCTTTTCGCCTTGGAGGTTGTGCTCAAATCCAGCCACAGGGGGTGCTGTTGCTCCATCCTCTATGATGAAGAGCCATCAGGACTTCCTCCTTCCTTTTGGTCAAGGCATTTCTGGTCTTTTTCTTTTATGGTGTCATATAATACTTCCCCCTCTTTTTTAGAGGTACCTAATTTCTCTACTTACAGTTCTAGCTGTTTTCGAACTACTTCGGTAAACAGCAAGCTGGGCTGACAGTTGGGTGCTCACACCGACCTGGACTTCAAACTAGCAACCTTTCAATTGATAGATCCTATTGCTGCTGCTGGTGATTCACCAGCTGTACCACAGCCCAGTCCAGGTAAATAAACAATCACATCTTCTTTATTCTTCTGTATTCTTTATATATAATATTTGTATTATTTGGGGAAATATACCTCCTTGGGAAACTCTAGGGATGCATTCCACACCCACGTCCCACTCAGTTCCACAGGAAACTGAAACTCCACTGAGACATTAATTTTTCGTTTATATGTATTCTTCACCTAAATAAAGAGAAAGAAAATGTGAAGAAAAAGATGCATAAGTAAATAGGAGCTAAAGATTCACAGTGTGTTTTTTAAATTCCAATCTGGCTCAAAGGCTTGATTTTCCTGAAGGCTGACCGCACATCCCTCAAATGTTCCATATTCCCAGTCCCATATTCCCAATACATCCCATATTCCCAATTGACTTCCTCCTCACCTCATATATATGTTCCACAGCTTTATTTTTATCTTCCTGTCCAACAGAAAAATTGACATACTTTGTTGATTTATCAATACTGGAAGAAAAGAGGAGAGGGTGATCAACCAGTCATTCTGAGATCAATGCATTCCAAAAATCATTTTAGAGTCTATTTCTTACACATTGCACTTGAAAACTCAGAGGGAAATCCAATATCTACAACTGAATTTGATGGACCTTTTCCGAAGTAAAAGTACGTACATAGGCACTTTTTAAGGGTGATTGTCTTCATCTTATAAAGAATATCAAGGCAGAAAATCCCACATTAACTCAGTGTGGACCAATACTTTCTCATTACTTTATTTTACAGATCACCAGACTGGGCCACAGCAATGTGTGGCAGGGCAGGGCTAGTAGACTTATAAGAGTGACAAAGCAGATATTGTGGGATTTTCTGCCTTGATATTGTGGGATATAGGGCTATATGGAAGGGCCCTGAGGCTCAATCTATACTGCAGATTGAACTTGATCAGAGGTTCTCAACATTTTTTTGACCAGAGAACTTGACCAGGGACCATTCTCCAACATTAGTACCAAAAGGGTTACGAATCAGTTTTTGGTCAACTTTAGATTAGGTTTGGTTATCTGGGGTGCTGATTCAGAAAATTGCATTGGATAGACCACATCAGCTCTAGTTTCTGATACAGAACATATGCCATCCAGTAGTCACCATCTGCTCGCCTACAGAAAACCATATTTAATAAGCCTCGGTACTATAAGACAATGAATGGATCTGACTAAACTTGGCATGATTCCATATGCCCAAATATGAACACAGATGGAGTTTGGGGAAATAGACCTTGACATTTGGGAGTTGTAGTTACTGGGATTTATAGTTCACCTACAATCAAAGAGCATTCTAAACCCCACCAACGATAGAATTGGGCCAAACTTCCCACACAGATCCCTCATGACCAACAGAAAATACTGTGTTTTCTGATGGTCTTTGGTGACCCCTCTGGCACCCCCTTGTGACCCCTCCAGGGCCCCCCCCCCAAGTTGAGAAATGCTGCCTTAAGGCCATCCAGTCCAACTCCCATCACCAGGGCAAGAAAACATAATCAAAGCCATCCTGACAAAGAGCCATCCAACCATAGATATAGATAGATAGATATGATTCACACACACACACATATGTATATGACAGATATAGTATCATAGATTTGAAAGGGACCCTTAAAGAAGGACAATTATATGTTGCATGTTCTAGTGTAGGCAAACCAGACAATTTCTACAACAACACTGACAAAGAAACAACAAGAAGTACTGTTAACTCACAAGCATAAAGAAATTACATATATTAGAAACCAACACTTTCTCATTACTTTATTTTCCAGATCACCAGAATGACAAACTCAGTCATTCTGGATGTCTTTCGGCAGTGAAGAAGTATCTTTGTGTGTGTGTGAACAAAATTTACTGCTCTATCATGAAACACAGATCCAGAATAATTCATAAAAGGTGTGTAGTCAAAACTTATTCTTCATAGAGAATAATGAGGAGAAAACCAGGTAGGAGGAATGCTTTGGTCCTGCAATATTTATGGTCACTTACGTGTTGACAAAGATATATACGGCATATTTGACGGGCAGCTTTTCTTGGTGAATCATGTCCCGTGTGATGGGGCCATTGTTTTCACTGGGGGAAAAATGGTGAGACAGAAGATATAACACATGTAGGCATGTCCCATCATCCACTAATACACCAACATTTCCCTGCCCTCCCATAAGGGAAAGAAAATGCAATTTCCTTTAAAGAAAATGCTGCCCAAAAGTCACAAACTTGCTTTGTACAGAAAACCATATTTTCTGCACCAACATAATAATAACAAGAACAACAACAACAACATTAACACCTTATTTATATTCCGCCCTATCTCCCCAAAGGGACTCAGGGCAGATCACAGTACACATACACGGCAAACATTCAATGCCGTCTTGGATAGAGAAGACAGAGACAGACAGAACAGAAAGAAGGTATCTTGTGTCGACGTCCAGTTTTTCTTTGCGTGCCTTTGGTAGTGCTCAAATCCAGTCACAGGGGGGTGCTGTTGCTCCATCCTCTATGACGAAAAACCATCAGAACTTCCTCCATTTTGGTCGCCGGGCATTTTCTGATCTTATTCTTTACAGTACCTCCCCCGCTTGTTATAGCGGTATCTAATTTCTCTACTTACAGCTCTGAGCTGTTTTAAAACTGCTTAGGTAAACAGTAAGCTGGACTGACAGTCGGGAGCTCACACAGACCCTGGGCTTCAAACTGGTGATTTACCACTGTGGTAAAGCCCAACCCTTTTCCATGCACAACAAATGTGTGTGAATTTTGTGCAGAACAAGCCCCAAATTGTGAATAGACATTAAAAACTGATGTCTTCTTGCAGAATGAAGAAAATTAATAAAGTTGTTCATTGCTTCCTTTGAGAAGAACATTTATAAAGAGTTCTGAGGCCTCTTCCCCACTCAGATAACCCAGTTCAAAGCAGATATTGTGGATTATCTGCCTTGATATTCTGGTTATATGGCTGTGTGGAAGGGCCCTAAGTAAACGTCCCTGAGTAAGGATTTTCCTGCTAACTGCTTTGAAAGTGTTTTCGACCCCTCAACTGATGATCTAAAACCAGTTTCATTGTATCAAGTTCCAACATTGTTAGGTCAAGACATGGAGAATTTTACCTGCCGGCTGTAGCATTGATCTGCACCTCTAGACCAAAATCTGCATCCTGAGATATGGAAAACGTGGCAATGAAGATAGCCTGAAGCAGAACAAAACAAAACAAATGTGAGAAAGGGTAGAAAGGTGATAAAACAAACACAGATTTATCCCATTTTAAACAAGTGGGAAGTTTGGTACAATTCTATCATTGGTGGGTTTCAGAATGATTTTTGACTGTAGGTGAACTATAAATCCCAGCAACGACAACTCCCAAATATCAAGTTCTGTTTTCCCCAAACTCCACCAGTGTTCACATTTGGGCATATTGAGTATCCGTGCCAAGTTTGGTCCACATCCATCATTGTTTGAGTCCACAGTGCTCTCTGAATGTAGGTGAACTACAACTCCAAAACTCAAGGTCAATACCCACCAAATCCTTCCAGTATTTTCTCTTTGTCATGGGAGTTCTGTGTGCCAAGTTTGGTTCAATTCCATCATTGGTGGAGTAAAATGCTCTTTGATTGTAGGTGAACTATAAATCCCAGCAACTACAACTCCCAAATGACAAAATTAATCCCCCCCAACCCCACCAGTATTCAAATTTGGTCCAGTGATGAAAATACATCCTGCATATCAGATATTTACATAATAACAGTAGCAAAGTTGCAGATATGAAGTAGCAATAACAATAATTTTTATGGTTGGGGGTCACCACAACATGAGGAACTGTATGAAAGGGTCGTGGCATTAGGAAGGTTGAGAAACACTGGCATAAGTCATACAGACCTTCATAATAATGTATGTGGATGAGGGGTTGTCTGCTTCTTTCAAATAAAGATATTAAATCCAATGGTTGACGTTCTTCAACACCACCAGAGCCCATTTAGATGGTAGTACAGGCATGTAGCCGGGGGGGGGGGGGGGCTTGGGGGGCCTTCACCCCCCCCCCCGAAATTCTCATGGTGGTTCGCGAAAAGGCCTTACTGGTGCATTATTTAAACTGTTATGTTTATTCATATCATGATCTGATCACCATACTCAATATATCCCATATGCATGGAGGTATTGGGGTAATGATACAAAAGGTTTGCTAGGGTAGACCCTCTTTCACTCAGACTCAGCCCCTCCCCCCGAAACAAACTCACCCCCCCCCCCCCAAACAAAATCCTGGCTACGGGCCTGTGGTAGTAGTTGGAGTTTACCTCTGCCCCACTTCGGAAGATGGGGTGATTGATGTTACAAGTAGTGTTCCTTACAGGGTCCTCTTCAGCGGTGGGGATGGAGTGACAGTTAATGACGAAAAATACCCTGTTGGACTGAATGGAGGGAGACCAGATTTTGAAAGCAATTCATGGGGCAAGTAGCACCTTTGTAAACCAACCCATTGCATCCTCTTCTAACACTTATGGTTGCCCTCTGCCCTTCGTACCTTCAGTAATGTGAACCTGCGGTAGGATAATGAAGAAGGGTATAAGAAGTTCAAAGTGGTGCTGTAGGAGTCTTCTCCATCATTTCGGATGAAGACTGTGGCATTGACCTCAGGCGTGACGCCCACCACCAGTGTGTCCAGACTGTGGAAAAGAAAGATAGAATCTGCTCAATAACTTCTGTACTTTGGAGTGAAGTCACTCTACATATTCTTTATTGTGACTTCATGTATGAGGCTTGGGATCAAAAGATGTTCTGAACCAGGTATGGGCAACCTTCGGCCCTCCAGGTGTTTTGGACTTCAACTCCCACAATTCCTAACAGCCTAGTTAGGAATTGTGGGAATTGAAGTCCAAAACACCTGGAGGGCCGAAGGTTGCCCATGCCTGTTCTAAACCCTGACTCAAGGTAAGCCTTGGAAAGAAGTAATTAGGAAAGATGTGAATGCAAATCTATATTCCCAATTTATAGTGGTGATATCTCAGACATTCCAGCCTGTGATTTTTTTTTTAAAGAGTGAAGCTGTGAACACTGGAAATTCACTAGATATTGTCAACGAACCCATGTAAATTTCACTGCTGGAGGAGGATATCAAGAAGAAAAATCATATCTTACCCAGAAAAATTGAAGGAAGTTTTTAATTCGTCTTTGCAGACACCATCTTTGCCACAGTTCTTTTCAAATGGCAGCTGTGAGGAAGATTACAAAGAGGACATCAGTCTTTGGGGATGAACAACATTGGGTTGTTGTTTTTTTCCCCCCATGTCAGGAGCAACTTGAGAAACTACAAGTCGCTTCTGGTGTGAGAGAATTGGCCATCTGCAAGGACGTTGCCCAGGGGATGCCAGGCTGTTTTGATGGTTTACCATCCTTGTGGGAAGGCTTCTCTCATATCCCTGCATGGGGAGCTGAAGCTGACAGGGGGAGCTCATCCGCGCTCTCCCCAATTCAAACCTGCGACCTATTGGTCTTCAGTCCTGCTGGCACAAGGGTTTAACCCATTGCGCCACTGAAGGCTAGTAAAATTATATTAGAAGCAAAAAAATCTCTTGATGTTTAACACTTCCTCTGTAAATTTTGATACCAAGTTTATTTCCTCATCTGATCTACATCTTGTACTTCTAGGATGCTTTCCTTACTATTTTATCCTCACTTCTATCTTTTCAGACAGGTTAAGATGAAAAATGATTGGTATTTTGTTTAAAGGCTATAGAAATTCTAAAACCAGATCTTGTTGGAGCATGCGAGGAATCCGTGAGTGTGTGTGTCAACTGTAAAATAAGATGCATGAAGCTGATTGGTTGGGTAATGCATAGGGAGCAAGCTGAGCCTGGAACTTTTGGATACTGTTACATTTTTGTTCAGGCTAGAGCTATGCAAGTGCAGAGAGAGACAGTTTGAAAAGAAAACCAGAGAGAGACGGTTTGGAGTGTACTCTTGCTTCATGAACTGCTGAAAGAGTTTATCCACATCAGGGGTCCACAAACTTTTTAAACAGAGGGCCAGGTCACAGTCCCCAAACTGTTGGAGGGTCGAATTATAATTTGAAAAAAAATGCATGAATTCCTATGCACATTTCACATATCTTATTTGTAGTGCAAAAAGCACTTTAAAACAATACAATAATTAAAATTAAAAAAACAATTTAAACAAATATAAACTTATTAGTATTTCAATGGGAAGTCAGGGCCTGCTTTTGGCTGATGAGATAGGGTTGTTGTTATGTGCTTTCAAATAGTTTCAGACTTCGGTTGACCCTGAGCGAGGGCCGGGTAAATGACCTTGGAGGGCCGTATCTGGCCCCCCGGCCTTAGTTTGAGGACCCCTGATCCACATGGACAAATAAAGATTATTTTAAATCTCTCATAAAAGGACATTATGTGAGTTGATGCAACTGATCACATTGTACATATGTTGTTCTGAACTACGAAGAGTAACTACTCATTCTTTGTTGTTCACCTGTGTGGCATATTTTCTTTCTCTGGCAAACCTGTGTCTGGGCTGATCAAACAAGAACTACACATAGTTTAACTTACATTACGCAACAGATCTTTCTGGCAATATATTACCAGCTATCCCAAACTGAACGTCAATTCTACTTAATAACTATTTATATTGTATTGGTTTTATCATGCGCTGTTTTGAGTCTTTTTTCAAAGAGATACAAAGTTGGGGACAAATAATTATTATTATAAGAGGAAGATGATGATGATTAGGGTTTTAATCATGATAATGTATATAATGTATATAATTCTTCATAAAAAGCCTTTCACACTGGGTCCGCCTTAAGACTATTTCTCCTGAAATTAAGACCTCAATCACACAACGATATTCATCCGCAGAGGCAAGGCTAGATGTGCAAAGAGCATGGACTTACATATGCTGTAAACTGATGGGGCTCGTCTTCACCTAGGATGGCTCGCAGGTTATTAGTACCCTGAATGAGATTTCCTGTCAAGGTATAATTCAACCGGAGGCTTAAAGGAGTAAGACTGTCTTCTATGCAGGTCTTTCCTCATGGAGTTGCAGGAAACAAAAATGAGAGAGGCATTGATAATAATAATATAATAACATATAATAAAAGCTTATTTTTAACCCGCCCTCTCTCCCCGAAGGGACTCAGTGCTGGATTCTGTGACAACAACTGTCTCAGATAGATTCCTGCAAGAGCTCTGAACTCACCGGCAACTTTATGCGATACTCCTTGCAGTTTTCTCTCAAGCCCACTTGCAGCTCTTCAGTGATGGTGGAGGTGCTTGAACCACCTTGAAAAATAGCCCGGATCATACTTCGACCAAAATCCAAGGACAAAGTGTACCGAATAGTGCTGGAAATGCTATTGCCTGAGGAAATAGAAGCGAGAGGAAGAAAATGACAACCATGTTTTTGTGGATTCTTCCTCTTACCCATCACAGAAAAGGTTTCAGAGGAAGGTTCTCATGTGGTGGGCTACATCTTCACCAGATATCTCTAGTATTTGAAAATGTCAGGATATTGTACCTAGAAAGTTCATAATATTGCCTAGACTTTTTCTCGGGATTGCTACCTTTCTAATTATCTCTCTTGTAGACTCACGAGACCGGCTGGATCTAATGCAGGATTCATATTAGAATATGTCAGTGCTTTTTAGGGGTTCTTCCTTCTGGACAGGCCCGTAGCCAGGATTTCGATTTGGGGGGGGGGGGGGGGGGGGGTTTTTTTTTCGGGGGGGGGGGGGCTGAATCTGAGTGAAAGAGGGTCTACCCTAGCAAACCTTTTGTATCATTACCCCAATACCCCCATGCATATGGGATATATTGAGTATGGTGATCAGATCATGATATGAATAAACATAACAGTTTAAATAATGCACCAGTAAGGTCTTTTTGCGAACCACCATGAGAATTTCGGGGGGGGGGGGGCTGAAGCCCCCCCGGCTACATGCCTGCTTCTGGAAGTATTTTTGTGCCAACCTGTCCTTCGGAAAATGTTGACGGAAACAGGAGGGCACACCCTAGAACAGCGTTTCTCAACCTGGGGGTTGGGACCCCAGAGGGGGGGGGTGAGGGGGGTGTCAGAGGGGTCACCAATGATCATTAGAAAACACAGCATTTTCTGTTGGTCATGGGGGTTCTGTGTTGTCCAGTTCTATTTTTGGTGGGGTTCAGAATGCTCTTTGATTGTAGGTGAACTATAAATCCCAGCAACTTCAACTCTCAAATGTCAAGGTCTATTTCCCCCAAACTCCACTGGTGTACACATTTGGGCATATTGAGTATTTGTGGCAAGTTTGATCCAGAACCATAATTGTCTGAGTCCACAGTGCTCTCTGGAGGCTGGTGAACTACATCTCCAAAACTCAAGGTCAGTGCCCACTAAACCCTTCCAATATTGTGTGTTGGCCGTGAGAATTCTGTGTGCCAAATATGCTTCACTTCCATTGTTGGTGGAGTTCAGAATGCTCTTTGATTGTAGGTGAACTATAAATCCCAACAACTCCCAAATGACAAAATCAACCCCATCAATATTCAAATTTGGACGTATTGTGTATTTGTATCATATTTGGTTCAGTAAGTGAAAATACATCCTGCATATCAGATATTTACATTACAATTCATAACAGTAGCCAAATTAGTTATGAAGAAGCAAGAAAAATAATGTTATGGTTGGGTGTCACCACAAAGTGAGGAACTGTATTAAGAGGTCATGGCATTAGGAAGGGTGAGAAACATTGCCCTAGGGTGACAAGTTCAATGTGTGTGGGGTACTGTGAAGGTCTTTGAAGTCTCACTGTTGTCTCACAAAAACTAGACTTTTTTCCTCTCAAAGGTGCCCAGTATTTTCCTTCAGCTGCACATATCTCTGAGAAGATCTGTTGTGTTGATTGGGAAACTGTCTCCTATTACTGATTTTACCACTAATAAGTCTCTGAAGAATACAAACAATCCTTGGGAAATAGTTTTAGACATCACAAGGCTATAGTCAATTGTGTTTTGTTCCTTCCTGGCATTTCTGACTTAGACTGACCATATGGTTATATTGCGTAGAAAGATGTGTTCAGAGAGGCTATGCACGGCTTTCTTCTGAAACGGGGAAATGTCTTGCCCAAGGATGCCCAATGGGTTTTTCATGGCTGGGCGGGGATTGAACCTCGTTCTTCACAGTCTAGTCCAGCATCCAAACTTCAGTAGAGTCTTGCTTATCCAACCTTCGCTCATCCAACGTTCTGTATTATCCAATGCAGTCTGCCTCCCGCCTGGATCCACAGGTATTTCAATACATTGCGATGTTTTGAAAATTCATAAATATAGTAATTACTACATAACATTTGTGTGTACTGAACTGCTTTTTCCATTGATTTGTTGTAAAACATGATGTTTTGGTGCTTAATTTGTAAAATCATAATGTAATTGGATGTATAATAAGCTTTTCCTTAATCCCTCCTTATTACCCAACGTTTTTGCTTATCCAACGTTCTGCCGGCCCATTTATGTTGGATTACTGAGACTGTACTGTACTACATTATGCTGGCTCCCTGAATGGTATGGGTTATTCAATTATAGTCTAACTACACAGATATCTGTGTAGGGGTGATTTGAATGCAATATTCCTGCTTCTTGGCAGGGGGTTGGACTGGATAGCCCATGAGGTCTCTTCCAACTCTTTGATTCTATGATTCTATGATTCTATATCTATAAGTGCAATGTAAATACACAAGTGTCCTGTTACTATAAACTTCAGCAAAAAATACCAATTGAATTAATTATGAGAATACCAAATTAACTCGTATAGTACACAAGCGTGGGAAACAAACACTTAGGGACTATTTACAACGGTGTAACAAACATAATATTCATGTATTGTTGAAGGCTTTCATGGCCGGAATCACTGGGTTGTTGTAGGTTTTTTCTGGCTATATGGCCATGTTCTAGAGGCATTTTCTCCTGATGCAGGCCAAACGTCAGGAGAAAATGCCTCTAGAACATGGTCATATAGCCTGAAAAAACCTACAACAACCCAATAATATTCATGTTTTCCAAAATAACCCTAACCTTGAAAGAAACCTGAAGAAGGGATACTCCTCCTGAAACAAGGACTATAAACACCCGGGAACCCTTGTTGTATTCCCAAGACTTTTTATCACACCTTGAATTCACATGGGACTATACTGGATGTGTTGAAATTTGTCCACACGATTTTTGGAAGATCCGACTAATTATTTTGGAAAACATGAATATTATGTTTGTTACACCATTGTAAATAGTCCCTATGTGTTTGTTTCCCACACTTGTGTGCTATACGAGTTAATTTGGTATTCTCATTATTAATTCAATTGGTATTTTTGCTGAAGTTCATAGCAACAGAACACTTGTGTATTTACATTATTCAATTGTCGGGTATGCCAGATTCCCTGATGTCATCTTGCTCATGACTAGAAGGGGAGAAGTTCTACAATCATGGTGTAGAAGCAATAAAACCTTGTGTTGTCTCAACCTCTGGGATTTGTGGGCCTACCTAATGTAAACCGTGCGTCCGACTTGACAGCGAGACAAACAGTTGCTTTGCTGATCTCCTTGTTCAGGACCCCCTGGTCCTGGCACTCAAAGGCAGAAAGAGGGATTGTAGATGGTTCAAAGGTGATCCTGGATTCCACTTGGAGCACAGGCCGAGACCTATTGCAGACAGACAAAGGAAATTATTATAGTTGAGTATTGAAGGGTAAAGACGTTTCATTTCTTCTGTACTTAAATTATAGGAAAATCCAATTTCTCCTCAGTCTACTGAGTAGCCCAAAGTTGTGTAAGGGCTATTAGTCCATGGTCCAGTTTCTTTAGATAGTAGGCACCACTGAGAGTAAAAACCCAAGAGATGTACAATAGAGATGTGCACATCGAGTACACCAAATACATAAGCGGCATATGTCCCCATTAAAACACTGGTGCCGATTTAGAAAGTACCTTGCTAAATATAATTCATGCTTTTATGGTGCAGGTAATACTTCCTCAAGCTCCCCATCAAGATTCATGACTTTGTACAATGGCAATCAGGATCAGGCAGTGGCACAGCTAGCTGATAGCCAGCCGCATTAAATCACTACTGACCAAGAGGTCACGAGTTCGAAGCCAGCCCACTCAGAGTGAGCTTCTGGCCAGTAGTCTAGCTTGCAGTCTTTGCAGCCCAAAAGATATCTCCCAAGTAGGAAATTTAGGTAACGCTTTATGTGGGGAGGCTAATTTAAGTAATTGACGACACCATAAAACCTTCCAGTAGCGTGCAGAAGAATGAGGAAGTACTCCATTAAAGGACTCGGTGTCACAAATGAATGGTGAAGCAGCAGCTCCCCCTGTGGGCGGCATCGAGCATACCCTCATGAAGCTGGAAAAGATGGAATGTTAAAATTGCCTCTGTGTTTGTCTATATATGTTGTGTGTCTAATTGGCACTGAATACTTGCCATGTATATGTGCTAGGCTTGGGCGATCCAGTTCGTTAATTTCGTAATTCGTTATTAATTTGTATTTAAATTAGCTTACGATCCAATATCGAACCATGCAGGAATAGTGTGAGGAGTAATTAAGAATCGAAACAATTTTTCCAATTTTTGTAATTATTTCGTAATTATTTCGTAATTATTTTCGTATGTCTGCTGCAAGTTTTACAATCTCGCATTTACCCCACTTCCGGTCCCTTTGCTCTGCTGCTTCCCTCCTCTTTCCTCATGCTTCTTCTTGCCTCACTCTAATATACAATACTATAATATAATATATTAAGGGGTAGGGAACCTTTGGCCCTCCAGCTGTGGTGGACTTCAACTCCCACAATTCCTTGAGGCTCGGCATTGGGCCAAGGTAAGCCTTTGGGGCGAATGCCGAGCCTCAAGGAATTGTGGGAGTTGAAGGCCACCACAGCTGGAGGGCCAAAGGTTCCCTACCCCTGATATATAATATTATAATATTATAATAATAATATAATATATATTATATTATATTATTATTATACTATTATATTATAGTATTGTATATATTATATTATATATTATATATTTTATATATATATATATATATATATTATAATATAATAATATATATAATATATTATATATATTATAATATAAATAAATATAATCCTCACCTCAACTGCTTCTCTGATCCATAGTGGAGAGAGAGGGGGGCAGAAGACAGTCCCATCTTGTCTCCTGTGCTTTATAAATAATATAATATAATAAATAATATAATATAATATAATATAATATAATATAATATAATATAATATAATATAATATAGTTGTTGTTTGTTTTATCACACCAACAGTCAACAACAGAGGGAGAGGGAAGCTTCAGAAGTTCCCCCTGTCCCATTTGGAGGTTTTTTTAGCATATTGCGCAATCGCGTCCGCCATTAACGAATCGATTCATAATTAACGAAATTTCAAAAATTTCAAAATTTTGAAATATTAAATTTCGGAAGTCCTCTGAAATTCGAAACGCTGGCGCCCCCTGGAAACTAAGCGAGTTTAGAACCAATTTTTTTCTTGATCGCCCAAGCCTAATATGTGCATTGTAATCTGCCCTGAGTTCCCTGTGGGGTGAGAAGGGCGGAATATAAATAGTGTAAATAAATAAATAAATAATCAAGGATGAATGCAGGCACAGGTAGCTTTCTTTTAATAGGTGGCCAACACAAGACTTTGAACTCTTCACCTCAGCAGCAGCACTTGTCCTTCCGCTCCCACTGTTACATCCGGAAGTCCATCTCCAGTGAGGTCTGATCCAGCACCAATCGCTTGCCCAAAGTACTGAAGATTATTGGCCATCTGGGAACTTCTGATACGCTGTGGACAGAAGAAGGGAGATAGGAAAGGTATGTTGAATCAGCAGCCACTAAGAACAAAGCTATGGAGAAATGACAGCTGCTTGTGTGGTGGTGGAGCAAAGGGAATTCAGAAGCTGTAGGCTCACCTGGCTGTATGCTTGGTTTATGGATCTCCTGCTTCCCCGAAATATGTACACAGTTCCTCGATTCTCATCCTCCATTGGAGCCCCGACTGCCACATCTGTCCATCGGTCCCCAGTTATTTCACCTATTTCTGCTATGCTAGCTCCAAAGCGGCCAAAGGGGTTGTTGATTTCTCCACGCAATTCTTTGCTGCAGAGAAATGACTCTCCCTGTAAAAAGGAGAAAAGGGGACAGTTGAGTAGTTGAAATAAAGAATGCTCAGGTGAAAGTGCTCTTTTTTTCAGCCTGGGCACTGTTTGTTCTATGGTTCTTCCAAGAATCATAAGAGTGTCAGAGCAATTTCACACTACAAAAGTATACTGTGATGACCACATCTGATCTGGATGGTTGCATCTCTTGGAATTCCGAGGTTTGTATATCAGGGAGTACTACAGCTTTCTGGTTGAGAATCCTAAATACATGTAATGAACCTATTAATCCAAGCATTCCTTAAGAGAGTGTTTCTCAACAATCCCAATGCCGCAACCCCTTAATACAGTTCCTCATGTTGGGGTGACCCCAACCATAAAATTATTTTCATTGCTACTTCATAACTGCAATTTTGCTACTGTTATATATCTCAACACAAATATCTGATATGCAGGATTTCATTCACTGGACCAAATCTGGCACAAATACCCGATACGCCCAAATTTGAATACTGGTGGGGATGGAGGAGATAGATTTTGTCATTTAGGAGTTGTAGTTGCTGGGATTTATAATTAACCCACAATCAAAGAGCATTGTGAACTCCACCAATGATGGAATTGAACCAAACCTGGCGCACACAACTCCCATGACCAACGGAAAATACTAGAAGGATTTGGTGGACATTGACCTTCAGTTTTGGAGTTGTAGTTCACCTGCATTCAGAGACCACTGTGGACTCAAACAATGATGGATTTGGACCAAACTTGGAACGAATGCTCAATATGCACAAATGTGAACACTGATGGAATTTGGGGAAAATAGACATTTGAGAGTTGTAGTTGCTCTGATTTATAGTTCGCTTACAATCAAAGAGCATTCTGAACCCCACCAACAATAGAAGACAGCCAAACTTCCCACACAGAACCCCATGACGAACAGAAAATACTGTGTTTTCTGATGGTCTTTGGTGTCCCCTCAGACACCCCCTCACAACCCACCTGGAGTCCTGACCCCCAGGTTGAGAAATGCTGCCTTAAGACATTGTCATGGGCATCAGAATAAAATCATAGCACTGTAATTGTGTAGCATGAAACGGAGTCAGACTGAGGCTCCTTCTACATTGCCATATAAAATACTGCTTCAAACTGGATTATATGGCAGTGTAGACTCATATAATCTTGTTCAAAGCAGATAATGTGGATTATCCACTTTGAGAATCTGGATTATATGGCAGCATAAAAGAGGAAATAAAATATCTCAGAACTTGCTGGTTGGACATAAGAGAATTTGGCATCTTCTGGTTTTAATGTTTGACATTCATCATTTTTTTAAAATTTGGCAAGACTATTTTGAAATTCTGAGCATCTCCCATCCATCCATCACTTCTATCCAATGCTTTGATACTCCAAGTCTCCTCTTCCCTGGGGGAAATAGGGAGAATCTCACTGGGGAAAATCTATAACTAAACAGCTTTATCTCTGCTTCCATAAACACTCTGCACAAGCTGTTAGAACAGTTTACACAGTGATATCAAAAACACTGCACTCACTCCCCATTGCCCCTTTCGTTCACAGCAAAAAGACCCCATGTTCACTTTAATCAAAGCATGGCCTATGTACTGCTTCACTTAAGTAGTTCCTTCTGGCCACAAAGTGGAAAGACTAGGACGGTCTTCTCCTTCACCTACCTTCCTCTCAAAGACGTAGACCCTCCCTCCAGCCACAGTGTCATAGTACATAGGAGCGCCAATGAGAACCAGATCCGTGTTGGTGTCTCTGTCAAGGTCCACAGAGCAAAGTGTAGCTCCAAAGTAGGAGCCAATCTGGATGGGCTGAAATTTTACATTGTTAAAACAGTTCCTTGTTTGACCTCTTTAACATCCACCCATTCTACAACAGATATTTAAATAATCCAGATACATGTCTAGCTGTCAGGACTTCCCACAAAGTACACTGAGAATTGAAGTTTTAGATCAGAGTTTTCCAAACATACTTTTAAGACATATATCATTTTGTTTCATTTATATATTTAAAAATATTTGATTGTTTTGCCTATTTCATATAGACATGTTCATACAACATAACAATACAACGTGTTGTGACACACAGTTTGGAAAGCTCTGTTTTAGAGTGATGCCAGGACTCCTATATCAGGCTGTGATTCTTCTATTATTTCATTATCTTATGCAAGAATAAAAATTGCAACATTAGGTGGCATTATGGGAGTCTGATTGATAACTGGCAAACAGAGGGAGAAAACGTGGAAGCAGTGACAGACTTTGTATTTACTACACTACACTACACTTGATCTTAGCCAAAAAGCCGAGAAGCGATTTCTAGGAGTGAAAATTACTGCAGACTGCAGCCAAGAAACCAGAAGATGTTTACTTCTTGGGAGGAGAGCAATGACCAATCTTGATAAAATAGTGAAGAGTAGAGACATCACACTGGCAAAGAAGATCCACATAGTTAAAGCAATGGTATTCCCCGTACTAACCTACGGATGTGAGAGCTGGACCATAAGGAAGGCTGAGCGAAGGAAGATAGACGCTTTTGAACTGTGGTGTTGGAGGAAAATTCTGAGAGTGCCTTGGACTGTGAGAAGATCCAACCAGTCCAGGAAATAAACCTGTCTGCTCATTGGAGGGAAGGATATTAGAGGCCAAGATGAAGTACTTTGGCCACATCATGAGAAGACAGGAAAGCTTGGAGAAGATAATGATGCTGGGGAAAATGGAAGGAAAAAGGAAGAGGGGCCAACCAAGGGCAAGATGGAGGGATGTTACCCTTGAAGTGACTGGCTTGACCTTGAAGGAGCTGGGGGAGGTGACAACTGACAGGGAGCTGTGGCCTGGGCTGGTCCATGAGATCACAAAGAGTCAGAAGCAACTGAACGAATAAAAAACAAAAATTGGAGTTTTTGTTCATTCCTTCTCCCTATCCTTCTTGTGTTTGTCATTTCTCATGATATTTTGATTTAATCCCCTCTCCCTCAAAAATCCCATCATTTTACCCAAATTTTAATGCAAAAATATAATGACTTCACACAAAATAAGTTTTTGCATAAAATATTGGTGTTTCTACAAAAAAAACCACCATGAAAACGTACCCCCAAAAAAGTCCTGGAAGGAAAAATTTAAAGGAGTTGACATTCCACCCCCACCCCCACCCCACACCCCCAAATGGGAATCTTGACATGCCAGCACAAAAGGAATATGAGAATATTTGACACGTTGTTAGTTGAAAGTCCTAACACTGAATTATTTACAAAGTGATGCTATTTTGATTATGTCTGACTGCCAATACGCAAAATTCGTTACCAGCTTGAAAGGTATGTAAATAACAAACTGTGCTGAAACTGGGAAACACCAGACTTGTGTGTGAAAATGGTGACTGAGCATTTAAAATGTTTTGCCAAAATCGATAGAGGTGGCTTGCTATTAATTTGTTTGTGCCAGTGAATGTTTGTCATTTCTGTTATATTTTGGAAACTGCCCTGAGTCCCTTCGGGGAGAGAGGGCAGGTTATAAATAAAGTATATTATTGGGTTGTTGTGTGTTTTCCGGGCTGTTTGGCCATGTTCCAGAAGCATTCACTCCAGAAGTAGGAGAGAATGATTCTGGAACATGGCCATACAGCCTGAAAAACACACAACAACCCAGCAATTCTGGCCATGAAATCCTTTGACAATAAAAGATTATTATTATTATTATTATTATTATTATTATTATTATTATTATTCAACAGGGAAGACAGCTTTTTACAGTTTGTGGACTACATTACCAACTTTACAGATGAGAAAGAACATCTGTGTATGCGCTAATCCAACCCACCATTCACTCTTCAATGGTTTTACCTCTTTTGTGGACAGCTCTGATTGTACTTTCCATTGCCCATTGTCCTGGCTGAACCAGACAACCTTGCCAGCATGTTGATAACGAGGAGCCCCTAACACATAACTGCTCTGTCCATTCAGTTGAATTGTTTGCAGTGAGTAACCTTGGAGGAACAAGAAAACCAGAATCAGACCGCATAAAGAATAAAGACCTTTGATGAGAAGGACGTAATATGCTCATAGTTTTACAACAGGTATGCACAACTTGGCAGTATCGGTGACCAAACTTAAAATAGGCTAGAATGATAGATTCATAGAATAATAGTGTTGGAAGAGACTAGTGTTGAGGCATCTAGTGCACCCCCTGCCATGCAGGAAAAGCACAATCAAAGCACCCCCAACGGATGACCATCCAGCCTCTGTTTAAAAGCCTCCAAGGAAGGCATGCATGTGAACAGTATTGGAAAACTTTTGGAAAATAAGACCACTGTTATCACAAGGCATTTTGCTTCCTGATGTGGAACAATGTTATCTTCCTCTACTCCAATGCAACAGGCTCTACTTCTCTAAAAGTTCTTGCTGTCCCATTCAACATTTCCCATGATGTCATTCTGAAGCAGGACCTGTCCTGGATCAGTTCCATGGTGAAGCCAAGAAGGTATCTGTATTCATATTCCTATTGATACCAATCTATACAACCCAATAAATAGTTAGAAATTCCATGCTAGAAGTCTTCAGACTCCCTCCTTCAAAGAAGAAAAGTCTCTAATGCCTTTGCTGAGGAATTTCAAACCATCTCTAGAGAGCAGGAGAGAACCATAAGTTACTTTTTTACTCATACCAAGGTAGGCATCATTCATTTCTTTATTGAATCTTGACATATTGATAAAGCTTGATTCGCCACCACTTCCATACAGGAAGACCCCTCCGGACCAGTCATAGGCTCCTACTGCTCCCAACGCTGGGCCATCCTAGAAGAACACAAAGGATAGTAGAAGATATTTATTTTATTTATTTACTTCATTTATACCCCGCCTTTCTCACCCCTCGGGAGACCCAAGGAGGCTTACAAACTCCGGCAAAAATTCAAAGCTGCATATAGACATAATAAAATAAATAAAAACAATTAAAACGTACCCTATCAAAGTATAAAATAGTTAAACATATGAGCAACTAAAACACACCGGACAATAACACAACTTAAAAACATGTAAAGTGTAGAGTCTTGATTTTATACTTAATAATTAATCCATAGACATGATTCAGGCTGTTGAGGTTGAATTTCGTAAAGCCCTATTCTCCGAATGCATGCGTATAAAGCCAGGTCTTTAGCTTTTTCTGAAGACCAGGAGGGATGGGGCCTGCCTGATGTCACTGGGGAGGGAGTTCCAGAACCAAGGGGCCACCACTGAGAAGGCCCTGTCTCGCATCCCCACCAGTTACACTTGTGAAGGGGTGGGACCGAGAGCAGGGCCTCACCAGTTCATCTTAAAGCTCTAGCTGGCTCATAAAGGGAAATGTGTTTGGACAGGTATGTTGGACCAGAACCATTTAGGGTTCGATATGAGAACCACAAACCAGTGGAGAGGGGAAAAAATATATTAACCTAAAAAGAAAATAAGATTTTAATGTTTTTTTCAATGGATTTTAATGGTTATGATATTTTGTTGAGTTTTTTTTAAGCTTTTAAATTAATGTTTCCTGAGTTTAATTTTATACATTGCCTAAATGCTTAAAAATAATTTTACTGATGTTTTTGCATAGTTTTGTATGTTTTCGATCTGTTCAGATTTCAATATTAAATGAGTTCCAATATGAGAAAAAGGATGAGGTATAAATCAATAAAATAACAATGCCAGAAACAGTTCCCAAACCTACAGTATACTTCTCCCCAAACTTTCAGTAAGACAAGAAACATTTATTCTTTGAGGAGTTCACTTTTACTGTGCTGACCTTGTCTGGCAAATTAGGCTTCCAGGTGTGTCCCCAACAATTTTTTTAATGCTGTTTTTAAATTGTTTTAAATTGCTTTTAAATTTTGTTAGATTTTAGCCATTCTTGTAAGCCGCTCCGAGCCCCAGGGGAGTGGCGGCATATAAGTTTAAATAATAAATAAATAGTCTGGCCAAACCAAATCTGCCAAACTCTCTTCTGTATTGAAGACGTCAAATCATGAGTTTTTAGAATTTCTTAAGTAACAAGTAGTATAAGGATCAGGGCAGCAAGAAGTAAGAGCCAAACCACCTGGGTAGTGTTGTGTAATTACTGCCAGGATTAAGTAACTGCTGGAGTAATATAGGAGCAAAAAGGCTACTCCTTGCTGAGGTGTTGGAAGGTTGGAGTTCTGAGAGGCTGGTGCCTTAAGGAGACTGAAGGTTCAGGTATCAAGAAAAATTGGACTACAAATCCAGCCTGCTGCAAGTAAGAAGTCTCCAGTTATTTGGAAGTATCAGGAAAAAAAGGCCGGAGAAGTATTCCAGTCTTCAGTCACTGTAAATCTGCTACAAGTTTGCAGCAAAGACAAAGGGGTGAGTTTACTCCTTGATCGGAGGGGGAAACCTTCCGTGGCTGTTTGTGACTACAAATATTAATCATCACAACAGGAAGATCTTAATTTTGCAAGTTTCTCCTTCTGACTGCTCAAACACTGAAGATTTACACAGACCAGTTTATATATGAATAGCCCATTCTGGATACAATTTGCCTGAGACCAAGAACTTCATAACCAAGCTGGCACAGGGTTGTTGTGTATTTTCCAGGCTGTATGGCCATGTTCCAGAAGCATTCTCTCCTGATGTTTCACCTGCATCTATGGCAGGCATCCTCAGGGGTTGTGAGGTCTGTTGGAAACTAAAAAGTGGAAAAGTGGGGTTTATATATCTCTGGAATGTTCAGGGTGGGAGAAAGAACCCTTGTCTGTTTGAGGCAGGTGTGAATGCTGCAAAGAGAGAATGCTTCGGGAACATGACCATACAGCCCGAAAAATTTATTTGCTTTATTTCTATACCGCATTTTTCAGCCCTTAACAGGTGACTCAAAACTCACAGCAACCCAGTAATTCCAGTCATGAAAGCCTTCAACAAGCTGGCACTATTTGCGGCATCAGATTTGGCGTTTTACTTGTCAAAATCTATCTTCTTTTTTGAGAGTTTCAATATATTAATTCATAGAAGGGGTGGGAATGACTTACTGGGGTCAGCAAGGCACTGAATCCCTCCTGGGACATCTCTAACTGGAAGGAGCTGCTGTCTTTGGATTGTGTCCCTGCAGAAGAAAGATGGAAGGGAAGACTAAGTCATTATATGCTTTCATGCTGTCTTATAAGTTTTGATTATGATGTCAGTCTGTCTATAATGGATTGGCCTGAGATTTATTCTTCCAGCTAGGGTTGCCATATTTCAGGCTAAGCCGTGAGTTTCAAGGTCTGGGACATCTTCTCCATTCCTCATGGCAAAGAAGAAAAAATCTCAGGGCAAGAGTGTTGCCTTGAAAAATGTGCACACACACACAAACACACACATATACATATACATACATATAGATGCTGTATTTTCTGGCATATAAGACTACTTTTTAACCCAGGAAATCTTCTCTAAAGTCGGGGGTCGTCTTATAATCTGGGTATCATCTTATAGGGTGGGTGCTGAAACTTCTGAGCTGGACTGGAGAATTTGCGGTCACTGCATATGGTGGGGGAGATCAAAAACGGCTGTGGCCGCATCCCCGCTGTATGCAGTGATTGTATGAAAGCAGCAAGGGCCGCACTGTACAAGTACGGTAGAAGAAAATTCACTCACCAGAATTCATGGAAAAAAGTGACTTAACGTGGTCCCGATGATGAGGTGAGGGGATGCCTCACGGGGAAGGTGTAAGTGAAGGGCGGTGCAAGCTGCAGGCATCTGGGATGCCTAGGTTATGGGAAAAAGAGATAGAGCAGTGCTGCGCCCAGAAAAACATGCCTCTTTCGCCTGTCCCTTGTATCCTATTACTGTACCTCCTTTTCTGCCTCTCAGATATCGATCCTGAAGATTGCAGTGAAGTGGCACAGGTGCATATGTGCAAGATATGAGAGGCAGAGAAGGTGGTATGGTAATAGGAAAATTACCATATTGAAATCAAATCTAATATTTTTTTGCATTTTTATCTGGTGTGTGTTGGAAGAGGGGCAGTATATTCCAAACTCTACATTTTAACAGAGACACTCGCTGGAACACCTCAGCAAGTGAGAGTCCAAAAGTGGCAGGCTCAAACCCAGAACCTCAATCAATGGCTGATACTCAATGAGAGACTCCCCCCTGGGCACACAGAAAACTAGGCGACTTGGAAGGTACCAAACAGACTGCACTCTGGCACCACGAGATGCAGAGCCAACCTCAAGAAATGGGGCTACAAAGTTGAATCCACGACATGCGAGTGTGGAGAAGAGGAAACCACAGACCACCTGCTGCAATGCAACCTGAGCCCTGCCACATGCGCAATGGAGGACCTTTTTGCAGCAACACCAGAGGCACTCCAAGTGGCCAGCTACTGATCAAAGGACATTTAATTCACTACCAAGCTTGCAAACTTTGTGTTTTGTTTGTTTGTTAAAAATGCAATGCAACTGTTTGGTCTGCTCCTGACACGATAAATAAATAAACCGGAAAAGTTGGGGATTGTCTTATACGCCCAGTCATCTGATATACCAGAAAATACGGGTGTATATATTTCTCCTTTGTTATTTCACTGGCAGACTCTCTGCAATTTTGAACACTTCATGCATTATGCTAAATAACATGCACTGAGTGATGTGGTCTGACACGGATATCCTCACCAGGGCCCTCCCTCCCCCTGTGGCATCACAAGTGGTTGCCCATTGATTTGACCCTGTTACCTCAGGACTTGGGATAGTCATAACCTAGGCAATCTTTCTTTCAATTGTTTGTCAGAGGCAAAAATCTTAACATGCCTTCTTCATAACGTGGTTACCTTCAATGGCAAAGATTTTATCTTGGAGTTTATTCTGGATGTCCTTGAGAGCATCAAAGTTGTCCACTGGGAAAACATGATCATCCTCTGGTTGAGAGGCAATACTGATAAGCTCTTGCTTGGCTGTGCCTCCTGAGAAAGATTTCCCCACCTTTGCAGTGTGTCAGGGAATGGGATGAGGGATAAAGCAGAGAATGATATATATTCAAGACAATGCTGCTGCCAAAATAGGTAATTAACATGTTCAGAATACACATGGACTAATGGGAACAAATGTCCTCTCACTGTCCTGATTGATCCTCTACTGTCCCCCTTTTTCAGCTGCTTCTAAAGTGTTTCAGTTTATCTCTTTTCCTCCAACTTTTCCTCCAGATTAACTCGACCTTGCCCTAAACTTCAGACTTAGGGTCGCTCTAAGTCTGAAACAGCTTGAAGGCACACAACAACAACACTCCCAATTAAGTTGACTATCTCATCAGCCAAAAGCAGGTCCACACTTTCCACTGAAACACTGGCAAGTTTATGTTGATTAAAATTATTCTTCATTTTAAATATTGTATTGATATTCTTTCATATTTTTGCATTGCAAATAAGGTATGTGTAGTGTGGAGTTTTGCTTAAAAAGTTTGAGGATCCCTGTTTGAAACCCTTCAGTAACTTCATGTTATTGAGTTAAGATGTTCTTTGCTAGCTTCCTCACCCCAATGGCAAAGCGGGTGATGCCAGCACGTTCAGCCTCTGGGATGACGTCACTGTACTCCAAGCGGTCTCCTGATTTCTCTCCATCAGTTATTACTATGAGAACTTTCGAGGCACCAGGCCGGGCTCCTTTTTCTGGGACAAATTGTTCACGTCTGCAGGAAGTGTAGAGAAACAATAACTACTCTTTCTTTCTAAATCAGTGGTTCTCAATCTGTGCGTCCCCAAGTGTTTAGGCCTACAACTCCAAGAAATCCCAGCCAGTTTATCAGGTGTTATGATTTCTGTGAGTTGAAGGCCAAAACATCTGGGGACACACAGGTTGAGGATCACTTCTAAATCCTAAATGAATGGCCTACAAACAAATAGGAATCCAACCCTGGCTGCAATTTGGAGCCAATGTGCAAGATCCTGTAATCTATAGACACTCTAGAAATCTGACTAGATAGCAGTAAACAATGACAAAAGCAGAAAAGAGGCCATCAATAGCTTACAATGACATTTTCTTAGGACAGTGGTTCTCAACCTGTAGGTCCTCAGGTGTTTTGGCCTACAACTCCCAGAAATCCCAGCCAGTTTACCTGCTGTTATGATTTCGGGGAGTTGAAGGCCAAAACATCTGGGGACCCACAGGTTGAGAACCACTGTCTTAGGACCTCATCAGATGGTCTTTGGACTCCAATGCACTTAGGAAATGGAGTCCCACGAAGGCCATCATATGACATAAGGGCACTTCCAGTAACACTCCATGGCACTCTGTTTCCTAAATGCATGTAAACACAGACCAAAGCCCATCTGCAGAAGTTGGGTGTTTCCTGACTCCAAGCATCAGAATGCGAGAGAAAGTGGGGGAAATATGTGGAAAGGTACAAGAAGCACCTGAAACGGCCATCCCAGAAGATGAAGAAAGACAGAAAGGAATGGGGTAAGTTGGTTCCCTCCACTTTTTGCTGCTTCCCCACCACTCCCCCCCCCTCCCCCAAATCTGTTTGATGAGGTCTCTATTCTTTCTCCTTGAAAACTTGGAATACAATGATTTCAAAATTACATGTTATGGTTTCTGGTAATTCCCTGAATAAATGTGGAAACAAACAACATAATTTTCAATCAGATGAATGAAAGAAGGTCACATACATCACTTTCTGGATATATTTAGCTGTCAAAGTTGCCCCTTGCAGCTGCTGAACTGGTCTAAGCAAATCATCAGGATTTCTGACTCTCTGGAAGTCAAGGAAGTCAAACTCTTCTCGATACCCACGTGCGTACTGAGACAAGGCAAACTAAAATGAGAAAGAGACACATCTGTATAGAAACTGTAAATCTGGCATAAAGTTCCCTTACTGTGTATTACTATCATCATGGCACACAGGGAAAGGCTTGATAACACACTAAAAGTGCACTTTGTTGACCATCCAAAATCCTATTAAGATCACTGATTTGGCTTTTCATATTTCCGCACATTCTCCACTATCGAATTGGTCATTGACGGTAATAAAGCGAACCTGAACTTGACGTTCTCCACTACTTGATTAGGTAAAATAACAAAAGAAGTCATGACAAATCTTTTGTACCAAAACCCTACAAATTTACTCCCATGGATGGCCTAATCTCTATCCTTTAGTTACCTGGGTATTGCTATTTTGGAAACGCTTCATGATCATAGTTATAAATGTCTTCATCTGTGGGAACTCATGGCGTTGAATACTTCCTGAACCGTCCATCAGGAAAACTATGTCTGTGAGCTGCTTTGGACAATCTAGGGATTAAACACAAACTGAGAAAAATTAGAACTTTGAGATAAATGAACCTCTTTTGTGGCAATCTGTAATATATCCCTGTTTATTCAATATAAGCCATCCTTCAGGTTTCCCAGTATACATTTATGAAGGAGACACAGTGTGGACAACCTTTTTATTGGACCCACACTGCTTTGCAATATGTTGCCCTTCTTTCCAAGTACATAATATTAGATCTGTGTTGTAAACTTTTTGGAAAAAATCCCTACTGTATGTATGCATAGGACATATATTTTCAATGTGTATACATGCTAATGTTTGGGGATACATATCAATGTAGATGCCCATTCATGTAGACCTCAGATGCTTCCCCAAATTTGCCCACTTTGTGACTGCTGGTATCTGAGTTTCATTTACGCATATCTTGATTTTACCTGGCAGACTCTCAGGAAAGCGCTTCACCTCTGCCAAATTCTGATCAAGGAGAAAGCAATAGCCCTTGAGGTATATATTTTCACCACAAGTCTGCTGCACGGTGGGACCACACACCTATGGAGCCAGGAGATGGTGGTTAGGCACAAAGTTATGGTTATCAACAATTAATACGTTAATACATTCTTTAAAAATAATGTGATTAATAATGTGTATTAATGTTATCTGGCCACAATGGTCCATGCTCTTGTTACATCCCGAATAGATTACTGCAATGCACTCTATGTGGGGTTGCCTTTGAAGACTGTTCAGAAACTCCAACTAGTCCAATGGGCAGCAGCTAGATTACTCATGGGAGCATCATACAGGGAGCATGCCACCCCCCTGTTATGTCAGCTTCACTGGCTACCGGTCCAGTTCTGTGCACAATTCAGAGTGATGGTCTTGACCTATAAAACCCTATATGGTTCTGGCCCAGCATACCTGTCTGAACGTATCTCCCTCTACATCCCATCTTGGAGTTTAAGATCCTCTGGGGAGGCCCTGTTCTCGGTCCCACCTCTGTCGCAAATGTGCTTGACGGGGATGAGGGACAGGGCCTTCTCGGTTGTGACCCCCCTCCTGTAGAATTCACTCCCCAGTGAAATTAAGTTATCCACATCTCTCCTTTCCTTCAGAAAGAAGTTAAAAACGTCATTGTGGGACCAGCCCTTCGGGTAACACACTGACAATGACAATGGTAATGATGACAATTCTCAATGGAAGTGGACTATGGACAAGCTTCTGATAGACAGTCTGGTCACAGAATTTGGCTTAGATTAAGCCACCAGGCTGAAATGTTTTGAACAGTTTTAAATTGAATTGATTTAATGTTTTATTTATGTGTAATTATTGTGTTTTATTATGTGTATATAGGGGCATCGAATCATTACCAGCTGTAAGCCGCCCTGAGCGAAGGGCGGGGTATAAATATTTGAAATAATAATAAAATTATTAATAATAATAAAATAAATAAAATAATAATATTCAAATACGTCTCAATACACCAGTTACACAGCCCCACCCCAAAATCTTGGTGTCTTGGTTTCTAGGCCTGTTCCTGGGTTTATTTAGGCCGCTGATTCAGAAAATTGCATTGGATAGACCACATTCGCTTTAGTTTCTTTTTTAATTTTTTTTAAATCAAGAAGTGCAACACATTACAAAACAAGTTGCCTGTTCAACACTGTAATTTGTAAAATCAGTAGGTTACTTTTTTAACTCTTTAACAATAGATACATAGTATTTTTAAAAGGTAACTTTCCAGTCTCTGGGAAAGTTCAGCAGGGATACCCTGTAGAAGGGTAAGCAATACTTGCAGAAACATTTAAAAGATGCATACATATTATTATTTTTTTATAAAAGAGCAGAAGTCGAGGCTGCATCTACACTGGAGTATTAATGTGGTTTGATTCCACTTTAAATACCATGACACATAGCTATGGAATCATGGGAGTTGTAGTTTGACATTGTTTTGAGTCTTCTCTGCCAAAGTGCTAGTACTTCAAACTACAACTCTGCCAAGGAAATTTGTTACAGAAGCAAGGCTAGAATTACTGGACCCTAATGTTATGATCCTTGGATATAAAGTACAGTAGGGTCTCGCTTATCCAACATAAATGGGCCAGCAGAATGTTGGATAAGCGAAAAATGTTGGATAATAAGGAGGGATTAAGGAAAAACCTATTAAATGTCAAATTATGTTATGGTTTTACAAATTAACCACCAAAACATCATGTTTTACAACTAATCAACAGAAAAAGCAGTTCAATACACTGTAATGTTATGTAGTAATTACTGTATCTACGAATTTGGCACCAAAACATCGCAATGTATTGAAACAGCTGTGGATCCAGGCAGGAGGCAGACTGTGTTGGATAATACAGAACGTTGGATGAGCGAAGATTGGATAAGCGAGACTCTACTGTAGTACTCTTTAAGAAATGAGAAGGTGTGTTTTAAAGATCTTCTTTGAGTTTCAGCACTTACCAGCAACTGAGAACCTTGAGCTGAGAGAGACAAGCTGAGAGACATGTTCACTGCATCAGCAGGTCCTGGAGGGAAAAGAAACACATATAGACTATTTATTTATTTTAAAGGAAACACTTATCCTACATTTTGGGCTTTTTTTCATGTCAGAAGCGAGTTGAGAAACTGCAAGTTACTTCCGGTGTGAGAGAATCGGTCGTCTGCAAGGATGTTGGTCAGAAGATGCCCAGATGTTTTAATGTTTTACCATCCTTCTCTCATGTCCCCACATGGGGAGCTGGAGCTGACAGAGGGAGCTCATCCACGCTCTTCCCAGATTCGAACCTACTGCACCACCGGGGGCTAAAATCCTACCAACATTTCCCTCTCTTGCTCTATTCTTAATGCCAGGGTATGTCCCTTTAACAAAAATATGCAATTATACCACTTCATTCATTTAGATAATTATTGCGTGTCCAGAGAACGTCATTTTCTCCCTGTAAACCTTTTGTCTTTTCTCATGGCTTATTTCAACCTTTCTTTAAGAAGAGAAGGATGAGGAAGAGGAGAAAGAATAGTTGCACATTCTCTATCTGTTTTTTAGACTCTTCAGGATAAAATATGGGTGCAACCCTATTGCAAAAATAATGTAGTTGTTGCCACTTTATGTGCATCTAACACCAAGCCTACATGGCTTGTAGTCCTCAGGTGTTTTGGACTTCCACTCCCAGATTTCTTGACCATTGGGAAAACTGGCTTGGGCTTCTGGAAGTCCCAAACACCAGGAGGGCTACATGTTGTGCAAGCCTGATCTACACTTTAGAATGAACACAGTTTTGCACGACTTTAACAGCTGTGGCTCAATGCTATGGAATCATGAGAAGATTATATCCCAGGATTCCATAGCATTGAGCCTGGGTAGTTAATGTAGTGTCAAACTCCATTAATTCTACAGTCTAGACTAGGCATGGGCAAACTTTGGCCTCCAGGTGTTTTGGACTTCAACTCCCACAATTCCCGACTATTGGGCAAGCTGGCTAGGGCTTCTGCAAGTTGGAGTCCGAAACACCTGGAGGGCCACAGGTTATGCAAGACTGATCTACACTATAGAAAGAACATAGTTTTGCATGACTTTTAACAGCCGTGGCTCAATGCTATGGAATCATGAGAGGATTATATCCCAGGATTCCATAGCATTGAGTTTGAGTAGTTAAAGTAGTATCAAACGCCATTAATTCTAGTCTAGACCAGGCTTTGGCAAATTTCGTCCCTCCAGGTGTTTTGGACTTCAACTTGCACAATTCCTAGCAGCCAATAGGCTGTTAGGAATTGTGGGAGTTGAAGTCCATAACACCCAGAGGGTCAAAGTTTGCCCATGCCTGGTCTAGATGCACCTTTTGACTGTCATGGCTCAATGCTATGGGATCTTGGGATATGTAGACTGGTGAGGTCCCAGAACTCTTTGACAGAGAAAGCTAAACACTTTGTAAAACTACAACACATAGTAGCAATTTTGGGTCTTACACAACAGATGGTTCAGTTGCAACATTGAAGAGTCTCTGATATTGTGAGCTTAAGAAATCAACCTAATGCTCCAGCTCTGGGCGCCTTCCCTCTATTGCAACTCGTTCAGAAAAGAGACTAATCTAAGCCAAGCACTTACTTACTTTGCAAAACAACATCCTCGCATCTGCCAGTTTTGCTTGGTATTGTTTGACATTTATACAGCTTTCCTGTTTCATTCACATCCCCATGCTGGAGTGGGGCACCGACAAGCACCCTATAAGAATGGTCACAATTGAAGGAAAATTAGTAGGAAAATTATACATAAATCTTTGGAAACCCACTTTTTGCACTACAGCTCTCAGACATCCTCAGGCTCAAGATGGGAGGTTTCCACATTTGCAAGTTTGGTAGACTTTGGCAAATTTGATTATTCATGGATTTGATCAAAATGTTCTCTCCGAGAATCTCTTGATCCTCTAGTACTGTGTTTCCCAAACTCTGCTCCTCCAGGTGTTTTGGACTTTAGCTCCCAGATATCCGAGTTAGTTTACCAGCTGTTAGGAATTGCGGGAGCTGGAGTCCAAAACATCTGGAGGAGAAGAGTTTGAGAAACATTCCTCTAGTGCAATGGTTCTCAGCCTGTGGGTCCCCAGATGTTTTGGCCTTTAACTCCCAGAAATCCTAACAGCTGGTAAACTGGCTGGGATTTCTGGGAGTTGTGGGACCCACAGGTTGAGAACCACTTCTCTAGTGTAACTCTATGGCCAACTTACACCAGAAGGTGATTATAGAGCCATGCTAGAAGATCTAGAGCAGGGGTATCAAACTCATTTTCACTGAGGGCCACATCAGCCTTTTGGTTGCCTTTTAAGCCATAGATTTTGAATGTGTGTTGTGCTATTGTTAATGTTTATGCTATTTGTGTTGAGATTTATTTTAATTGATTTGTATTGTTGTTGTTATTGCTTGTATTGATGTATTGTGGGCTCAGCTTTATGTAAGCCACACCGAGCCCCTTGGGGAGATGGTAGCGGGGTACAAATAAAGTTGTTATTATTATTATTATTATTATTATTATTATTATTATTATTATTATTATTATGGGCCGTTGAAACCACAGATAGAGAATCCATGAAAACAGAGAGTCAATTCTAATTACTTTACATAGTGTTCAATGCTTTTTAGTTTTTACCCAGTTTGGAGCTCCAGAAATTACTGAATGACAACTCCCATCACTTTTTGTTATCTGCCATGGGGACTGGGGACAATGGGAATTACAGCCAACAGCACTTGTGGCTCTGGGGTTGAGGAAAGGTTAAAGGCATTTTAAAGCCAGACATCATATCCACAAGCCTTGTATCTAAGTTCAAACCCCACTCTCCTGACTAAACAGAACAAACTGCAGTCTTCCAGATGTTACTGCATCACGACTCCCATCAACTCTAGTCATGATGTCTACGAGGAATACATAAGTTGTGGTCCAGCATCTGAAGGGCCACATATAATGACACAGTGGGCTGGATTTGACTTGTGAGTCTTGAATATGACATATGTGACCTAGAGATAACTAGAAAGAACACCTCTCTAGATCCCCCAGTGAAATCTGTGGTCACAGATCCATGCAGGAGAACCTAGAGATTCCTAGACAAGTGGTCTCTAAGATTTTTTTAAAGCAGTTTATATTTAGTTTTCACTTTCTTAGCTGTCTTTTGATTCTAACCATAGCAAATGTGGAGTGCTGATTATATGATATTTCCACACTCTGGGAATATATGAGGTCAGGATGACAGACAAACATCTCTCAATATATTTGGATTTCACTGTATTTCCATACCCAGCATTTGCTCCACTTCCAAATTGCACGACGCTCTGCCCAAAGCCCTTGGCGTTCTCTCGGAAGATGATGGGATTTTCTGTATCCAAACTGAATCCATGGCACGGTGTTAACACTGAAGAATGATAAACAAACTGATTCACACTTTTCATTCAGTAAGGGCCCTTCCTCACAGACCTACATCCCAGGATATCATGGCAAAAAATCCCACATTGTCTGAGTGTAAACTCAGATAACCCAGGGCCCTTCCACACAACCCTATATCCCAGAGTATCAAGGCAGAAAATCCCACAATATCTGCTTTGAACTGGGTTATCTGAGTTCACACTCAGATAATGTGGGATTTCCTGCCTTGATATTCTGGGATATAGGGCTGTGTGGAAAGGCACCAAGACCAAGCAACAATAGAATAGTTTGGGAGTTGAAACTTATCAGATGAGGAGGAATCTACCCTTGTGGAGAAAGCATAATTCATTGGGATCCCTTCTACATTGCCATATAATTCAGATTTTCAAATCAGAAAATCCACATTATCTGCATTGAACTGGATTATATGAGTCTACACTGCCATATAATCCAGTTCAAAGCAGATAATCTTGATTTTTTATGGCAGTGTAGAAGGGGCCTGAGAGAACTGTAGTTTCAACTGCTAAATGCAACAGATCCAATCCCAGGAAATTCCAAAAAAAGTTGAATTTGTGTTCCATTTTGCAGTTTTTCTGTAGTTCTCCTTCTCATTTTATAGGACCCTTCCAGACAAGGTATAAAATGCGGGCCTGGTTGGACTCGTTTTTACCCGCAATAAATTGCTGTCTGGAAGCACCCATAGTCACAATGTCTATGAGGAATATAGGAATTGTATTCCAGCATCTGGAGGACCACATAAAATGACATGGCGGACCGGGTTCGAGGAGCACATTACAGAATCACTCACCAGGAGACCTAAAGAAACCTTTAACATTTGTAAACAAAGCTCACATTTGTAAAGAAAAATTCACATCATTCCTAATTGTGAAGATAATGCAATTTTTGCACAGCAGGAAAGTCAACCACAAATTCAAGGAGTTTCATGTTTCTCATCAGAACTGAAATTCAGTGAAGGAGAAGTCTTCACCTGTTGAACATCTGGCTGTTATTGTTCTGTTAAATGCATTAGTCAGAAGGGTGGTACTCCATGAGGTCTGTATCATATGAAATGGGAAGTGGGTCCTAAAAAAGATGCTATTGGGGGAAAATGGGCCTGAGATGATTTAGGATGCTGAAAGCATCATCCAGCATTCAACTCAGGAAATACCGACATGGTCATCTTCCTGTACATTGGCTAGGCCATGACTTGCATGTTTATTTATGCTTGGTTATAGTGTAAAATAGTTGCAACCATCTTTCTTCATATCATTTCCTTGGGGTGTGGGTCCACTATGAAATCTCAAGAAGAGTTCATTGTAAATGAACAGGAAGACAGTAGCTGAAAAGGAAATGCCCAGGAAGTATGGAGGTTGAGATATACCCACTCACTCTAAGGGCTGGAGGTCATGGGTCAGAATAAAATTAAGAGGAAAATCTCATTTATAAAGGAAACACAAGCAGAAAATATACTCATTGGCACATGCACCATTTGTGTATCTTTGTTTCCAACTTATGGCAACCCTAAGGGAAATCTATCAACAGGCTTTCTTGGCAAGATTTGCTCAGAGGGAGTTTTGTACTGCCATCCTCTAAGCAGGCCCGTAGCCAGGATTTCATTTGGGGGGGGGCTGAATTTTTTTTCGGGGGGGGGGGGGGGGGCTGAGTCTGAGTGAAAGCGGATCTAGCCTAGCAAACCTTTTGTATCATTACCCCAATAGCCCCATGCATATGGGATATATTGAGTATGGTGATCAGATCATGATGTGAATAAACATAACAGTTTAAATAATGCACCAGTAAGGCCTTTTTGCAAACCACCATGAGAATTTCGGGGGGGGGGGGGGCTGAAGCCCCTCAAGCTTCTCCCCCTAGCTACATGCCTGCCTCTAAGGCTGAGAGGTTGTGACTTTCCTGAGGCATCCAGAGAGTTTCCACGACTAAGCAGGGATTTGTACCCTGGTCTCCCTGAGTTCTATTTTCACACATAGTTCAAAAGGTCCAGCTTGCGACACCATACATATCAAACAGGATGCCAGTCATCCTTTTAGAAGTGTATCTTTGGTTCACATCCCTACTATTAATAAGTGTCCTGCCACACACACTGCTTAAGCTGGGATGCTGTGAGTTTTCTAGGCTGTATGGCCATGTTCCAGAAGCATAAATGTTGCAGTTGGCGACCTTGATTAGCATTTAATGGCCTTGCAACTTCAAAGCCTGGCTGGTTGCTGCCTGGGGGAATCCTTTGTTGGGAGGTGTCAGCACTGCCTCCGGAAAATCCTGCAAATCTCTTGGAAAGACAGGCAGACAAATGTCAGCGTGCTGGAAGAAGCAAAGACCACCAGCACTGAAGCGATGGTCCTCCACCATCAACTCCGCTGGACAGGCCATGTTGTCCGGATGCCCGACCACTGTCTCCCAAAGCAGTTGCTCTATTCCAAACTCAAGAACAGAAAATGGAATGTTGGAGGACAGGAAAAGATATTTAAAGATGTGCTCAAAGCCAACCTTAAAAATTCCGGCATAGACACTGAGAACTGGGAAGCCCTGGCCCTTGAGCGCTCCAGTTGGTGGTCAGCTGTGACCAGCAGTGCTGCAGAATTTGAAGAGGCACAAATGGAGGGCGAAAGAGAGAAATGTGCCAAGAGGAAGGGGCGTCAAGCCAACCCCAACCGGGACCACCTTCCACCTGGAAACCGATGCCCTCACTATGCGAGAAGATGCAGATCAAGAATAGGGCTCCACAGCCACCTATGGATCCACCCCCAGGATACCACTCTTGGAGGACCATCATCCTCGGACTATGAGGGATCGCCTAAGTAAGTAGGGAAAAAAACTCTTGTCTGTTGGAAGCAAGTGTGAATGTTGCAATTGCCAGCTTGATTAGCATTGAATAGTCTGGCAGCTTCAAACCCTGCCTGCTTTGTGCCTGGGGAAATCCTTTGTTGGGAGGTATTAGCTGGCCCTGATTGTTTCTTGTCTGACATTCCCCTGCTTTTTGAGGGTTGCTCTTTATTTACTGTCCTGAATTTTTTTTAATACTGGTAGCCAGTTTTTGTTCATTTTCATGTTTTCTTCCTTTCTGTTGAAATTGCCCACAGGCTTGTGGATTTCAGTAGCTTCTCTGTGTAGTCTGATATGGTGGTTGTTAGAGTGGTCCAGCATTTCTGTGTTCTCAAATAATATGCTGTGTCCAGTAAATAAATAAAGACAGTAGCAACATTCGTACCTGCCTCAAGCAGACAAGAGTTCTTTCTCCCACCCTGAACATTCCACAGATATATAAATCCCACTTGCCTAGTTTCCAACAGACCCCTCAACCACTGAGGATGCCTGCCATAGATGTGGGCCAAACGTCAGGGGAGAATGCTTCTGGAACATGACCATTCAGCCTGGAAAACTCACAGCAACCCAGTGATTCTGGCCATGAAAGCCTGCAACAACACATTGCTTAAACTGCCTGTGCTTTAATTGATTAATCTGCTCGTCAAAGCTAATCACTTTCATTTTGCAATAAAAATATCCATCACAAATGTGTTGTATTTTTTTAAAAAGGGATAAATTTGCCATGATGTATCTCATAAATGCTGCTGCTTATGACCTAGACTACTGTACTGTATTTATGCAAAGCACAACAGTATCATTTCCATTATTCACATTCTATGCATTACTTAGGTACAGACACTGCAAAATTCTTCAAGTTGACTCTTTTTCATAACAGAACCGAAATGGATGTCTCTGAGGTCTATCCCACTGGGCTTCTTTTAACAGAGAAGGTGTGAATGTTTATAATAATCTTTATTTGTACCCTGCTACCATCTCCCCAAAGAGACTTGGCATGGCTCATAGAAGAAGGAGAAGGGGAAGGGGAAGGGGGGGAGGAGGAGGAGGAGGAGGAGGAGAAGAAGGGCTCTCAATGGACAGTTCCTAGGAAAAATTGAGAGCCAAACTGACAAAGAAAAAACACGGCTGTGGTTCACAAATGGAACTTTGAAAAAGGAGACGGAGGGCCTGATTCTGGCAGCCCAAGAACAAGCAATTAGAATAAATGCCATCAAAGCCAAAATTGAAAAGTCGATGACAGATCCCAAATGTAGACTCCGCAAGGAAGCAGATGAAACAATAGATCACATCCTCAGCTGCTGCAAGAAGATCGCGCAGACAGACTACAAGCAGAGGCACAACACCATTGCTCAGATGATTCATTGGAACTTGGGCCACAAATACCATCTGCCTGCGACAAAGAACTGGTGGGATCACAAGCTTGAAAAAGTTACAAAATGAATGTGTCAGACTACTCTGGGACTTCCAAATTCAGACTGACAGAGTTTTGGAGCACAATACTCCTGACCTCATGATCGTGTTAAAAAACAAAGTATGGATCGTCAACGTTGCAATCCCAGGTGACAGCAGAACTGAAGAGAAACAACTGGAAAAGCTGACACAATATGAGAATTTAAAGATCGAACTGCAAAGGTTCTGGCACAAGCCAGTAAAGGTGGTCCCAGTGGTGATTGGCACACTGGGTTGCAATGCCTAAAGACCTTGGCCTGCACTTAAACACAACTGGCGCTGACAAAATTACCATCTGCCAGCTGCAGAAGGCCACCGTACTGGGATCTGCACGCATTATTTGTCGATACATCACACAGTCCTAGACACTTGGGAAGTGTCTGACGTGTGATCCAATACAACAGCCAGCAGAGTGATCTTGTCTGCTGTGGACTCATCTTATTGTGTTTCTAATAATAATAATAATAATAATAATAATAATAATAATAATAATAATCTTTATTTATACCTCGCCACCATCTCCCTCAAGGGACTCAGGGTAGCTAACTTAAGCTCAAGCCCAAGTAATTAAAATAAGGCAAAATAAAATACATACAACAGATAACAATATCAAATAAAATGCTTAACAATAACAAAGCAATACAATAAAATAATGACAATAACAAATGCAAAGGGTAAAACTGTAAAACCCCTGGGTGAGATAGATAAGTAGAATGCTGTGTCTAGTGGAAGACTCGGGTGAGATAAACAATGAGGTTAATTTCAGCTGAGGGATGAGATAAAGTGCATCAGAAAGACAAATTTGTACTGGGGCGGGACATGGTATGGGAATTAGTTGTTTATTCCTCAAAAGCCAAGTTTTTTTACTTTCCCTAAAAGCTGCCAGGGTGGGTGCTTGCCTAATCTCCCTGGGGAACGAGTTCCAAAGCCGAGAGGTCACAGCGGAGAAGGCTCTCTCCCTCGTCCCCACAAGTCGTGCTTGTGATGAAGGTGGGAGTGAAAGGAGGGCCTCCCCAGAGAATTGAAACCTTGATTTTGCCACTGTATATAAAGAACATCATTTCAATACACTATTTTAGATAATGGGACTTGAACCTCCACAGATTTTGGTATCTACAGGAAATTCTGGAACCAAACCCCGGAGAAAACAAGGGCCCAGTGTATATCTAACCAAACAATTGTCTTCCATTTCTTAAATGTTTGTCTTCCATTCTTAATCAACTTGCTCCATTCTAGTTGATATAGCAACTACTATTTTCTTTTCCTGTTTAGCCACTGCTTCAAAGACCAATAAGGATGCACTTACCAATGGCACCAACACAGAGGAGCAATGAGAAGCAGTCCATCCTTGGGTAAACAATGGTGATGTGCAGAAGCTTTGAGGAGGCTGGGAGGTGGTTTCGAAGGTCTTGTCAGAAGAAGAGGGTGTTAAAACCATAGTGCTGTATGTAACTAGTATGAGGTGAAGCAAGTGCCAGCAATTTTTGCAAAAGAGAGGGATATGAAACAGAGGGCCAAAGGGGAAGTTGAGTCAGGAACAGCAGCGGAAAGTGTGGGGGGAGTTGTGGTTTTGGTGCCCACAGGGAACGCCCCCCAAATAGATAGATTACTACTCCACCAGCTCGTTCAATAGACTAAAATAAAAGTTTCCACTTTTATGTCACAATCAACGTTCTACATTCAAAGAGTATGAAGCTGTGGAATACACCCATTGGTATTAATATTGACAACATACAAGAGAGCAGCTCTCTGTTCCATTAAGTTTACAACCCAAAATATGGCACATGGGGAGACAGTAGGTGGGAAAGAATAAATGAGGAAAAAACATAGAAGAACATACCTGAGTTAAAGAGGGTGGCTGGCTACATAACACGTGTCATGTATCATATTCCCCAGTTGATGATGGTTGGTGGTGGCAGATCTAGCAGTTGGTAATGGAAAGGGTTAATGTAAGTCTTAGTCCTAAAGGGCTGATTAATCTGTAAGTAAGAGTTTACAAGTGAAAGCAATTAAGGGTGGAGGCATGCAGGAGACAGCTTGCAACTGGGTATTACTGGTTATAAGGAGCTAGCCTGGAGATTGATCTGGGAAGAAAAGTGTTTGTCTTATTTTGGCTGTGGATGCTGCTGGCTCCACCCCCACCCAGAGGTCTGTGGATTTTTGGAATCCTGACCTGTCTCCTGAACTCTTGGAACCTTGAATCTCTAGACTGGCTTTTGACTATGGTATAGACTCTTGTTGGACTTTACTCATTGAACTCTCTGTGTTTGATGACTGGACTCTTTGACTACGGCGTTCTCTTGAACCTGCATCGCTGTTCGCTATCAGTCTTTGTTGTATAGTCTGTGGCTGAGTGCTATCTTTATGTTTTACATTTGGACTATGAAAACAGCCAGACAGTAAGTGCTGCTTTAATTAAACAGTTTGACACAATCTGGGTGTTTGTTTTGGTTCATCTCTGCCTGCGTACTGGCAGAGCCTTGGCATTGTCACAACATTAGTGGTAAATATCCGCTGATTCACTGCAACAGATGAAAAACACGGGATGAAAAGTTCCCCTTGTATCCTGATTCCAGGTAGAAAATGTGAATATTCACATTAGTGTATATCCTTGAACTCATGAAAAAACATGTGATTTTCTCCAGCACATGTCTGCTTTAAAAGCCCAAAACAGCTGATTGGGCTGTGAAATAGATATATGGCTGATTTAAAGGAAGCATGAATGGAGAGCAATTAGAACTCTCTGAAACTCTTTATTTTAAACTTTATACTATTAAACAAGCTTGAATAAACATTTGGGGAAGAGAGAAATCTGATGGATTTTAAAAAATCCCCTTTGTTGTGTGCTGAAGTTTATATGCGCACATGCAAATCTGCTTGTATTTATATTAAGATATTTGCATGTGTGCATATACAGTCCAGCACATAATGGGGTGATTTTAAAAAACCAGACCTTCCACCGATGTCCCCTATCCACCCTCCATTTTGTTCCGATACAGAGGAAGCCTGTGAGGATGGTGGGAGAAGAAATCCTGGGACCCACAGGTCTCTGTGGAAACATGTTTTCAGGACCTGGGTTTTTTGTCGTCCATTTAAAACCCGCATTTTCATGCTGTCTGGAAGCTCCCTTAATTCTATATAGCAGTAGTGCTCAACCTGTGGGTCCCCAGATGTTTTGGTCTACAACTCCCAAAAATCCCAGCCAATTTACCAGCTGTTGGGATTTCTGGGATTGAAGTCCAAAACTGCTATATAGGTTGAGTTTCTTTATGGAGTAAAGATGAAGGGATTGCATCCAAGTCTTCATGAAAAAAGTATGCACCTGAATATTGCCAACAAGTGGAAGACAAATGGGATTATAAAGTGATCTTGTGTGAGGGTAGTCAGAATTTCTGTATAATGCAAATATTCCTTGTTTACTTGCTGGAGTTGTAGTCCAACACATCTGGAAGGTACTGGGTTGAGGAAAGAGCTGAAGCCTTAATGTCTGTATGGAAACATCTTATTTTAATCTACTCAAAAAATGTTCAGCGTTGACTCTACTGGCAAGCTGCTTTCTGCTTGAAAGCAGTTTCCTTAGAGAAGGAAGTACAGTTCGGGTTTATTTCATTTGTTAATACAAACATTGTTAATTTGCATTTCCACTTTAGGCTGATTGCATCTTTTCTGCAAGAAGAACAAGGTTGATGGGTGCTAAGATTCATGTACTTTATCGCTTCTTTGGTTAGATTACATATTTGATAAACTATAAACCATGCCCCTAACCTAAGAGAACAGAGAGCTTTGCTCAGATGATGGTGTGCTTTAACTGAAAGCATAAATAAATAAATAAATGATTATTTTCCTTAGCCTTTTTGTAGATGAAATTAATCACTTAATAAGCCAATGAATTATTTGTGTGTGCCAGGAGTGACGAGAAACTGCATGTCGCTTCTGGTGTGGGAGAATTGGCCATCTGTAAGCATGTTGCCCAGGGAATGCCTGGATATTTTGATGTTTTACCATCCTTGTGGGAGGCTTTTCTCATGTTCCCACATGGGGAGCTGGAGCTGACAGAGGGAGCTCCTCCACGCCCTCCATGTATTCGAACCTCTGCCCTGTCGGTCCTCAGTCCTGCCGGCACAGAGGTTTAACCCATTGCATCACTGGGGGCTCCTAGCCAATGAGATGAAACTCATATGATTAAAAGACTAAATGCATAATCCTTGGCATCCTAAGTCAGATTTTATACAGACTTACTAAAAAAAAAAGGCACCCGGTACCAATTTATTCATCATCATTGACACTAAATCCCTTTCTAAAGATATGAAATTTCCAGAAATTTTGAAACTGATGTATGCGCATGTTTCTGGTTGTTGCCTTGCTTGATGAGAGGAGGAAAAAATAGAAATTACTGGTGAAAAATGTGATTATTGGCATTCTTTACAGATACACTCACTTTGTTGCTTTAGGATCACGAAATGCATTATATGCATTAATGGGACACAAAGGCAGACTGAGCATCCTTATTCCAAAATGTGAAATATTCCAAAATCCCAAATTGTCCACATGGGTAGCTGAGTGAGTGATGCCTTTGCTTTCCATTTTTTAAACCTGTGGCCCTCACATCCCTAAACCCATCTATACCACTTTAACTAATTGAAGCTTTCTTCTCTACCCCATCAAATTAAAATGGGAATGCTTTTGGATGCAGAAATTCAGGTATAGCATGGGGTTAAATAGTAAGATTATATTATTCATTCCTTTGGCCTTTGTTCAGTGTACAAAGGTTGAAAAGATTCTCTGTTGTGGTTGAGGAAGAAGCAACCTCTGTGTTCAATTTTGCAACGTCTTGCTTTGCTGAGAGAGAAGGGGAAAACTTTGAAAAAATGAGTGTTGAAAGCAGGTAGACCAAGAAGAGAAGCAATTCGGATTCCCCACTTCCTGCCTTTTTCTTGCAAGCTTCACAGTTTCTGCCCCCAATTCTATACTTCTGGCTCTCTCCAGTAAGCCACACGCAACCTTTACATTGGCTTTCAAACCCCAAAGGGAATTGCTGAACAGGTAACAGCATAATAATTTAACATTTAAATGACAAGTATTTAATAGAATGCTGGTTAATATCTACAGAACTGAATAGTATTGAATAGAATTTTGGTTAATATTTACAGAACAGTGGCATCATAGAATCATAGAGTTGGAAGAGACCTTGTGGGCCATCCAGTCCAACCCCCTGCCAAGAAGCAGGAAAATTGCCTTCAAAGCACCCCCGACAGATGGCCATCGAGCCTCTGTTTAAAAGCCTCCAAAGAAGGAGCCTCCACCAAACTCCAGGGCAGAGAGTCCCACTGCTGAAAAGCTCTCACAGTCAGGAAGTTCTTCCTAATGTTAAGATGGAATCTCCTTTCCTGTAGTTTCAAGCCATTGTTCCACATCCTAGTCTCCAGGGCAGCAGAAAACATGCTTGCTTCCCCCCTTCCTATGACTTCCCCTCACATATTTATTTATAAATGGCCATCACATCTCCTCTCAGCCTTCTCTTCTCCAGGCTAAGCATGCCCTGCTCTTGAAGCCACTCCTCATAGGGCTTGTTCTCCAGACCCTTGATTGTTTTAGTCACCCTCCTCTGGACACATTCCAGCTTGTCAACATCTCCCATTGTGATGCCCAGAATTGGACAAAGTATTCTAGGTGTGGCCTAACCAAGGCGGAATAGAGGGGTAGCATGACTTCCCTGGATCTGGACACTATACTCCTATTGATGCAGGCCAAAATCCCATTGGCTTTTTTTGCTGCCACATCACATTGTTGACTCATGTTTAACTAGTTTTCCAAGAGGACACCAAGATCTTTTTCACACGTATTGCTCTTGAGCCAGGTGTCCCCCATTCTGTATCTTTGCATTTCATTTTTTTCTGCCTAAGTGGAGTATCTTGCAGTTGTCCCTGTTGAACTTCATTTTGTTAGTTTTGGTCAATCATCTTTCTAATCTGTTAAGATCATTTTGAATCCTGCTCCTGTCCTCTGGAGTATTGGCTATCCCTCCCAATTTGGTGTTATCTGCAACCTTGATGATCAAGCCTTCTACCCTTCATCTAAGTCATTAATAAAGATGTTAAACAGGACCAGGCCCAGGATGGAACTCTGCTTATGGCACTTCACTTATCACTTCTTTCCAGGAAGCACCCTCGGGGTTCGTTTGCTTAACCAATTACAGATCCACCTAACCGTAGTCTTGCCTAGCCCACATTGGAGTAATTTGTTTGCCAGAAGGTCATGGGGGACCTTGTCGAAGTCCTTACTGAAATCTAGGTACGCTACATCCATGGCATTCCCTGCATCTATCCAGCATTTTATCGGGGGGGGGGGGGGATCAGATTAATCTGGCATGACTTGTTTTTGATAAATCCATGTTGACTATTAGCAATGATCATATTTGTTTCTAAGTGTTTGCAGACCACTTCCTTAACTATCTTTTCCAGAATCTTGCCTGGTATTGACGTGAGGCTGACCAGGCCGTAATTGTTTGGGTTGTCCTTTTTTCCCCTTCTTGAAGATTGGGACCACATTGGCCCTCCTCCAATCTGCTGGAACTTTCCCATTCTCCAAGAAGTCTCAAAGATGATTGCCAATGGTTCTGAGATGACTTCCACTAGTTCCTTCAATACTCTTGGGTGTAGTTAATCCAGCCCTGGGGTCTTGAATGAAGACATTATCTAGACCAGTGGTTCTCAACCTTCCTAATGCTGTGACCCCTTAATACAGTTCCTCGTGTTATGGTTACCCCCAACCATAACGTTATTTTTCTTGCTACTTCAGAACTGTAATTTTGCAACTGTTATGAATCATAATGTAAATATCTGATAAGCAGCAGGATGTATTTCCATTCACTGAGCCAAATTTGGCACAAATACCCGATATGCCCGCATTTGAATACTGGTGGGTTTGGCTTAGTGAGCATTGACCTTGAGTTTTGGAGTTGTAGTTCATCTATATCCAGGGAGCAGTGTGGACTCAGCAAAGATGGATTTGGACCAAATTTAGCACAATACTCAATATGCCCAAATGTGAAGACTGGTGGAGTTTGGGGAAAATAGACCTTGAAATTTGGGAGTTGTAGTTGCTGGGATTTATAGTTCACCTATAATCAAAGGACATTCTGAACCCCACCAATAGAACTGGGCAAAATTCCCACACAGAACCCCCATGATCAACAGAAAATACTGTGTTTTCTGATGGTCTTTGGCGACTCCTCTGACCCCCCCCCCAGGGGTTCTGACCCCCAGGTTGAGAAACACTGCCCTGGGGACATTATCTAGACCTCCTTTCTTACTTTGCAGACACTGACCACATATTTCTCAGTTTTTCTTTGCAGATTCCAAGGGAAGGAGCGGTTTCATTTTCAAACCAGCAAGGAGGTGCCAGACTTGGTACCCAATTCTTTATTCTGAGCATAGTAACTGATCTATTCATATATGTGTATGCAGTTGGCAGAAATAGATTTAACATCAACTACAAACTGTTTGCTGTCTGAGATGTAGTTCAGCCGTAGGGAGGAATTCTGAATATTTGGGGGGCTTTAAAATAAAAGAAGTGGTTGAGGTTGGATCTACAGTGCCATATTTTCCAGTTTCTGAATCCAGATTATCTACTTTGAACTGGATTATATGAATCTCCACAGCAAAGTGATTCAGTTCAAAGTGGATAATCTGGATTCAGAAACAAGATTATATGACAGAGTGATCAGGCATGGGTAAACTTGGGCCCGCCAGGTGTTTTGGACTTCAAGCCCCACAATTCGTAACAGGCTTGGGCTCTTTCCGCTTAAGAGGCTGAGGGGGAAAAGGAAAGCACTTGAGGCTGTTAGGAATTGTAGGAGTTGAAGTCCAAAACGCTTGGCAGGCTGAAGTTTGCCCATGCCTGGTGTAGACTCATATAAACCAATTCAATCTAGATTCAGAAACTGTTTTATATGGCAGTTTAGATCCAACATAAAGCAGGGGTTAGCAATTGCAGTAGATAAGGAGACTGGAGTGGCCTCTTAGGAGAACCTGGAGACCATGATGCCGAACTACAACTCTCCCAATTTAAAAAAAATGCACTAAAATATCCCCAAACACCTGCAGGGTATGTGTGGAGCGTTTTTAGTATGCTTTTAGAGCTCTATATACAGTGGCATCGCTAGGGGAGTGCTGACTATACCAGGTGACACAATCAAAATGTCTGCCTATAAAATTTTCATGCAGCATTTTGGCAGAAATAAATTATTATTTTGAAATAAAAATATACCTGCAGCTAATTATAACCACATTTTTGCGGTAAGTCCATTGCTGTTATCAATATGCCCATGAAGGCAAAACTTCGTGCTAAATTGCTTTTGGAATCTTTTAATCATGTGGATATGTTCCGGTCAGAGTTATCATTATTAACCAATTACAATGACATTTCAAATCACATGGTTTCAGATGCACAATCATGCACTGTTATTTTAATTGCTGCTGGCTTTTTTTATAATCACCAATTTTGTCAAATATTCTGTTTTGTGTTTTTTTAGCGACAATATGCTATATAGCCTGGCATGGGAGGAGGGAACATGAATTACCACACTGGGTGACACCAATACTACCTTACTTCCCCCTTTCAGGTCTATAAAAGCCTTTTTTAAATTGTGTTTTTCAAAAGCTCTCCTGGGCTTAAAATGTGGGTTCCCCCACTCTCTCAATGCCCTTTAAAGCAGTGGTTCTCAACCTTCCTAATGCCATGGCCCCTTAATATAGTTCCTCATGTTGTGCTGATCCCCAACCATAACATTATTTTCATTGCTACTTCATAATTGTAATTTTGCTACTGTTATGATTCGTAATGTAAATACCTGATATGCAGGATGTATTTTCATTCACTGGACCAAATTTGGCACAAATACCCGATATAATCAAATTTGAATACTGGTGGGGTTGGGGGGATTGATTTTGTCATTTGGGAGTTGTAGTTGCTGGGATTTATACTTAACCTACAATCAAAGAGCATTCTGAAGTCCACCAACAATGGAATTGAATCAATCTTGGCACACAGAACTCCCATGACCAACAGAACATACTGGAAGGGTTTGGCGGGCATTGAACTTGAGTTTTGGAGTTGTAGTTCATCTATATCCAGAGAGCACTGTGGACTCAGCAATGATGGATCTGGACCAAACTTAGCACAATACTCAATATGCCCAAATGTGAACACTGGTGGAGTTTGGGGAAAATAGATCTTGATATTTGGGAGTTGTAGTTGCTGGGATTTATAGTTCACCTACAATTAAAGAGCATTCTGAACCCCATCAATGATAGAATTGGGCCAAATTTCCCACACAGAACCCTCATGACCAACAGAGAGACATTATCTAAACCTCCTTTCTCACTTTGCAGGCACTGCCCACATATTTCTCAGTTTTACTTTGCAGACTCCAAGGGAAGGAGAGGTTTCATTTTCAAATCAACAAGGAGGTGCCAGACTTGGTACCTGATTCTTTATTCTGAGCATAGTAACTGATCTATTTGTACATGTGTATGCAGTTGGCAGAAATAGAGTTAACACTGACAACAAACTGTTTGCTATCTGAGATAAAGTTCAGCCATCGGGAGGGATTCTGCACATTGTGGGGCTTTAAAATAGAAGAAGTAGTTGAGGCTGGATCTACACTGCCATATAATCCAGGTTCTGAATTGATATTATCTACTTTGAACTGGATTATATGAATCTACACAGCGATATGATTCAGTTCAAAGCAGATAATCTGGATTCAGAAACTAGGTTATATACAGCAGTGTAGACCAGGCATGGGCAAACTTCAGCCCTGCAGGTATTTTGGACTTCAACTCCCACAATTCCTGATAGCGTCAGGCCCTTTTATTTCTCCCCTCAGCCGCTTAAACCCCCCTCTCAACACCCCAGGGTTTCTGAACCCCAGGTTAAGAAACGCTGCTTTAAAGGGTATTTGGGGGCAAATTTAGACAAGGACATCCTCTTCAAAATGACATTCTTGTGTAAACACAATGTAAGATTTTTTTTTGGGTGAAGATTGGGTTTCCAAATACATATATGTGTGCGCGCATCTATCTCTCAACAATCCCCCAAACCCTGGTGCCATCAAACAGTGCTAGGGTCCACATGTAGTCTGAAGATTGTGGTTGCTCCCCCAGATCAATACAATTATATGTGACTGTGAACTCTTTCCCCCTCCCAGGTCAGGGACTGATTACTTTTCTGGCTCAGGAGTGTAGATAACCAAAGGTTGGCTGTTTTTGCCCTTATCATGCCAGCAAGGGTCAAAGAAAGGGTAGAGGTTGCCTGTAAAGCGCTCGCGGAAGGCAAAAATCTGCACCAGGTTGTCTTCATCACTGGCATCATAGAAGGCCAGGATACCATCATCAAAGCTGAGATAGATGCCAATGCGGGTGGCCTTCTCCTCCAGCTTCAGTGCTCGTGGCTCCTTGTGTTCCACGTGGGCCTCGTAGCTCTTGCCGTCCTTGAAGCCCAACACCCAGAAGCCGTTGGATGGGAGCGGGTTCAGGCGGCCCTTGCGCCCCGTCTCAGCCGAGATGACTCCCAGAGTCCAGCGGGGCTTGTCGCCCACGGTCACTTCCCAGTAATGCTCTCCTTGAGAGAAGCTCTGGCACGACACCACACAGTTGGCTTTGTCGAAGCGCTGGGGGTCATCCACGCTCACGGCCTGCTTGTGCTCCACGCACTCTACACGCTTGCCGTCCTCGGAGACCAACAGGTTGGCCTGGGCAGTGTCTGGGTCAAAGGTCAGGTTCTCCAAGGCTGGGAAAAAAGGAGGAGGAGGACAGCATTGTCTCTTTCACATCCCAGAACTATAGGATTAAGGTATCACTTTAGGTGTCATGATACCAAGCTAAGGAATCCTAGAAACTGCAGTTTAGGGAGAATTCACTACCAAAATATTCTTGTTCCTTATCCATATTATAATTTCCATTTGGATTTTCTCTTGTAAGTAATCTGCTTCTTAGTAGATTCATTACGTTATTTTGCACTGTTTATTTTATCCTGTTGCTTTATGTATTTTATTGTGATGTAATTTTTGGTGTTTCTGTATTTTATTTTACTGTATTGTATTTTCGGGCTTGGCCTCATGTTAGCCACCCCGAGTCCCCTTTGGGGAGATGGTGGCAGGATATTTATTATTATTATTATTATTATTATTATTATTATTATTATTATTATCATCATCATCATCATTATCATCATTATCATCATCATCATCAAGCTTAGTACAGCCATCACTTTTGGTGCCATGACACCAACCTATGGGATCCTAGGATCTGCAGATTAGGAAGAATTCACTGCTAGAGAGTTCTTGTGTCTCACTCATATTATAATTTCCATTTGTATTTTGTCTTCTAAGTAATATATGCATAGTATTGCCAACTCTCCACATTTCCTGGGGTTAGGAGCATAGGACCCCTGTGAATGTGGAAAAACTACAAGTAAAAAATAAATTGCTTTTTAAACTTGAGTGAACACCTTTGTAAGAATCTCTAGATTAGATCCTTGTGTTTGGCCCTGGTCAATTTCAACTGGCAGACCTAAAAATTCCTACAGAAATGTTCTCTCCAGGAATCCCTGGGTCCTCCAGTATGACTCTATGGGCAACTTCCAGTGGAAATTGGACTTATAGTCACATTGGAGGACCTAGTGATGCCTAGAGAGGACATGATAATCAATGGATTTCTGTGAGTTTTCCGGCTTATATGGCCATGTTCCAGAAGCATTCTCTCCCGACGTTTCACCCACATCTATGGAAGACATTCTCAGAGGTTGTGAGGCCTCTTGGAAACTAGGCAAGTGAGGTTTATATATCTTTGGAATGACCAGGGTTGGAGAAAGAACTCTTGTCTGTTTGAGGCAAGTGTGAATGTTGCAATTGGCCAGCTTGATTAACATTGAATAGCTTTGCAGTTTCAAAGCCTGGCTGCTTCCTGCCTGGGGGAATCCTTTGTTGGGAGTTGTTATCTGGCCCTGCTTATTTCCTGTCTGGAATTCCCCTGTTTTTCTGAGTGTTGTTGTTTTTTATTTATTTACTGTCCTGATACAACTGGAAAACCCACAGCAACTCAATTATTCTACCTATGAAAGCCTTTGACAACACATGATAATCAAATTTGTAAATAATCAAATTTACAAAAGTCAGTCCTGCAGATGTGCGGAAATAATTGTATAGTCATTAATACAATTAAAAGAAACAAACTTCAAAAGCTAGAAATCCCATAAGTTTATAGAATGGATACTTGGTAGTTAAAACACTATCAACTTGCTATAATTGTAATCTGGAACAGATTACAAGAAGGGAACCGAATATAAGGAGTTTATTTTGCTTTTTTAAGAAAAAGATTTAATCTGTGGGAGGACTTCCTATATTTTACTCTCTTTTGAACTAAACAGTTGATTGATTCAGAATCATATGACCACTTTTAGTGTGCTAACAAAGAATGACTCAGGCCCCTTCCACACAGCTGAATGAAATCCCACGTTATCTGCCTTGAACTGGAATATATGTCAGTGTGGACTCAGATATCTCAGTTCAAAGCAGATATTGTGGCATTTTCTGCCTTCTTATTCTGAGTTATATGGCTGTGTGGAAGGGCCCTCTGGGTTTTCTGGGTTGAAGGAGGATTCTTAACTATTCTTGAGGACATCCCTCTGTATTGTTTTCCAGATCAATATCACTACTCCATGAGAAGTTACAGTCAACTCAGGTTTTTTGGAAGTGGAAGAAGTTGGACACAAAGCAATACAGAGAGGTAGCGCCATATATTGTGGACAGAGGAGTCCTCTCCAGCTGCTTAAAAATATATATGCAAACTTTTGACTTTTAACATGTAGTTGCTGCCTACTAAGATCATTACCTGGCATCAGTGCACGGTACATCTTCCTCCACACCTGGAACTTGAACTCATCTGAAATAATGGGGAGCTGGATGTCCATGCGGGCAATAGGTGGGGATTCTCCAAGGATCTTCTGCAGTCTTTTGGAAGGAGGGAGGGAGAGGATGAGAGACACACATTCACACAACTCGAGACACTCAAGGTCAGGGGTCCACAAACTTTTTAAGCAGAGGGCCAGGTCACAGGCCCTCAAACTGTTGGAGGGCCGGATTATAATTTGAAAAATAAAACATGAATTATTTGTAGTGTAATAAACACTTTAAAACAATACAATAATTAAAATGAGGAACAATGTTAACAAATATAAACTTATTAGTATTTCAATGGGAAATGTGGGCCTGCTTTTGGCTGATGAGATAGGATTGTTGTTGTTGCTATGTGTTTTCAAGTCGTTTCAGACTTAGGTTGACCCTGAGCGAGGGCCGGGTAAATGACCTTGGAGGGCCGCATCCGGCCCCCGGGCCTTAGTTTGAGGACCCCTGCTCAAGGCCATACAGGTGGAAGATCCTTATCTGGAATTCTGAAATCCAACATTGCTCATATGGGTGACTAGGTGAGGCTCAATGTACCCAAAATTTGATGCCTAAAATTATTACAATATTGCTTATAAAGTTTAATTCAGGCCATGTGCATAAGAAACATACATGCATTTTATGTATTGTCGAAGGCTTTCATGGCTGGAATCACTGGATTGCTGTAGGTTTTTTCAGGCTGTATGGCCATGTTCTAGAAGCATTCTCTCCTGATTTTGTCATTTGGGAGTTGTAGCTGCTGGGATTTATAGTTCACCTACAATTAAAGAGCATTCTGAACTCCACTAATGATGAAATTGAACCAATCTTGGCCCACAGAACCCCCATGACCAACAGAAAATACTGGAAGGGTCTGGTGTGCATTGACCTTGAGTTTTGGAGTTATAGTTTACCTACATCCCAGAGGACTCAAACAATGGACTCAAACAATGATGGATCTGGACCAAACTTGGCACGAATACTCCATATGCCCAAATATGAACACAGATGGAGTTTGGGGGAAATAGACCTTGACATTTGCGAGTTGTAGATGCTGGCATTTGTAGTTCACCTACAATCAAAGAGCATTCTGAACTCCACTAATGATGGAATTGAACCAATCTTGGCCCACAGAACCCCCATGACCAACAGAAAATACTGGAAGGGTTTGGTGGGCATTGACCTTGAGTTTTGGAGTTATAGTTTACCTACACCCAGAGAGCACCGTGGATTCAAACAATGATGGATCTGGACCAAACTTGGCACGAATACTCCATATGCCCAAATATGAACACAGATGGAGTTTGGGGGAAATAGGCCTTGACATTTGGGAGTTGTAGTTGTTGGGATTTATAGTTCACCTACAATCAAAGAGCATTCTGACCCCCACCAATGACAGAATTGGGCCAAATTTTCCTCACAGAACCCCAATGCCTTGAAGGGACTTGCTGGCACGACCCTCCCTCCAGCCTTGTGTGCTCTCCCTCGCCCGCACCTGCACACCACACTGCCATGCTCCAAGCACACCTGCTCTCCCCTCCCTGCTTGGAGTCTCAGAAACAGCCTTCCCCTGGTTGAGAGGCCAGCCAATCACAGTGGAGGAGGGGTTTTGGTTGGTGGATTCGTAGTCTGTTTCCCAAAAGGAGAAGGACAGGTGGCGAGATCTTCAGCCTTCTTCGCCAAAGAGATTCCTAAGACCATTAGAAATATATGTTTTCTCATGGTCTTTGGCTACCCTTCTGAAACCCCCTTGCAAACCCTACTCCCAGGGGTCCCAACCCCTAGGTTGAGAAACTCAGATTTAGAATAAAGGCCTTCTTCTTCTACTGAAGGGGAACTGAAAAAAGGACTGGGGAAAATACATGCAAATCTCAGAGAAGCCACTCTTTTATAAAGTAATACTTTCTTACCTGCTGGCAACCAGGCAGTATTGCTGTAGAAAAAGTATTAAAAATTTGAATATGGAATAAAAGGTTTTAGTATATCCTATAATAAACATCCCATACCAGTGGTCCTTTTGAACTATCTTAAGTGTAAATATGGATGCTTTGCAAAAACAACAACATGCAGTTCAACATTAAATCAGAGTCTGTTTTTAAATTAGAAATTCTTATTCTTTACAGTGATATGAGTCCTGTGGGCAGACACTGCAAACATAATAAGGGAAGTGGCATGTTGTAATATTTGAGAAGAGTTTCAGTGTTAAAGATGATGAAACAGACAAGGGCAGAACCCATGACTAAAAAATACTGTGGTGGGAGCTGAGCAAGAAACATATCCTCAGAATGGCACATTACGCATGCATGGTTGCAGTAGTGACTCGCAAGTAGGCTCATATAGCATGCTTATGCATCACTATGTGTGCTGTGTTACATTTCATGATTGTACACAGCATATATATCTAACCTTCATGGTTCTGCTTAAACCCTTGCTCAGGGTGCCTTTACATTGTAGAATTAACACAGTTTGACCCCACTTTAACTTATATGGCCTAATGCTATAGAATCCTGGGATTTGTAGTTTGATGAGACACCAGCACTCTTTAGAAGAGATGGAAAAGGGCCTTGTAAAACTGCAACGTCCATGATTCCAAAGCACTGAGCCATGGAATTATATTGGTGTCAATCTGTATTAATTCTACAATCTCCACATTTGCAATTTTGACTTTTCTGGATACAAGTATTCGTGGATTTGATTAGAAATGTTTGTTCTATGAATCCCATAATTCTCCAGTGTATCTCTATGCTGCAGGACCTAGAGACACCTCTACAGGAATCTCTAAGTCATCCAATACAATTGCGTGATTAGTGTTCAGTGGATGTTGACCATAGAAGCCCTAGATATCCTTACAAAGGTGTTCCCTTGGATAATCAGCATTTTTTTCATTTGCTTTTTTTTTTCACTTTCGTGGGGGTCCTGTGCGCCTAAGCCCAATGTGGAGCATTGACTGTAGGTGCACCCCCTTTGTACAAAACTAGCTAGTGGGGCATTAGCAACCACATTGCGGGCCAGGCCGGGAGAGAGAGCAGGGGCATTTGCATGCTGGATGGGGTGGGCCCACGAGGGGTACGGCCTGGGAGATGGCAAGGCCAGGAGGGGGCAAGGCAAGGCCTGGGTCCTCTAAAGGTTGTCCTCCCAGCTGCTTGCCTCATGCTTATGCCAGGAGGAAGGCGGGACATGTGGTGACTGCCCCGATGTCCTCTTGGCATTATGCCAGGAGGTGGGTGAGAGTGCTCCAAAGGCTCTCAGTAGCTACATGGTTTCCTTGAGCTGTCCTCCTGGTAGAAGGATGGGGCCTCTTGCTCTGTCCTTATGCTGGGAGGAGGATGGGACACGCAGTTGCTGAGAGCACTCCAGAGGGCTCTCAGCTGCTGCATACCTTCCTCCCCCAACTTTTTGGCATAAGGACGCAGTGAGCGGCCATGTTCTTATGCCAAGCAGACAGGGAAAATGAGGAGGGTCTGAGGTAAGTGCCCATGGGACTGCATCCGGCCCCCAGGCTTTAGTTTGCTCATGGCTGAGCTAGTGACTGAGATAAGACTGAAGGTGCCTCACCCTGAGAAATTCAGTCTGTGGCTTGTCATGCACCTCCCCAAGCACCGTCTCCATCTGCCTGAGCTGCTCCAAGTAGCGGGTCATGGTCTTGCGCTCGTTTTGCAAGGCATCACTGGCTTGGTGCTGCACGCGCTCAGCCTCTCGGCCCAGAGATGCCTCCAGCGCCCCCAGATAGGCACGCATCACTCCTAGTTGCTCTGATACTTGCTGCTTGAACCGAGACACTGTGTCCTGAGATAGGCAAAAGACAGAGAGATGTTCTTAGATCACATCCATCAAAGTCCCCATACCATCCAACTGACCAGGACAGATGACCAAGACGGTTTTAAATGGTGTATTTTAATATTGAGATAACGTTTTAATGTTTATGTATGCGTATATGTGTGGAGCCCCCGGTGGCGCAGTGGGTTAAAGCACTGAGCTGCTGAGCTTGTTGATCGAAAGGTTGCAGGTTCAATTCCGGGGAGCGGCGTGAGCTTCCGCTGTCAGCCCTAGCTTCTGCCAAACTAGCAGTTCGAAAACATGCAAATGTGAGTAGATCAATAGGTACCGCTCCGGCTTCCCGCTCCGGCGGGAAGGCGCTCCATGCAGTCATGCCGGCCACATGACCTTGGAGGTGTCTACGGACAATGTTGGCTCTTCGGCTTAGAAATGGAGATGAGCACCACACCCCAGAGTCAGACATGACTGGACTTAATGTCAGGGGACTACCTTTATCTTTACTTATGCGTATATGTATATGCTGCATACAAAACTGGCTGCCGGTGCAGTTCCGAGCACAATTCAAGGTGCTGGTTTTGACCTACAAAACCCTGTACGGTTCCGGTCCAGTGTATCTGTCCGAACGTATTTCCCTCTACATCCCTCCTTGGAGCTTGAGATCATCTGGGGAGGCCCTGCTCTCGACCCCACCACTGTCACAAGTGAGGCTGGTGGGGACGAGAAGCAGGGCCTTCTCAGTGGTGGCCCCTCACCTGTGGAACTCACTCCCGGGGGAAATCAGAACATCACCATCCCTCCTCTCCTTCAGGAGGAGGGTAAAAACTTGGTTATGAGACCAGGCCTTTGGGCAACCAGGCAATTAAAACGAACAAGACCAGCAGGAGAGATGGAAAAACAGACCCATGAGAGAACGAGCACTGACAATATAGGAGGAAGAATTGAATTTGTGTTGTATTGGCTGTATGGATTGTATTGATTTTATTGTTTTTATTGTGATGATGTATGAATTGTGAATTTTGTAGTTTCAATGATTGTCCTGTGTTATAGGCATCGAATCGTGCCTTACTGTTGTAAGCCGCCCTGAGTCCCCCTCGGGGTGAGAAGGGCGGGGTATAAGAACCCCAAATAAATAAATAAATAAATATGTATTCTTGTCTCGGCATTGAGTGTTTGCTGTATATATGCTGTGCTCCGCCAGAGTCTCCTTCTGGGTGAGAAGGGTGGAATATAAATGTTTTAAATAAATAATAAATAACTGTCCTGATTCATCAGGGACAATTAATCCTCTTCTGTCCCATTTTTCAGCTGCTTTGAAAATGTACTATTTCCTATTTCCTCCTTTTATGGTCTCTCTTTGTTCTCAGCTTAATTCAGCTGCTGCAAACTGATGGTGCCTCTACACTGCAGAATCAATGCCATTTGATACCACTTTAACTGCCATGGGTCAATGCTATGGAATCCTGGTGATGTAGTTTGTTGGGGTACCAACACTCTTTGGCACAGAAGGCTAAACAGATCTTGTGAAATTATAACTTCCAGAATCCCATAGCATTCAGCCCTGGCAGCTCAAGTGCTGTCAAACTACATTAATTCTACAGTGTATATGCACCCTGAGTTCAAAGTGGAGAAGTAGCTTACACTGAGTTAACTCACTAGAAAGGAAAGAAGAGGAGAGTGAGGAGACTTGTCCTTCCCAGTAGGCTTAGGCAGAAACAAAAATGGGAGTTGTTATTCACCTACATGCGGAGATATCATGAGCACCACCGGCAATAGACCGGGACCAAACTTGGTATACAGAACCCCCAAGGGTGGGAGCTGTAGTTCACCCTGCAGCCATAGACCACACAGACCCCACCGAGAGCAAACTTGCCCAACACAACAAACTTTAACCACTGATGGCGTTTCAGGGGTTAACCCTTCCCAAAGACATTAGACTAGCTCCCACGTTGGCAGTCTTTAGGAAGAACTTGAAGACCTGGCTATTCCGATGTGCCTTTCCGGAATAGGAAAACTCCAGCACTATGTCTCAGAAGCACTTTATTAGAGTTAAGACCCTCTGCACATTGCACTTGCCCAGGATTCCAACATACCACCGTCACACCCAGCACGTTTTAATCCTGTACCCATCATTGGCCCGGCCCTGTTTTTAATGTGTAATAGTGTAATGTTTTTGTCATTGCTTATGTTTTAATTTTTGCTTTGTATTGTGACTGTTTGCTGTTGTTGTCTTGAGGCCTTGGCCTTTGTAAGCCGCATCGAGTCCTTCGGGAGATGCTAGCGGGGTACAAATAAAGTTTAATAATAATAATAATAATAATAATAATAATAATAACCTGTCATGATGTGAGTTGTAGTTCACCCACATGCTTATGCATTTTGTAAAATAAAAAAAATGACTTTCAGATAACCCGGGTACTGCCTGGTACCCAAGATAGTTTACAATATTTTTAAATCAACGTTTGAACTTCAGTTCACACATTCATCTCATATCCATTCTTAGAAATGACTCACCTCCACTTCTGCTATTTGGCGGTTCAGCAGAGCAATTGTCTTCTCTTTACGCACTTGAGCCTCTTGAAGTTGGACCTGTTGCTGAGGAAGTTGCTTCTAAAATGGTTCCAAGAGCAGGAAAAGAGAACAAGGTCTTAGGCTGACCTCTGAGCAAATTTAAACAGAACTTTATTTAGCTGAATTTTGACCAAATGGTCCAATCCTGGGGGGTTACACAGTAAACAGCTGGATTTACTCTTCGGTGGGAAAAGGGTTACACTTGGAACATTGATATATTTTTTGGTTAATTCTGTACTGTTCTCTGCTTCATACAGGACAGGAACAAACAGGATTGTTCAAGGGAAATTACTTTTGTGTTATTAATGGGGTAGAAATTCTCTGGTCCTCACAGACTGACTAAACTACACCAGAATCTATGTCTGATATAAAATGTACGCCTGCCACGCTACAACCATCACTTTTCTTCTTTTTTGCCTGATAAAGAATCCAGTGAAGCTTTGAATGTTTTCATAGTGTATTTTGTCCATTGTGGTGGTCAATAAAGACACCACTCTTTTGTGGATTTTGGATTTTGCTGTATTTTGCTCCATGGCCAAAATGTCTACCGCTGAATATATTTTCTGCATCATATAACCCATGGAAGCTTATCTTCCTTCTGCTTCACCCTGGAATGGGTGCACATCGGTCCAGGGTTCAATAATGGGTAAATTGGCCACTAGTTGGGAATTGTTTAGACAAGAATTTGTTGTTTAAGAGCCGTTTAGAGTGGTGTGGTGGTTTGAGAATTGGACTATGAAACTGAAAACCAAGGTTTATGTTCCTGCTCAGCCATGGAAAATCACCAGGTGACTTAGAGCAAATCATACTTTTTCAGCATGAGAGGAAGGCAAAAGCAAGCCCTGAATAAATCATCATGATGATAGGATCACAATAAGTTGGAATTGACTTGAAGGGACACAGCAACAACTGCCACTGGCTGTGAGGGGATGACAGACCCCTTCAACCAATATACCATCTTCTGTCTCATCTACCACCATTTTTTCATGTTAGGAGTGACTTGAGAAACTGCAACTCGCTACTGGTGTGAGAGAATTGGCCGCCTGCAAGAACATTGCCCAAGGGATGCCTGGATGTTTTGATGTTTTACCATCCTTGTGGGAGGCTTCCCTCATGTCCCAGCATGGGGAGCTGGAGCTGACAGAGGGAGCTGATCCATGCTCACCCTGGATTCGAACCTCCTGAATGAGGGCCAGGTAAATGACCTTGGAGGGCCGTATCTAGCCCCCAGGCCTTAGTTTGAGGACCCCTGGTTTAACCCATGGTGCCACTGGGGGCTCCACCAATAAGGCTTGTGCTATAACTATAACATGTATCCGCATTAGGCACCAAACCAACTCTGTGGAGGCTTGGAATTACATCCAGTTCCTGATCTGCTTTCCCCTTTTGGAAACTTCTCTAAATGTAATCAATTAGATGTCTGCAAGAAAGATGCAAGCCTACTTTTTCCTTTGTTCATTGTTTTCTATGCAGATTCTATGAGGATCATGATGTATGATGTTATGGGAAGCTCCTTCTGTAGAACTGAAGCAGTGCCATCTAGGAATACTTTTTACCACAATTAAACAATTTGCCTGCACTGTGAAGTAGGAAAAGAACAAATGTGGGGCCAACTATGCCATGTGCAGTGACATGAAGCCAGGAGGCTTCATGTCACTGATACCAGGTCAATACCAGGTCAATGGGGTTTTGTACCCCAATGCTTACCTTCATCCTCTGGTGGGCCTCAGCGGCAGTGATGATGTTGTGACCCCTGTGTTTGCCCAGGGAAGCACACACACCACAGATGACCTGCTGGTCCTGCTCACAGTAAACACTCAGTGGGTCAAGATGCTCCTCACAGTGGTCTTGGGGGACCTGCTTGAAGCTTTGCACCAGGTTCTCCATTTGCTTGTTGATGCACAGCTGCTCCACCTTGGTGCCAGCCTGGCAGACGGGGCATGAAGTGGCCTTGCCATCCTCGTCCTTGGATGCCTGACCAAGGCAATCCATGCAGAAGGTGTGTCCGCATTCTGTTGTCACAGGGGACTGGAACAGCTTCAGGCAGATGGGGCAACTAAGGTCCTGATGCATGCCCTGGATGAGGCGCTGCTTGGAGCTGGTCATGGTGGCCGAGGACTGGAGCCTGAGAACCAGAGACTTTGCTTATGATACTCATGAAACCATATCCCACTTTTTCTACTATAGACACATAGATCCTACCCCTGAGACCTCATAATTGCCTCAAATGGGACAAGCCATGAATAATAACAGCAATCCATCATCTTCATGCATTCATTACCAATTTCTCCTAAGACATTTACACAGCTTTAAAGCAGATGATAACATTGATGCTATTCAAGATTTTCTATTTATGAATCAGAATGGAGACAGCAGTCAAAACATTAGATGTAGTATTGGAACTTAGAAGGGTAGTTATGAAGGATCTAGACCAGTGGCTCTCCATTTGTGGGTCCCTGGGTGTTTTGGCCTACAACTCCCAGAAATCCTAGCTTGTTTACCAGGTGTTCTGGGAGTTGAAGGCCAAAACATCTGGAGACCCACAGATTGAGAACCACTGATCTAGAAAAATCCATAGGTGTCAGGATAAAATTATTGAATACTAAAATTAGGATATTGTCCCTAGAAGTCAAGGTATCTAAACTATGGCCATATCATAGGAACTGTGATATGGTACTGTGGCCATATTATAGGAAGGCAGGTTTTATTAGAAAAGATAATTGTCCTGTTTTGCTCTTAAAAACAGCCTCAACACAAAATTGAAAGTAAAAGAAAAATGCTTTACTCCAGCAAACAAAATAAGCAAATGCAATTGAAAAAGAAAACAAGGAAGTCTTACTACAGACACAAATGAAAGTCTTTTGTAAAAGTCCCAGCAAAATCAGCAGACAATAAGGCACAGATCATGAAGTCCTTAACACAAAGCAGGTTCTGGCAGTAACAGAGTTGTTGTTAGCAGCGGAAAGCTAAGTTCTCCTGCTTCTGATTTATACCCCATGCAGGAGGGCTTAGGGCGTCACCCCATTAGCTCATCAATCTTTTAGCCGCTAATCAAGCTGACCACCGTCTGTTCTCTGACTCCCTCCATCTTTCTAAAAAAGTAGGCACCTTCAAAGCCTCATTGTTGGATTCTTCTTCCTCTCCCTCCAAGACCTGAGCACCTCCCTGCTTCCCTTCCTCTTCCGATGAGGAATCCCCAACAATAATGATGCTTGATAAGTAGAAGGTTGTAGAAAAGTGGCTGCTGGTCCACAATTCAAAGTACTGACCTTGGACTATAAAGCCCTATACGGTTCCAGCCCAGCTTACCTGTCCGAACGTATCTCCCTCTGTGTCCCACCTTGCAAATTAAGATTGTCCAGGGAGGCCCTGTTCTTGGTCCCGCCAGCTTCGCAAGCACGTTTGGCAGGGACAAGGGGCAGGGCCTTCTCGGTGGTGACCCCCTACCTGTGGAACTCGCTCTTCAGCGAGATTAGATTGGTTTCATCCCTCCTTTCTTTTAAGAAGAAACTAAATCATGGTTTTGGGACCAGGCTTTTGGACAGCAGGCATGACAGCACTTGGATGTTGAATCGGACTGGAAATAGCTATATGGCTTGATAATAATGTTTTAATTTGTTTTAACTTAATGTTTTACCTATTGTTTTAAATTGTTGTTATATTTGTTATATTGTTTGTATGTTGCAGCATCAAATTGTTGGCAGTTGTAAGCCGCCCTGAGTCCCCCCTCTGGGGTTGAGAAGGACGGGGTACAAATAAATAAATAAATAAATAAATAAATAAAGCAGATGAGCACATTCCAGGTGATTGGCCTCAATCAAGGAAGCCATGATTCTGAGTTTGCAAGATCTGAGCAGCACTGTTGAGGATAGGGTGACTTGGAGGTTTCATATTCATAGGATTGTCATAAGTCAAAGATGAACATGAGGAAGAACTTCCTGACTGTGAGAGCCGTTCAGCAGTGGAACTCTCTGCCCCGGAGTGTGGTGGAGGCTCCTTCTTTGGAAGCTTTTAAATAGAGGCTGGATGGCCATCTGTCAGGGGTGATTTGAATGCAATGTTCCTGCTTCTTGGCAAGGGGGTTGTACTGGATGGCCCATGAGGTCTCTTCCAACTCTTTGATTCTATGATTCTATGATTCTATGAGTTGATGGCAGTTAATAACAACAACAAAACCAAGGTTAAAATGGTATTAATATTGAATGTAATGTTTTTAGGTGTTTAATATGTATTAATTTTAATTCAATTAATTTTAAGCTTAATGTTTGTATGTATTTAAGGCATTGAATAATTGCCATATGTAAGTTGCCTTGAGTTATCTTGGAAGTAGAGAAAGGTGGGGTATAAATAGGGTAACTAAATAAATAAATAATAATAAAATTTAGAACCAATACATGACAAACTCAACCAATAAATACTTTAATATCTGTATTTTAAAATAAGATTATAGAGGATAGAGACTGATCTTTACTGCTGTTTTAAACACAGGTGGCTTTTCCAGATGATAAAGCCCTTCTGGCAGGTTATTTTACAATCTAGAGGTGGCCAAAGAAAATATCCTTTGTGGGTATCAGTTGGCAGCAAAATTTGGTAGGCTGATAAGAGCTCAAATGTAACTAAAGTTTTGAAAAGTTTATTTTGGGATTAGAAGTTCCATCATCCCCCATCTGAAACATGCACATTAGCTAGGCAGGGAATGTAGTTCAAAAAGTAACTAATTTTTAAAAGTAACCTTTTCAAGCTCTGAGTGTAACCCTATACAACACAGCTCCTTGTCAAATATCTAACCCAAAACTTCTTTCGGTGTCTTAAAGGCTTAGAAATTCGAGACAAATGAGTCTGAGTGAGAGTTCTACAATGATTCTAATAAAAGTTGGATTGGGAGAGAAACTGAAAAACTAAGAAAGTTTATAAAGAGGAAGGGCCTCAAACAGGAACTGTCCAAAAAAGGATCGCTGCTGCCACCTCCAGCCTTTGCACCATAGTTCCTATTTGATTGACCTTCACGCTTACAGTCTCTTCCAACTGCATCTCAGGATTGTAACCAGATATACCTCTGCCCTGAGATTCATTCACTTTCTCTCTAAGACCCTGTTAAATCCTACTTTTAAAAAGTTATGCTGCCTGCTTTTTTCCTCCTTCTTCCCCAAAGTGAGGTGCAAAGTGATGCCAAACAGCTTTTACAATGTAGATGCAACTCTTCTGAGTTGGCCTTCAACAACACCAGTTTGTCCAGATTTCTGGACTTCGGGAGATTGGATATTCCTGATTTCATTGCCATCCGTCTCCTTCTCTGTGCAATTTTGTTCCTCGCTGCTTGCTCAGGGCTAAGACATCCTGATCTATTGCAAGTTGGAGAGAAATGCTAAACTTGCAAGGCAGCTGCTGGGCTCTTTGCTGGGCATGGTGACAAACGCCCTATAAATAGTTCAGAAGGGAAAACCAGAGTGGTAACTTGAGCCCATCTCTGAGCCATGCCTGCCTGCTTCTTTCTGTCTTTTCTCTCTGTATGGTATACTGTTGCATTTTGCTATAATGTGCCTTTATGTGACTCTAAAGTGAAAGCTAAATTGTAAGTTTTACACCACTCTGCAATGCATGGCATTGTGTGTTTTTGGAAATAAGGCCCCTGTATCCTCCGATAGGGTTGCCATAAGTCAGAAACAACTTTAAGTACAAAGCAATAATAACTTAAGCCTTTTCAGATTTAGGATGACATTTTCTTTTGGTAATACATATAATTTTCCTCTTCCCAAAAAACTTGCAATTGCTTTCCTCTGGAGCGGAAAGGGTGTGACTTGCTCAAGGTCACCCATGACCTCATCAGATGGGCACCGGAATCACCACGCATTGTGATGAATCCAGAGGTGCACATCGAGGGACGTGGGGAACTCATCACCCCATTCCCCACATTGCCCACTCACCCGTTGCTCCATCCCACAGGGGAAGCGTTGGCCACCTGACCCCCCCCCCCCCCCCATTGACCCAAATAACACGGAAAGTGTCCCAAATTGCCACCAAGGCAGAATGTGCCAGTTTGGTTTTACTTTTATGATAGAGCGCCACTGGAAGTAGCTCTACTTCCTGGGAAGACTCCATCACAAACATAAAGTCAAACTGGCGCATGCAGCTGAAAAGTACCCGGTCTGGTGAGGTGCCAAGTGAATTTCATGGTTGAATGAAGATTTAAATTAGGAAATTGCAAGCCTCATCTGAATAAACATTTCCACACACACACACACACACACACACCCTATTTGCTTTCAGGTCAACATAAGTCAGAAACAATAATAACAACACCTGGGTTCTCTTTTTAATTTTGTCTTTTATATATGGTAAAGTCAGTCCCCAAGTTACAAATATCTGGCTTACAAATGAAATAAAGTAACAAACTGGGGTTAGATCACAGGAACTGAGAGAAACCAACCCCTCAGAAGGAAAATTCACTCCTGGAAGAGTTATCATGGGGGAAAGGTGTCTCCATTAAAGTTTTCTCACCAATCCTGCCAATTTTTTCAGAATCCAATTATTACAGTGATGGAAAATTATGTGAAATCTTCTCAACACAGCAAAACAAACACCACAGGGGTGTTAACCCTCCCTTAAGGTATAAGTTTCCCCCTGACATTAAGCCCAGTCGTGTCGGACTCTGGGGGTTAGTGCTCATCTCCATTTCTAAGCCGAAGAGCTGGCATTGTCCATAGACACCTCCAAGGTCATGTGATTGGCATGACTGCATGGAGTGCTGTTACCTTCTCACTGGAGCAGTATCTATTGATCTACTCACATCTGCATGTTTTCGAACTGCTAGGTTGGCATAAGCTAGCACTAACAGCTGGAGCTTATGCCACTCCCTGGATTCAAACCACCGACCTTCCGGTCAGCAAGTTCAGCAGCTCAGCGCTTTAGCCCACTGCGGCATTGGGGGCTCCCCCCTAATCTATCCAAAGCTTTAAAATATACATTTTTTTGCTAAAGTTAACACATTAAAAATATACCTGTTCCACCTTACAAACAAAATTCAACTTAAGACCAAACCTACAGAACCTATCTTGTTCATAACTTGGGGACTGCCTATAAAGTTATTTGCATGTTGGATTAAGACTCGGGCAGACCAGTGTTCGAATCCACAAGGCTATGGAGACTCACTATGAACTCATTCTCAGCATCAGATGAAAGCAACTGCAACCTCCATCTGAACAAATCATGCATAAATAAATAAATAAATAAATAAATAAAGCCCATATTAGATTCATTTCAGGGTGTAACTTGAAGGCACACAAAACCACCACTACAACAATGACAGTTGCATAACTTTATAATATCAGCATGACTATTCCACTACTTGTATCTATATCTGTAACATGATTAAAGGTATGAAACATGAATTTAGAAGAAGGAAGGAAGAAGGAAAGAAGGAAGGAAAGAAGGAATAAAACACAAAAATATCCTTACTAGAGAATGCAAATCTTTAAGGAAACCAGCAGTGTTCGCAGAGCATGTATCCAGTAATCAGGTAGAAACCAAAGAGACAGCAACCATCCTGGGACAAGTGGAGACGTCAAGTGAATTACTCTCAGTCCCACCCAGATCCTCCTATATATAGCTCAATAATGCACCCTGATTCTGGGAAGGGTAGGATGTCACCTAATTTGTCTCTTTCTCTTTCTGAAGGAGGTTGGGGTAGGGAAAGAATCACAGTATGCTCAAAATAGGTTTCTTTTAAGAAGGCTCCTTGATGCAGACTTCTATCCAGTTTCTAGGCAGCCCTCTAAAGACAAATGTTTGACATTTTTATGTAGCACTCTTATCACTCCTACTTGTCTCTGTGGGTGAGCAGTGCTTAGTTGATTTCTCGAATGCGTGCAACAGCTGAGAGCTAGGGTTGCAAGAAGGAAGCTCTAGAGTGTCCAGTTTCCCAGCAAAGGATATCACAGAATGACTGACAGCTCATAATTATAACTGGCATTTGAGGATTTCTGGGAATAGGTAGAATGAACTGAGTGGGTGTATGGTGTGTGGGATGGGAGATAATTTGGGGGATGATAAATCAAGTGGGTGTTCCATGGGATAAGACTAAATTATAGCAGATGATAGGGTGAATACCGACCTTGAATATACAGCTTCAGAATATAAATGTGGATTCATATAAGTCACATCGTGCAATATAATAATAATATAAAATGTAACTGCACAAGGAAAACCAATAAAGTTATGCTTTGGTTAAGGTACAACTTTGCCAATTGAAACTGTGTGTGGCTTCAAGCACTTTCTGTTTCAGGGAGGCTCTAACGCAGCATTTCTCAACCTAGGGGTTGGGACCCCGGGGGGGGGGGGCACGAAGGGGGTGTCAGTGGGGTTGCCAAAAGACCATCAGAACACACAGTATTTTCTGTTGATCTTGGTGGTTCCCTGTAGGAAGTTTGGCCAAATTCTATCATTGGTGTGGTTCAGAATGTGCTTTGATTGAGGTGAACTATAAATCACAGCAACTACAACTCCCAAATGTCAAGGTCTATTTTCCCCAAACTCCACCAGTGTTCACATTTGGGCATGTTGAGTATTCATGCCAACTTTGGTCTAGATCCATCATTGTTTGAGTTCACAGCGCTCTCTGGATGTAGGTGAACTACAACTCCAAAACTCAAGGTCAATGCTCACCAAACCCAATTTTCTGTTGGTCATGTGAGTTCTGTATGCCAAGTTCAATTCCACTATTGGTGAAGTTCAGAATGCTCTTTGATTGTAGGTGAACTATAAATCCCAGCAATTACAACTCCCAAATGACAAAATCAACCCAACCCCCCCAACCCTACTAATATTCAGATTTGGGCGTGTTTGGTATTTGTGCCAAATTTGGCCCAGTGAATGAAAATATACCCTGCATATCAGATTTTACATTACAATTTATTATAGAGCAAATTACAGTTAAGAACCATATTTTTTTGTTTGGAGGTCACCACAAAATGAAGAATTGTATTAAGGGGCCGCAGCATTAGGAAGGTTGAGAAACATTGCTCTAAGGTGAATGTATCATGGGGTTTTCATGGAAAGACTGATTCAGATAAAATGTGTTTCAGGCTGAGGGCATGAGACACTCGCAATGTCATCCAGTGGGGTTTTGTAGTTGAGCAAGGATTCAAACCCTGGTCCTGGTCCAATTCCATTTCATTACATTGGCTAGAAACTGTTTAAAGCTATTTAAACCTATCCAAGAGAGGCACCTAGTGGTTAATTCGAATGCAAAAGAAGACTCCTTTCCAGACCATAAAAAGCAGGAAGGAAGGGGGAGAAAAAAAAAAGAAATGTATCACTTCCTGTAAAGACTAGCTGGTTTTTATTTTTGCACGAGTTCTCAGGGTTGTAAACTCACTTCTCTGAATGCAATACAGAGCGATATTAAGATCTCGGCAACAAAAGGATCACATAGAGACAATAACTAAAATACTGGAAATTATTGAGGACTTTGGAAAAGTGTCTGGACTTACAATTAACAAATAGAAAACAAAAAAAATCTCCAGAAGTAAGACCAGAAAATTTTGAAGGAAAGGACAGGTATTGAGATTGTCAACAAAGTAAAGTCTCTGGGAATCCACATGAGTATTAGACGTGCAAAAAATTCAGAAGTGTTGGAATTTGTAAGAAAATCGGAAATTTTGTAAGTCGTAAGCCATATCCAAAGTGTTTGTGTGGCCCATACCAAATATTTTTGTCATCTGTTCTTCAGTTGATCATGCTTGGTCATGGAAGGGTTAATGTAAGTATTAGTTCTAAAGAGTTTAGTAATCTGTAAATAAGAGTTCATAGGTGAAAGCAATTAAGGGTGGAGGTATGCAAGAGATAGGTTGCAGCTGGGTGTTTGTGGATATAAGGAGCGAGCCTTGGAAATGAACTTCAGGAGAAAAGCACTGTCATATTTTGGTGGTGGATGCTGCTGGTTTTCCCCCCAGGTCTGTTGGATTTTCAGTATCTTGACCTGTCTCCTGTAATCTTGGAACCCTGGAACCTTGAACCTTTGGACTGGCTTTTGACTACGGTATAGACTCTTGATCCTTGGACTTTGTTTATTGAACGCTCAGCGTTTGACCACTGGACTGGACCTTTTGACTACGGTGTAGCTTTTGCTATCAGTTTTTGTTTATTTTGTGGCTGAGTGCTATCTTTATGTTTTATACTTTGGTCTATTAAAACAGCCAGCAAGTAAGTGCTGTTTTAATTAAACTGTTTTATATCAAATTGGGTTTTTGTTTGATTCACCTCTGCAGGAAATAACAGCAGAGCCCTGGCAACATGACAATTTTAGAATCAAAACTTACCCCATACTTAGTTTTGTCAATCTCAGAAGGCTCACAAAGTTAGTTTCATATTCAGTGCAAGGAAACAAAGCCATTAAGCCGAAAAGGCTGCCTCCCTACCTTTGTGCCTGCCTGACTGGCCTTTCCTCTCCCTGGAATTAAGCGGCTGAAAGGGAAAAGGAAAGACTGTTAAGAGTTGTGGGAGCTGGAGTCCCAAACACCTGGATGGCCGAAGTTTGTCCATGCTTGATATAGAGTAAGCTTTAAAAGGTTCCAGCATCTTGTATACTCCCATTGATAAAATAGCAATGGATAACATACACGGGTAAATGTATCAGACATCAAAATAAAACATCATCAACCCAAATTATGAGATTTAAAGAAGAACTTTACGTACAAAAATGCATGTCAGTCATCACACAGTTTCAAAACTTGTTTAGATAGATCAAATTCAGTTACAAATTGAGGGGTAAAATAGCATTTCTTCTCTCATGGTGATACAAAAGGATGGAAATTCCATGCAGTCAGCTAGAGGATCATGTAAAAAAGTACATGTGAAAAAGATCTTGGAGTCCTTGTGGACAACAAGTTAAACATGAGCTAACAATGTGATGTGGAGGCAAAAAAAAAGCCAAGAGGATTTTGGCCTGCATAAATAGTTTAGTATCTAGACACAGGGAAGTCATGCTCCCCCTCTATTCTGCCTTGGTCAAACCACCCCTGGAATCACACTGTGTCCCATTCTGGGCACCGCAATGGAAGGAAGATGTTGACTCTAAGCTGGAATGCGTCTAGAGGAGGGCAACTCAAATGATCAAGGATCTGAAGAACAAGCCCTATGAGGAGCGGCTTAAAGAGCCAGGCATGTTTAGCCTGCAGAAGAGAAGGCTGAGTGAAGACATGATGAGGGCCATGAATCAAGATGTGGGGGGAAGTCTTGGAAGAAGGGAGCAAGCTTGTTTTCTGCTGCCCTGGAGACTACGACACGAAGGATGGCCTCAAACTACAGGAAAGGAGATTCCACCTGAACATGAGGAAGAAGTTCCTAACTGTGAGAGCTGTTCAGCAATGGAACTTTCAGCCCCAGAGTGTGGTGGAGGCTCCTTCTTTGGAGACCTTTAAATGGAAGTTGGATGGCCATCTGTCAGAGGTGATTTGAATGTAATTTTCCTGCTTCTTGGCAGAAAGGGGTTGGGCTGGATGGCCCACAAGGTCTCTTCCAACTCTATGATTCTAGGGTAAAAAACGGACCTGTTTTTTACCCTAGAAAAAAAATTGTCATTCTAACACACTCTGAACTGAACAAAGAAACAACTTTTAATTCTCCAACATTAAAGGTGATGGAGTATAGATTTTAGTCAGGTAAGTCATGGAGAAGGGGGCATGCAAATGAGATGGAGAGTCATATAAACAGACAAGAAAAAGCATGCCAGGTTGTTGATTATCCAAGACCTGTGGCCTAAAATGATAGATGTCTGTCTGTTGATAGAAAAGTGTGCTGCTCTGGAATAACAGCTTGTTTTATGGCAACTGAGTTTCAGACAGGATGCATAATGCTACTTCCGGTAAACAAAAGCCAGGGAAAGGTCTGTGGTTAAGCTGTTACATATTCAGAAGTTCCTACATCCTATTTCTGCATTCTGGTGAAAAGGGGGTGCTACTTGCCTTGATCGCTTATGGCCACAGCAGCAGCAGAAGCCACAGGATCTCAAGAGCTGCTGTCCATTGCTGGGCGGATTCACTTGCGCCAGCCAAGGTGACATCAGCTTCTGAAGACTTCAATCTATTGTCCCAGGTGTGAGAGTTGTCTTTCAGCTTCAAAGCTGCGACACCAAGGAAAGGAAGGAAGGAAGGAAGGAAGGAAGGGAAGGAGGGAGGGAGGATTGAAGGAAGGAAGGACTTCAGGAGGGAAGGAGGGAAGGATTAAAGAAGAAGGAAGGAAGGAAGGAAGGAAGGAAGGAAGGAAGGAAGGAAGGAAGGAAGGAAGGAAGGAAGGATTGAAGGAAGGAAGTACAGAAGGACTTCAGGAGGGAAAGAAGAAAGGATTGAAGAAGGAAGGAAGGAAGGAAGGAAGGAAGGAAGGAAGGAAGGAAGGAAGGACTTTAGGAAGGAAGGAAGGATTGAAGGAAGGAAGGATTGGAAAAGGAAGCAGAAAACCTCCCCGGGCGATGGCGTGGCATTTTGGCCGGCTGCAAGAGGTTGTGGGTTTGGGGGGGAAAGAGACTGACTGCGAGGTCGACCCCTCCGACTGTGGCAAGACCCGCAAAGAGCTTCTGGAGAAGGCTCGGATTGATGACCTGGATCTTCA